AAAGTTTTTAAATAGTTTTTTATTATTTTCTTATTTAAAAAGGTAGTAAAAAACTATTTATAAAAGCAATAAAATTTACTTTAAAGAGCTTAAATATTATAAGCTAGCCTTAAGTTATTTATTATAAGGTATTTAAATAAGGTTTATATTTAAAGTATAAAGAAAAAGATTTACTTTTTATTTATATTTATATTAAAGCTTATTTTTATAAGGTTAAAGCTTATTAATTAATTATAATAAGCAAAGCTTAAACCATAATATATCCTTTTTTTTTTAAGTTTTTATAACAAGCCTTAAAAAGTAGCTATATAATAAAAAATAAAGAATATTATAATTTAATTATAAATTAAATATTACTTTTTATTTAGCTATTTAATTATATCTTAATGCTTTTTAATTATATTAAAAACTTAACTTATTATTTATAATTAATATATTTTAGCTCTTATAATTTAATATATTAATTAAAGTAAGTTAATAAAAAATAATTATTTAAGCATAAGCTAATAATTAAATTAATAATATTTTTATAATCCTTTAATATAAGCTTTTTATATAAACTTCTTTATTTAAAATCTTAAAATTATAAATTTATTATATAATTTATAATTAATTAATGTTTAATTATAAGCAATTTACTTTATTAATAGGAATTTCTTAAATTTTAAGTATTTTTATAAGGCTAAATTAATTAGCATATAGTTAATTTACTTTAAGTTTAAGTTAATATTAAGTTAATATTACTTTTAAATCCTATTTTATAAAAAGAATTTTATATCCTTTTAAATAAACTCTTTTTTTTTATTAACCTTAATTAATAAAAGCTGTATTTTTATTTTTTTATAATAATTAAGGTAATTATACTTATAATAGCTAAATTAATTATATATAAAATACTTAACTTTATTTATTAAAATTATTATAATATTAATATTTATTACTTTATTATTTTAAGGTTAAGTATTATTCTCCCTTATTATAATGCTAAAAACACCCTTATATTATTATAAAGTAAAGCAAAAGGCCTTAAATATATTTAATTATTTTTTATAATTAAGCTAAGCTTTTATTATAAAGGTTAAGCTATTAGCTATTAATAATATTTTATATTTATTTAGCTAACTTTAAATCTTTATTATATAAGCTAATTAATTAAATTAAGCAAGAAATTTTATTATTTCCTTCTTATAGCGTTATTATAATATAATTAAGCTAAGCTTAATATGCCTTTACTTAAAAAAGTTCTTAAGCATAAAGCAAACCTTTTTTAAAAAGCTTTTTAGTTACTCTTTAAATGTTTTTATAAAATTAATATAAAATAAAAATTAATTATAAAAAATTCTTAGTTAATTAAATATATAAAAAAATTAAGCCCTTTTAATGCTAATTATCTTTTTATTTATTGCAAACTTAACCCTTATTTTTATTAATTAAGTTACTAAGTATTCTTAAGATAAAAGTTTCTTTAAATAAAAAAGGGCTTAATAAGCTGTTATTATTTTTTTTAAATCTTGCTATATTAGGTTTTATATAATTGCATTATAAGTTTATAATATAAAAGGACTTTAAATATATATTATAAGCTAGCTTTGGGTTATTTGTTATAAGGTATTTAAATAGGGTTTATATTTAAAGTATAAAGGAAAAGGTTTACTTCTTATTTATATTTATGTTAAAGCTTATTTTTATAAGGCTAAAGCTTATTAACTAATTACAATGGGCAAAGCTTAAACCGTAATATTAAATAACCATAATATCTTACCATTCCTTTACTTTCTCCTCTTTTATAATACATTATTCTTTAAATAAATGCTTAATTATTAACAACCTTGTTAAAAACTTAAAATATTAATAATAATATTATAATCTTTTTAAAACTTTTTTCTTAACTTAATTTAGCTTTTACCCCCTTTTAATATTATTATAACCCCTTTATATTTATTATTATATTTAGTAATATTAAGAATTAACTTAAGATCTTAAAGCATAATCTTTATAACGCCGCTACAACCTTTTAAGAAACCGCTACAACCCTTATCAAGTCCCTTAACGAAACCAATAACAAGGACAATCTCCCTAAATCCTTTAATGCCCCTTATAAGCATCGCTACATCATCGCCATAACCCTTAAGAAGAAAAATACCTTAGCTGCTGTTTATTTCAAGGTTAATAAGTTTGCTACAACCACTTTACAAGCCTTCCTTGCCCTTTTTAAGGACATTAAGGGCATAAACTAAATATTATTAAATGCTTAATAAATTATTTAATAATTAAGTTTTATTAAAGGCAAGATTTTTATTTATTAAGAAAGCTTTTTTATATTAATTATAAAAGTTATAAATTAAATAATAAAGAATATATAAGTAATAATAAATAAGATTATACTTTTAAAGAATTAAGTTTATATTTTTAAAAATATTAATATAATACTTATTAAATGTTAAAAAGCTAAAAAAAACTTAAATGTAACTTAAAAGAATATTTATTATTAAGGAATTTTAAGCTTTTATTTAAGAAAAATAAAAAGAAAAGCGGTTAATTAATAAAATAAGTAATAATGTTAAAGAGTTAATTAATAATGGATTAATTAAATAATAATATAATAATTATAATAAAATTAAGCATAATATAAAAACTTATAAGAAAGATATAAAACTTTAATTAATTAAATTTTAAATAAATTATATTTATTTTAAATTAATTAATATTAATTAATATTAATATATATAATTAATTAATTTATTATAAACCGTATTTTTAATAATATAATTAATATTAATTAATATTAACTTTTATTAAATTAATTATATTAAATAAACGTTAAAGTTAATAAAAGTTAATTAAAGTTAAAAAAATTAATTATTATTTAATATTAATTATTACTTAATAAATTACGTTATAATTATTTATTTAATTATAATAAGTTTAAATATAAATAAAATTTTAATATTTATAATTCCCCATTAATTAAGTAATGATTAATTATCTTAATAACTTTTTTTTTTTGGTAAATTAAGTGCATAGTAATGGCAAGAAGGTTATCCGTGATGATCTTAGTGCATATTCCGCATTCACAGCCAAATTTTGGTGCAGGGGGGGAGAGCCAACCAAACCAACCGGGGGGGGGGTAACAGCTTGTTTTCCACACATAGCGCTTAGGTTCGTAGGACTCGGGAGGAACTGTTTTGGCGTTTGATCCGTGGCTGCTGCTACGCCCGTAGCGGAAGCAAGACTCGAAAAGTCCGGCCCAGGACTTGATGATTGTCTCTCATGATCGGCGTGGTGTGTGCCTAAGTATTCCCGTGGCAGGAGGTTTCCTATTGTGGGCATATGCAGCCACTTTCTGGGCAGGTATTGAATGTTGTGCTCTCTTTAGGTCCTTCGATCCGATGCATCCTACTGGGTGACCTGAATTGTCATACAAGTTATGTCTGCGACAACAGCCTGGCAGTATCAGTTGCTTCCTTGGATAGCAGATAGCCAGCGAACAATGCCAATACCCGTCTCTGTGGTTTGAAATGAATCAAACATATTCCTTTGGATCTCTGAAATGGGCAACTTGAATTCGCATTCCCGACTCATTGACACCCCCCCCCCCAACCAGTTGAGCAACCCGAACCTGCCGCGTGCACGAGCTCCTTCCACCCACAGATCTCTCCCCACTTCAGACCCAAAAGGATGTCCTTCTGCATAGCACGCCATGAACCACATTCTCCTCAGGTCCAGAACCGGTTTCTCAGTCTTTGCCGGCCTGAAACCAAAGGACCCCCAACGTCTTTCTTAAATTAGAAGATGCTATGGCCCACCTGGGTGGCCTGGGGGCTGGAAGGAAGCTCGATGGCGGCGAATAAGCGCGGCGCCTCGTAAGCGCCATCGCGGCACATACACTCGCGCGGATTGCCCTGGCTGCCCATGGATCGATCTACTGCGCTATGAATCCACATCTGCCCTTCCCTTCCAAGGTCAAGGGCTCCTGCCCACTTCTGGCCTCCCCGGGCGGCAGACAGAGAGTCGTTGTCGATCAGACTGCCGCACAACCAACAGGCCAGAAAGTGGGAGGGGCTCTGGCCCTCGAGGGTTCTAGGCAGGGCCTCTCCACATGCGCGAATCCTTCCTCCCTTGAGGGACTCGAGGGAAGAAAAGAGCCTCCCCAGGTTGCCGTGGGCCGGCTTGCCAAGCGGATGGCCTCGAAGCGAGAATACATCAATCCCGCCCCGGCCCGGCCACCCTCACGCATGACCCTTCTGGGTCAGGCTGGAAGGGGCCGTTCCAGAGTATATCACCGACCGGTGCTGTTTCTGTTTCCTGTTTTCCGTCTCCCGTCTCGCCTTCCTGTGACCTGAACTCTTCGTTCGCTCTCAACGTCCCTCGCCCGCTGCCACGTTGATCGACGCTCCCCTACAGTTCCGGCTCAAAATCATGTAGGCCCGATGTATTCATCAGGCCTTCTTATTCTTCTTCTCATTTGTCTTTTTCACCCACAGTCCATTTTCGCATTGGTTGACAGAGAAGCGATAACAATATCCGGTCCACATGTCGTCCCTCTGGATGCTCAACCTGGTATACGCCGCCGCGAAGTCCTGAAGGCCCTGAGGCAACGACAGCGCACGAGTACAGACTCTTGCCCCTCCAACTTCGACCAGTGCGGCAATGGGCTCCCGAGCGAGTTCTGCTGCAGGTCGACCGACAGGTGTATTGGTCTCGCCGACAACTCAAGCGTGCTTTGCTGTCCTGATGGCGGCACATGCTCTTCCATCCAGCCCATCACCTGCTCTCTCGCCGTGCAAAACGCCACGGCCTATCCGACCAGTTCCGTTCACTCGATAGACCTGGATGGATCACTCCCAGTCTGTGGGCGCGACAGCTCCGGCTCAGATACTTGCTGTCCTTTCGGATATTCTTGCAATGAGAAGTCGGTCTGTGTCTTGACACAGACTGAGACTCCGGTGTCGACAGGGATATTAGCGACCGCAACATCCAGCTCAACACCAGGACCAGCCATGACGGATTCCGTTGGGACGACTACTACCTCGCCGGCGGCAGAGTCAACTTACACAATGATCATGCCGACCTACGTATCAGATTCCGACAGGGACAACTCCTCGTCAGACCGGCCCAAGACCATAGGTATTGCCACGGGGTCCGCTGTTGGCGGCGTCGCTGCTGTCGCAGGAATATTGGTATTTGCCTGGATTAAGCGGAAACGCATCAAGGAAACAGCCAAGCAAAAGCGGCAGTCTATCACGCAAAGATTCTCAGCAACGCCCCCGCCACTACCCCCCAAAGAATTCCCCTATCCGACCCCGACCCCGAAAAAGAAGCGGAGGTCGATGATACCCAGCTGGGTGCCTTCAGTCATCAACAAAACGGCGCCGGCTGAACTCCCGGCCACCCCGGTATCTTTCAGTGCCTGGAATAATCAGTGGGATGGCGTGCAGCCTCCCAACAGAGCTCATAGGCCGTATCCTCGGGATTCGATGAGCCCGCCGCGGGCCCATGAGCTGGAAGCAAGGTGGTTGCCTCAGCCGGGGCAGCATGAAAGGGAGCCTATGTTCCTCTGACCAAATCTCAAGACAAAATCTATAATAATTTAATCATTGTTCAATTGACTGGGATCTCAGACATGCAGTTTTGTTGCCCTCGAAGTTGTTTGTCTCGTCACCCCAACAAAGGTGTTTCAATCCTCATTGCGCGAATTAGACCTCCAGCGTCTTTTAGTCACCACTTGGGCGGCTCTTGTCATCTGACACAGCTATGAATGAAAGAACACTATGAAGCCGTATAGAAATCTTCGACGATAAATAACATGCGTGATGGGAAGACAGCCTCGAGCAAAAGGCTTGGTAGCGAAACTCGATATTCAACCAGCCCGTATTCAATCGAGGCCTCTTGAACTATTCATCCAGACATGTTCCACATGGGCAAGGTCATACGGTCTCGCAAAGTCATTCGTGATGTGACGTACAGATGGATCCCCTTCCTATTCGTCGTGTTAACGGTCATCGTCTGTACGGCATTGTTGAGCACCTCGGGCAAGCCACCTCGCGGCATAGTCGTCACATTTTCCGTCATGGCGGGCCTCCTCGTCTTCTTCTTTCTGTTGTGCCACCTAATGCTGTACTGCACTGGGATCAAGCATGAGATGGATACGGAGGAGGGAAATGGCGACAACGGGAATGTCGACCCCAGTCATCAGCTCGACAGTAACATTCCCCCAGGCTTCTTACCTGACGCCAATGTCAACACCAATACCAACACCAACACCAATGCCAATACTCAGGTGCAGCAGCGGGAGCGAGATCAAACAGAGCATCATGGACTTGGGAGAGATGAGCAGCACCGGCGTAGCCAGTATCATCCGGATCATCACGTGGGTCGACATGCCCAGACTCGCTCTCCAGCAGCCCAGCATGATATTCACAAGGTCAACCAAGCTGCGGCCTATGGCTCATCTGAGCCACACTCCCAAAGCAAAGAAGAGAATAGAGCACACCAATATAACCCTCCACGGACCTTAGAGCAACGACTGAGTGAAAGATCACTGCGTCGTAGTTCAGCGACTCCTCATCCTCTACGTCCGCATCGATCGCCACGTCAGGCAGAAAGTGCCCAGCAGCGGTATCAGCCCGAACTGGGTTTTGAAGGATTGCCATCAGGCCGTCCACAATCTCGGCACACGTCTGGCGGATACGGCTCGTCATTGCACTCAAAACACACGACAAGATCACAAACGGAGGTGGCAGGGCAGCTTCCACGTAAGCCCCGAAAATGGAACCCTGGGGCACCAAGGAACGCGGCGCTGTCACATATGCTGCAGCGCAGCGTACCAGACAACGAGTTCCGCAGCAGCATCAGTGTCGCCCAACAGAGGGAAAAGGAGATGTTCCTCGACAGCACCCAGAACAGACTCCGCGGCGCCTCGGGCCATGCTGTCACGCCCGCGGATCAAGCTGAGCCTCGGGAACACCCTGGGGAGGCGCCGAATAGTGTGCAAGCTCATTGTGCGCTCCTCGGTGGCCCGGATGTCTGGGGACTGGTATCGAACTTATTCTCCGACATGAGGCCACGCGCTCGTCTCCGGCGAAAGTCTGGCGACGACTATCTCGATCGAACCCCATCAGCACTAGACGATGGCGACACCGTCATAACCCTCCGAGATATCGGCCGTAAGGTTGTCCAGATGCATCCTGCGGCGGCTGAGGTGGAGGGAGCCCGCAGCCAGAAGGGCCTTGTCCAGAGAACGCGGTTGAGAGACTCGAACGACAGCGGCTACTACTCGGCTGATAACAATCAACAACCGCCGTCGCTACCACAGCCCGCCGGTTCGTCGACGGCGGTCTCATCGACGTTGGTCTCATCGGCAGCCTCGACCAGCCCTCCGCTCTCGAGCGGACCGTCAGCCTGTTCCTCACTGAGAGCAGAGTCAGGGCACAGCCCCCATCCGAATTCAGCCTCAAGCGCACGCTCAGAACAGAACGGCTGGGTTGAGACGGAGGGCGTGGAGGGTCAGGGCGTGGTAAGGGTCACCATGGAGCCGCCACTTCATGACGGGCGACCAAAAACACGGCCGAGGTCTAGAACTTTTTAGGTGAATGTTTGGGAAGGAGAGGGGTCCAAGTGGAAGCGTTCTTGTGCTGAGGCCCTTATTTCCAGACCGGAAACATCCCTAACAACCGATTATGCCTCAATTAGTGGTTCAATATGCTATGTATCCAAGACTACAAGTTGTGCCATTGCATAGTGTTGATCAGAACTCACTAATGGGCAACGTGACGAGACCCGGCGCTCGCTCAACCAGGAGTGAGCCTAGAGTGAACTCCAAAGTCTTCCTTGCAAGCTGTAATGAAGTTCTTCGATCCAACAAACAATAGCAAGGTCCTCGTCAGGTTGGAAAACAGACCCTCCGTGAATCGATACGACGGTTGGGAAGGGCCCAGCTTTGGTGGGTCAGTAGCAGTCCTCATAGCTTCAGGTCACCGGAAGAACGGCGTCGTGCAGCGGGATAAGCAGTTTCCAGTAGAAATTGCGTGCAAAAAGCGATGTTGTATCGCATCTGGTATCAGTTTCCCCAACGCCTGGTCGTAAATTTCAAAACAAAATGCTGTGGATGCTCATAGGATCTCTTCATCTTCGCCCTGCAGCGGCGGCGGCGGCGCACCATCAAGGGCAGCTGTGGAGCTCAGCACCGCAGCTACTGCCGGTGTGCCCTGCTCCGCCTCCCACATCTCCTCGTCGACCTCCTCGAAATCCTCGTCGTCATCGCCGTCCGCCAGCCCCGCGAACTTGTTCACTCCGGCCAGCCTGGCGCCGGCGGCCTCGCCGGCCTGCGCGTTGATGTCGTCCCAGCCCTTCTTGCGGCCGGCGATGTTGGCGGCGGCCTTCTTGCTCTTGAGGACCTTGTTGGACGTCCTGTCGACGATCTCCTCGGCCCTCTCGAGGCCGCGCTCGTGGCGCTTGCGGGCCCTGGTGCTCAGCACGGCCTTGCGGCCCCGCTTGGACTTCTTGGTGACGCCGGCGTTCTGGTGCAGGCCGAGGACGGAGGGGCGGGCGTCGACGGACTCGGGCGGCGGCCGGGCGTCCTTCAGCGACTTGTCGGTGTTGATGCTGGGCGATGTGGCTCGGCGGGCGGCGCGCGAGTGGATGGATGGCGCTGCGGGCCTGTGTCAGATGTGAAAATTTCCCAGCGTCTTTCAGGATTCCAGACTCAGCCTGGCTGAGAAACTGCATACCTTTGCCCCTTGTTTTTGCCATTTTGCTTGCTGTTCAGATATGTTGTGTTTGGGAAGATCTGGAAATTTTGGTATCGATAAGAGTCTGAAATGCCGCAGGCACCCTTGGACTTGAGCTCCCCTGTCGGTAGGTCTCGCGTAGGATCTGCGAGCAAGGGATCCCCTGGCCAAGTGTCGCCTAGGCACGCAGACCTGGCTAACTTATCTCTAACACACAGACCTCCTCCAGCCCGCATGACTTAGCGCATTTTTAAACGCAAACTCCCTATTAAATTTTAATGGAAAGCCTGTTAAGGCTTATATAACTATAGTTAGGAAGATAAGGGACGTTATATAGGTAAAGGAGGTTTATAATTAAATTATAATTATAATTATAATTAAAATATAATAATTATTTAATAAAATTAAAATTTACTTATATTATTATAAAAATATATTATTATTAAATATTAATATATATTTTAAAATTTATAAAATTAAGTTATTATTTTAATATTATTTATATTATACCTTAATTATTATATTAATAATAATAATAGTTAATTTTTATTTAAAGTATATAAACTTTATTAATTTTTTAATAATTTATTAATACTTAATAATTCTTTTTATATTTAATAACTTATATATTAATATCTTTAAATTATTTCTTTTTTTTTAAATTTATTAAACTTTATAAATATAAGCTAAATAATATAATATAATTATAAAAGTTTTTAAGTTAATATAAAAAATATTATATAATTAAATTTTAAGCTAAAAATTATTTATAAAAAGAATTTATTTAAAAGCTTTTATTATAATAATTAAAGTTTTAATAATAAAAAGAATATAAAGATTATATTAAAAAATATTATTTTTAAAATTATAATGCTTTAAAAAAGGCTTTATAAATTTATAAATAAAAATATTAAAAATAATAAAGTTTATAATTTTTAAGTATTTTTTACTAAATAATTAAAAAATCTTTATTATATATTTATTATTATAAATATTTTAAGATATTTTATTATTTATAAAACTTTTTAATTATTTAAAATTATTATTTATAATTTAAATAAAGATAAAAAAGATATTTTTTTTATTATAACTTTATATAAAGAAATAATAAGCCTTTTAAAAAAAGAATTATTTTTAATTTTTAATTTATTTAATAAAGATAATAAACTTTTAAATATATTAAGCAATTTAAAAATAACTTTAAAATTAATTATTAAAGCTAAATATATATAATATAATATTAATTATATATAAATTACTATAAAATAAAAGGCATTAAACTTATTTATGCTTTTTTTATAGCTTTTTTAAAATAAATATATAAGTTATAAAAAGATCCTTAATCTTTTTATTAATAAAGAAAAAAAATTATAAATTTACTTTATAATATTATATTTTTTTATATATTTATATATAAATAAAGCTTTTTTTTTAAAAAGCTTTTTAAATTATATTTATTCTTTAATAATATATATATTTATATAATTAATATGCTTATTAATATATTTATATATATAATTTATAATACTTAAAGCTATAATTAATAAGTATAAATATAAGTATTTATTCTTTATATAATATATTAAAAATATTATAATTTTAGCTTAGCTAAGAAATAAGGATTATATATTCTTAATTAAGCATAAATTTCTTACCTTAATTAAGTAAAAAGTTTATATTTAAAATAAATAATTAATTTAAGATTTTATAATTAATATTTATAAGTATAAGCATTTATTTATTATATTAAACCTTAAATAAGCTATTAAATTATATATAAGTAATTACTATTTAAAACCTTTATTAATATATATATAATTTAAAAATAGTAATTTAATATAATAATTTTAATTTCTTAAATAAAGTTTAAGATTATATTAATAAAAAGCATAATTAATTTATAAATTTTATAATTATAATATACTTTAAAATACTTAGCTAAAAAGGTAAATATATTTAATAAATAAACTTTAATTTAAAGCAATAATTTATTATATAAATAGTTTAAAAATACTTTTTCTTATAATAAAAAAGTCTTAATAAGGTATTTAAGTAACTTTTTTTATATTATATATATTAATTATTTACTTATAATAGCAAAAACCTAAATTTATTATTACTTAATATTAAATATATTAAGATAAAGTTTTTTAAAACCCTTTTTCTTTAAATTAATGCTATATATAAAGATAAAGATAAGATCTTTAATATTTATAATATATATAATAAACTTTTTAAGAAGCGTTTATATTTAAATAAGGACTTTTATAAAATATATATTATTTTAATATATAATAATTATAAAACTATTAATTATATTTAATGCATTAAGTATAATTAATGAAAATCTTAAGATATTTATAAAATTTAAAGGTAAATAAAAGCTTTTCTTATTAGCTTTTATATTAAGTTAAATTATATTAAGCTTTTTTTTTATAATTATTATATATATTAAAAACTTAAAGATAAAGTTTTTTACTATTATTTTATATAATATATTATTACTTATATAAATTAAATTTATTAATAAGAAAAATATTAAGTATTATAAGGTTATATTATTATTTTATTATAATTTTAATGCTTAACTTATTACTTTTATAATTAATGCTTTAATTTAATATAAGCTATTAATAATTAAAATTAATAAAGTTAATATTTAATAATTTTATAATATAATAAAGTAAATCTTTAATAAAGTATTTAATAATATTTTTAAATAATATTTATTAATTAATTTTTTTTAGCTATAAAGGCTAAATAAATAAATATAAAGATAAGAAAGTAATTAATATTAAGTTTTAAAGTTAATATTATTATATAATAAGCATTAAGATATTACTTATCTTTAATAAGGCCACTTATTATAATAATTATAATTTAATTTATAATATTATTATATAGCTTTTAGCCTTTTTTTAAAGTAAGAAGTTATATAATTATAAACTTAAAATACTTAATATAATATAGATTTTAATTAAAAAGGTAACTCTTAATATAAAAATTCGCAATAATATTCTTAAAGCTAAGCTTATTAAGTATATTATTATTAAATATAGCTTTAAGCCTATTAATTAAGCTAATAAATATATTAATAATTCTTATATTATAAATATTAAATATAATAAGAATTTTACTTATAATGTTTAATTAATATTTTCTTAGCTTGCTTAATATAAATCATAAATATTAATTATATATAAGATTATTAAAAAGTTCTTTAGCATTTATTTAAAGAAAATATATATACTTAAAAATTTTAAGGATAATATTCTTTAGTTTAAGTAAAAGTTATATATTAATAAGGCTATAAGGTAATAATTAAGATAATAAGGCTTTAATTTTCTTAATTTAATAATAAAAAAATAAAATATATTAGCTAATAAGCTAAATTAATAAAATAAAATATTCTTAAAGTTAAAAAAAGGTATTATTTAAGCAAGGGTTCCTTTTATTAATAAGGAGAATATTAATAATGAAAACTTTTTAGCTATTTTAAGCAATAATAATTATTTATATTATATAAAGGCTAATAATATATAAGATATTAATTTAAATAACTTAATATAAAATAATTAATAATTATATAACATATTTATAAATTTTAATATTTACCTTTATTTTATAATAATAAGTATATTTTATAATAAGGAATTTATTAAAATAAAGTAACTTCCTTTAACTATTATTAAATGCCTTTAAATATCTTTATTATTATATTATAAAGCAATAAAAGCAATAAGCACTTATTTATAAAGCATCTTTTTCTTTATAAAAACAAAAATAAAAAAAAGGAAAATAATGAAAATAAAAAAGAAAATTATAAGCCCTAAATCCTATTTTAACTTTATAAATACTTAATAAATAAACTTAACCTTTCCTAAAAAAGGATAAAAAGGAAAATAATAAAAATAAGAAGGAGAATTATTAAAAAGAAAAGGATTATTAAAAGTACTATATTAAAAGTATAAATTAGCAGGTATAAAGTATAAAAAAGAAAATTATAAAAGAAAGGATTATAAAAAAAAGAACTTAAATATGCATACTTAAAATATTAACACCCTTTATTATTATTTTAAAATACTTTAAAAAGGAAAAGAATTATAAAAAAGGGGAAATAAGTATATATATATATAAAAAAGGTATATAAAAGTATTAAAAATAGTTGCTTAAATTAAGGATTAAACCCAAAACCCCTTATATTTAAACTTTATTATATATATATTTTTATAAATATATAATAAATTAAAAGTTAAACTATATAAAATATATTATTATTATATTATTTAAGCATTTATTATAAAAGGGAAAAAGCAACTTATTTATATAAAAGGAGCTATTTTAAGCAGCTTAGCTACCTATTAAGACTTATAAACTTATTACTTAAATTTTAAGATTAATAAACTTCCTACTTAATTTAAATAAAAGTTTATAAATCTTAGCAAGCTAAAGTATTAATTTATAAAATTTACTTTTTAATAACCTTTAGCAATCTTTATATATAAGGGTAAGGTAAATATATTATAAAGCTATAAGCATTAGCAAACTCCCTATTTAAGTTAAGTAAGAAGTTTACCAACTCTTATATGCTTAAATATAAATTCTTATTATTAACTTCTTATAATAGCCTTAAATAATCTTTATATATCTAGCAAGCTAAATATTATAATAATTATGCTTATTTAAATAAGCGCTATATTTTACTTAGGCAGATTAATTAATATTCTTAATTATAAAAAGTAAATATAAAGAAAATAAGAAATAAAACGCTAACTATAAATATTATTTATATATTTATATAGCAACGCAGCTCCTTAAATCCCTTTTTATATGCTTTATATAATGTTAAGTTAAGGTAATTTACCCTTTTTATCTTATATTTATTAATAAAGCTTGCTTTTATAAGCTTCTTTTTATTTTATAACTCCTTATAAATAGCAATAAATTAATATAATAGCCAACTTATTAAGCTTTGCCATCCTTTTAAAACTTAAAAAATAATCCTTTAGCCATTTTTAGCTTTAAAACATTAAAGTGCCTTTAACTTTATTAATATTTATAACCTTTATATTTAAATTAATAAATAGCTTTTAATTATTAATTAAAATAAATACTTAAGCTAAACTTAAAAAGAAGTATGGTAAGCGCAAATCCTTATTAAATATAATATTAAAACCTATATTATCTTTCTTTTCCTTCTTCTCTTTATTTCCCTTAATATTATATACTTAATGCTTATAAATAAAAAGTTAGGCAAGCTAAATAAATTAAGATACTAGCATATTAATAGCTAGCTGCAATATAATTTAATAATCTTTAGCTTAATTATTATATATATAGTTTAAATAAGCACTTTTTAAAATTAAAGGTATAAAATTAATATTAAAAGCCTTTATGCAACCTTATTATAAGCTATATTGCTAATAATACTTATTATAAGCAAGGCTAAATAAGCTAATAACTTAGCAAAAAACTATAATTAAGTTTTTATTAATAAAAGATATATTAAAGGCAAAGCTTAATATAAAGGCTATACTATTTATATAGCAATAATTACTATTAATAAGCTTATTAATTATTAGCAAATCTAATAACTTTTTAATAAGTTAATTATTTAGCCTTATTATTAAATAGCATATAGCCATTATAAAAACGTTTATCTTAACGTAATTTTATATAAGCATTAAGAGAAATTATTAAAAATGCTTAATTAAGAAAATAAAATTAATATTATATATATTTTTAAGCTAATTAATAATTCCCTATTTGCTAAATGCTTATTTAATATATGCTAATATAACCATAAGGGTAAGATATATTTAAGCTATTATTACTTACGCCATTACCTCCTTTGCTGCCTCTTATATTAACTACTTTAAAATTATAAAATATTATTATATAAATAATTAATTTAATAATTAAATAAATGCATATTATTAAGAGATTTATAATAAATTAATTATTATTATTACTATTATTATTATTAATGCTATTATTATTATTATTATCGTTAAGAAAGAAATAATAAATGTTAAAAGTAGGGGTAATGCATTTTAAGCTATAAATATAAGGTTATGCAAACTCCCTATTAAAATATAATAAGGAGTTTGCTAATCTTAATTAAGTTAATATAATTAAAATTATACTTATTATTATTTTATTTATAAACCTATATTTAATTACTTTGCAACTTTAATATTTTTTAATACCTTTTTAATTAAATACTTATTATATTTAATTATAATAAGAATATTTACCTTTTTTTAAATTATTAAGATAAAGTTTTTTAGCAAGCTAAATAAAATATTACCCTTATAATTAAGGAATTCCTATACTTATAAGGCAGGAATTTTTTTTAAAAGCTGCTTAAAATTACTTACTTAAAAAGTAACCTTCTTAAATTAATCTTTTTTTACTTAAATCTTTTAATAAAGATAATTAATAGCTTATTATATTATATTTTTTATAAATATCTTATTGCTAATTAAGCCTTAATAGCTTGCCTTTAGCATTAAATCCTAAGCTTTAATAAAGCATTATAAAAATAAGATTTTAAGAGCTATATATTAAATAAAATTAATATATAGCTTTATATTCTTATTAATTTAGCTAAAGTTAATTATTAAAAACTTAAATATTAAGCTATAATCCTTATAAACTTAGCTATTGCAATAAATTAATATATTTATAAGCTATTTATACTTTAATATAAGATTATTTAGCTTTTAAAGGAAATTTATAATATATTCTTAAAAGTAAGGGGAGTTTAAAAATGCCTTATACTTAAAATTTAATATATTTTATATTTTTATCTTTAATTAAAATTATTTTACTAATTTTAAATCTTAAAGATTTTAAGATTTAATATTAAAAGCTTAGCTACTTATTATTTTAATTATAAGATTAATAATAATATTAAAAGCATAGCTTACTTAAAACTTAATATTTATAATATTTTATATATTACTTTTATTACTATTTTTATTAATAATACTATTTATTATTAATATTACTTTATAAAAATAATTAAGTTAAATAAATTAATATACTTATTTATATTAAAGAATATTAAATAATTAAGTTTGCTAAATTTAATATATTTACTTTTTTTTTATACTTAAGTAGTTAAATTAATAAATAAAGGTAAATATAATAAATTATTTTTAAAATTATTGCTTTCTTATCTTATATTTATTATATTACTAAAAATTAAATATATTAAATTATTATAATAAGTTAAATTATATAATAATAATAATATTATTAATATTTAAGCTAATATTAAAAAATATAATTAAAATTATTACTTAATATTTAAAGTTTAGCTTTTTAAATTTTATAAATATATAATTTTAATTTAATTTATAAATATTTACATTAAAGTATTTTAAAAAGTTTAATATCTATTAAATATTAAAGCTATAATATTTTTAAAGATATTTAATAAATAACTTATAAGCTTATAATAATTTATTTTTATTATTAATATATATTAAATTCTTTATAATAATAATTAAGTTAAGAAAATTTACATTATTTAATAAAAAGTATAAGCATTAAAAGTTTTTTATATATTTATAAATAAAAGGTTAAATAATTATTAAAAACTTAAGATAATTAATTAATATTTAAATTATTTTTATATTATTAATATTTAAGCTTATATACTTAAAAATATAATCTTAATTTATATAATTAAAAGTAGTTATATAAGTAAATAATAATATTTAATAAGGCATTAACTTTTTAACTTAATAAATAAAAAAGAAATTAATTTAAAAGCTTTTTCTTTATATAATAATTATATATACTTTATTAATAATAATTATACTTACTTAGCTATTAAATGCTAAATTATAAAGAAGCTTTTTAAAGTAATAATTTTATTTTTATTTTAAACTTATAATAATATATATAAAATTACCCTTTTTAATTTATTTTTAAATTTAAGGGTTTTATAATTATATTAATATTATATTCTTTAATAAACTCCTTATTTAAATTTAATAAAAAGTTTATCTTAATTAATATTATATTATTAAACTTACTTATATATATAAATTAATATTAACTTAAATAAAATATATATTTTATATATTATTTATAATATTTTTAATTTACTTTTTTTTAAGCTTTATTAAAAATATAAAGTAAATAATAATTTTCTTTTAAAATATAATAAATATATATTATAAAGCACTCTTTTTATACTTAATAATTATAATAAATATAATATTTTAATCCTTAAATAAAATTATAATAGCTTTTATTTATTCTTTATAAATTAAAAAATATTTAATTATACTTTTAATTATATTTATAATATTAATAAATAAAATCTTTATTAATAATTATTTATAATTTAATAAATTAATTTTTAAATAAATACTTATATTTATTAATAATTATAATTTATAAAAATAAATTAGCAATTTTTTAAGTTTTATAACTTAATTTTATATTTTTTATTAAATTTTTATACTTTTAAATATTATTATTAATAATTAAAATATAAATAATTAATAATATATAAAGCGCTTTTTAATTTTATTTCTTAATTAAGTATATTTAATTTAATAAATTTTATCTTAAAAAATAATAATTATATTAATAAAATCTTTATTTAAAATAAAAACTTAAATAATAATTTTTAAAAGTATAAATAAAAAGCATTATAATAATATTATAAAGTATTTTTAAAATATTTTTTATGCTTTTATATAAAATAATATTTAAATTTAACTTTTTTTATATTTTAATTTTAAATATCTTTTATATATATTTAAACTTAACTTAATAATTATATTAATTATAATTTTATTATAAAATATAACCTTTTTATTTAAAATAAATAAGAAATTTATATTAAGCTATATATATTCTTAGCTTAGCATTATATATTATAATAATCAATCCTTTAATGCAGCCTCCCTACTTAGTATAAGTAGGGAGGCTGCGCCTTTATATTATGGCTAGGCCGCAGGCCTGGCCACGCATATAAAAGGACACCTAAACTTTTAAGATAATGGCTAACCACTGTTGGCAATGAGGCTCAGTTTTCTGACTACATCCTCTTCATCCCTGCAGCTGCAGCCATGGTACTTCGGTACACAAACGTTTGTCCTTATCCGTTCAGCAGCATCAGCACCAGCAGGATCAGCGGCAGGGCCTCTTATGACCTGATGGTCTGCGAAGGAGCACTGCGCAGCATGCAGCGCGGACGCTAGACTGTCAGCTCGGAATGCTGGTAATCATTTGTGCCCGACTCGGGGAAGGAAGACAGTCACTGTCAAAACACTTGAGCATCCTACGAAGAGTACCATTAGTGACTCACTGCAGCAGATACGGTGGTTTGCGACCGAGCCTCTATCCGGGAGATGGCTGATCCTTTGCCACATGAGACTTGTTGTTCTGCTCTACAGTGATATCGAATGGTGACCGTTTTACCTGCATGGAGATCACCCACGGCACGCTGACAGTCAGAGTTACACGCCTGCCACACAATACTAGTAGCTCATGCTTTGGAACAAGGTAACGTGAGTACAATGCTTTAAATCACCGGTCATACTGAAGGGCCAAGATACTCGAGAACCAAAGGCAGAGAAGAATTTTTGCAAAAGAAAGCAAAACGACAAAAAGCAAAGAAGTCAGATAGCTACAACTGGTTTCGATCCAGCGACCTCCGGGTTATGAGCCCGGCGCCTGATTGGTTTGTTAGAACATGTTGGAACCAATTTCTTAAGATTCAAGTTAAGTTGACCTACTCTTCCCCTGAGCTATGTAGCTGCTTGGATGTCGTGTGCTTCTTAGGGCTAGAATAAATGGAACGTGACAGCAACAAATTCTGCTGCTGTGGAGCCAGGTTTCTGTACAGTGATGGGTACTGTACCTCCTTTAGGTACTGCCTGTGCTCCACACACTGCGGCCCTGTGAAACCTGGGGAAGATCAAGTGGGTCTGGGGAAGCCCCTAGAGGGTAACTGACACCACTTTAGGCAGACCAGACCGGCAAAGGCCATGTTGCGTCTAATGCTGTCACTTGACTGCTCTGGCCTACTACAGAAGAGTCTAACATCTTTCAACCACCGCCCATGACCACAAACCAGGCCAATGACAACTTGGAGGAATCCAGTATTCCCAGATGTCGATTCACTGCCGGGATAGCACTGTTCCCAAACACAGAGCTGCTGTGCCATCTCATCTGACAGCATTATCTAAAAAAGCGACAGTCCTTCAAAGCACCAACCATGGGATCTTGTCAAAGATTCATCTCTCCACATCACCTTGCTCACCGGAGCTCGAGCTGAAATCTAAGTGGTTGCAAATGAGGAAGAAAATTCGACGCCAATGTTATTACATCCACTGTCGAGATTAATCGCCATCCGACAAGACAAACCCATTTACCTTCTTCCAGCTGCCCAAAAATATAAGACGATCAGCTCAACATTGCAAAAGAACCAGCAACAAAATGTCACAGAATACACCAGACCGAAGCGGCAGCGGAAAGAATCCAGCCGGCGATGATTGGGTCAAAGTACCAAAAGATCCGGAGTGGCAGGAGGACATCGATGAGCATGACAAGATCTACTCGGGTCCTGGAGCAGACATCAAGAAATCCACTCTCAAGTCCACATCATTTGGCAGCTTGCTCAAGGAGTTCTGCGTCAAAGTCATGGATACAAGCTCACGTGCGTCCGGGATGACCAGAAGGGCTGGAGAGAGTCGTGCTGGAAATTCAGCCAAGGGAAGCTAGTCAACTGGTGGCACTGCAGGCAAGCCAGTCCGTTTTTGACATGGAGAGATTCTTGGGGGTTCAGGGCCATGGGGTCAACATTGTTGTGACGATGGCCTTGGTGGACGGCGCCAGTGTTGATAGCGGCGGGAGTGAGAGGAAGAATTGGTCGATATTCTGTGCTCACAGCAAATCAAGAACAGTGTGTTTGCTCAAGTCCGATCTGTGCTTTTGATTTATGCCAATAAAATTGAGGACGGCTTCTGTCCTAGTTTACCACATACTGAATGCTTCTATTTGGCTCTCACTTTTCTATTTCCATCCTTTATTCTGAGACTCCCTGTGCTGGAAATTTCCCCCATATGCTGCAAGCCGACCACAGCCAAACGCCTGGCCTCCTATACTCAAGCTGAAGCAGATATCCTGGGAAATACACAAATTCTCAAGGACACATTCAAAGATCCACGCCAACTCCTCAGCTCTTCTCCCCTGGAAAAAAGAAAGAAAAAAAGAAACATTAGCCAAACCTCATCCTCGAAATCACACCTCAGAAAGCCAATCTGTCCCATTATGGATCCTTCTTCTTCCTCAGTGGTAAAGCAGGTAAGCAACCTTGCGGTCCAAACATTCATGATCAAACAAACTGACAGGTGTAAGACGTCAGAGGCTGTTCAGAAACCGGACACTGCTACAGACTTTGATAAGATAAGTGGGGAGATAAAAGAGGCCATCAAGGACCTGCCGCCTAGCATGGGTGGAAGTGAACTCTCTTGGCCAGAAGACACATCCGGCCTGAAGCTCCGAATCGAAGAGCGTCTCCGAATCGAAGAGCGTGTGCGCATGCCTCCACAGTTATGTCCAAATACCAGGCCTGCTGCTACTGATATGAGAATGGCACAGAATCCTTCCGCCAGTCATAATACACCACAATTACAGGCCGATTCACATATACGTCCAACGCCTTACAACATGCCTCGTCCAAGGAACTTTGTGCCCAACGGCAGCCAGTCCGGGGTTGAAAGCACGGCCCAACAGCCTCCAGCAATCTCCCAGCCTCAAACAGCCTACCATCCTCAGGCAGGCTACCATCCTCAGGCAGGCTACCCTCCTCAGCCGGGCTACCCTCATCATCCAGGCCACCCTCATCAGCCAGGCTACCCGCCTGAGGCAGCCTGCCCTCCTCAAGCACACGAAAGCCGGCCGCCTGGGCCAGTGATCAACGCAGGAGCTTTACCTGCCGCACCGTCTTGGACTCTGGGGTCGGGGCCCATTGCTCAATACCATGCGGGCCCTGGGTGGTTGGCAGGTCCCCAGAGGTATCCAGGCCCCTCGCAATATCAACCCCCGGTGAATTCTCAAGATTTTGGTTCATACGAGAGGAACCAGGCCATACGGAACAGGCAGCTCAGCCAATATTCTCAAATGAATCAGGTCAGCCAGGCTCCCGGAATGGCCCAAGGACCTCAGCTAAACGGCCAAACTCCACAGAGCCATCAAGTTCAGCAGGGCAATAGTCCTGAGCTGAGCAATGATTCGCAGCACAACGGGAGACTTCTGCAGGGCGTTGGCTACAATCAGAGCACCGATTTCCAGCAAAACGATGGTTCCCAGCTGAATAATAGCTTACAGCCAAGGAGTGAATTCCGGCAGACCAACGGATCTCAGCAGAGCAACGGGTTCCAGGAGAGTCAAGCTTTCCAACAGAGCGAAGGTTCTCAGCTGGCCAACATCTCTCATCGGAACAACACTCCTCACCAGAACAACACTCCTCACCAGAACAGCACTCCTCATCAGAACAACACTTCCTTGAAGAGGCGAAGGTCAATGACCAACCCAGACGGTGATGGACCAGCCAACAAACTGCCCAGAAATGAGGAGTCTTCACCCTGATCGGCAAAGAATGTGGTTCTAGTCGAGGCGAGATAGCAGCTGGTTTGGTCAACTTACATTACCGAGCAATTGAAGGGTGCTTATACTTATCCTCTAGGGGTTGCCCAGATGGTTCAGCCTATATCTGGGAGAGGTTGGTTTCATTTCCCTCTTCGTGGTGGAAGAGGTCAAGCCTCAATTTCACTCCGTTCCAATTTGAGCACTTCAAAGGCGTGGTACTCTCTCAGGCTATGCATGTGCAGTGTCCGACCCAGTTTTGGGGTCGGAAGGCAATGCGCAGCTGTTTGATAATATATGTGCCGTTTACCCGCTGCGAGGCACTGTTACAATCTCCCATCTCCTTCCAGGGGAGATGTGTTTGATTCCGAAATTGTTGGTATGATAAGGAAACCTTGGACCGGGATGGTTATCAATGGGAAATGTGGTGGGCATGGAAGAGGAACAGGTCATTACAACAGATAGGAGCAAGTTGTGGGAGTGTCGAAAACACGAAAGGGCTCATTGAAGCGAGAGCGAGCGAGTCCTGTTTCTTTACCGGGCATCTGAAAATCGTTTTTTATGCTAGGGTCGGTACGGTAGTTCATGTACAGCACTCGATGAGGGCATCATTAGAGCCAGCAGGTCTAGTGAACAGTGAAGAAAGTCAGAGCTCAGCGTTGCTGACAAAACGTCAACTCTCATGACATTTAACTGCAAGTGATATGTCAACAGCCAAGTACATAGAAGTGTAATGAATATGGAATTGTCAGCAAAAGTCGGGCGGAATTAGATAAGATGAGTCGGTGTAAGTCATCTCACCATGAGTCGTCGTTCCTGTCCTGCTCCCTGTCCTGTTTGGGTCCAGGTGATGTTTGGCAATGAGACAACCTCCACTCGTCCGTGAGAATTCCCAAGGAAAATACAATTCCCAATGTTTGCGAAAATACTATCTTAAAAGTCTTCCCCTGGAAGATTCGAGAGACGGCAATTATAGGAGAGAAAGTCATAGGCATGCACAGGGCGGGACGTGCGTCATTACACAGCAGATCGGCCCCCACTCGAGTGGGACGAGCTTACGAGACTCACGTACATAACATCACACTTATGGCATCAGTGGCATCGTCCAAAGGCGCTTGATTTATAAGCGCGTAAGTGAGATTGACGTCGAGCGGCGGACTCAAAAGGACGAGAAGTTTTGAAACAATCTCAAGAATTCCAAGGAATGACTGCAAGACTCAGAAAAATCGAAGAGCATCTCAACATGGCGAACGAAGCTAACATCCAACTCTGTAAGCCCACCCCGCAGACTAAAATGAGCATCGCGGACTGTTATTAACTTTTTACTCAAAGACACTACCGGGACGCCCAACGGGATCAAAGTGTCCATTCTGCTAGAGGAGCTTGGCCTGCCCTACCAGGTCAGCGTTCTGACGCCCTTGCCCATGCGTGACACTGTGTTGACGACTCGATTAGACGACCGCCATAGATTTGGCCAAAAACACACAGAAGGTGAAATGCTCCTGGAGTGTGTGGGATGTCCTGAGGGCACTGGCTGATCTTTCATACAGGAAGACTGGTTCCTTGAGATCAACCCCAATGGCAGAGTAAGGATTTTCAGTCGGAATTAATCTTGTTCGATCTCCAGGAGCCCAGCTAAACGAGACCCTCAGATCCCAGCCATCACGGACAAGTTCGGCGACAAGACTATCCGGCTGTTCGAGAGCGGCTCGATTCTGCTGTACCTCGTCGACAAATATGACAAGGACCACAAGATCTCGTATCCCCACGGGACAGAGGAGTACTATGAGACCAACAACTGGGTTCGTCACAAGCCTCAGACAAGACCCCTGAGGCTTCCTCGACGTCTAACATAAACGACAGCTCTTCTTCCAAAACGCCGGTCTAGGGCCGATGCAGGGTCAGGCAAATCACTTCACAAGTACGACTTCTGCCCCATGTGGACTCGCCTGCGGAGGACGGCTCTGATGCTGAACAATGTTCCAGGATACGCACCCGAGAAGATCCCCTACGGCATTTCTCGATACCAGAACGAGACACGACGCCTGTACCGTGTCCTAGACACCGCGCTCGAGAAGAGCAAGTCCGGATTCCTCGTCGGTGACCGTCTCACAATCGCAGACGTCTCGTGTTGGGGTTGGGTCGCTTCAGCCAGTCAGTTTTAACCCCCTCTCCCCCTCCTCCCCCATTACTTTATTCACCTGTGCTGACTGTTATCACCTCACACCGAAGAGTGGTCGGGTATCGATATTAACGATTTCCCCCGCCTCAAGAAATGGCTTTACAAGCTGCTTGAGCGGCCTGGGTTCGAGAAGGGTCGAAATGTCCCCACTGAGCACAAGGCCTTCAAGATGGCCGAGTTGTCCGAGGAGGAGCTTGACAAGCTGGCGGCCGGCCCGCGTGCCTGGGTGCAGGCTGGAATGAAGCAGGATGCTGCAAAATAAGTACCTAGTAGTTACTTCCCGACAGGTCGAAGAGGACAATCCTCTCAAGTTGAAATGCCATGGATGCCATGTAATGAGAGGGGAGATGACTTTGCGAGTTGTACAGTCGCGGCTTGTGAGTTGAATCCAGGCCCAAGAACCCATATGGGCCAGGCATAGGCTGTTCCTGGATATTTGGCAACTTGGGCAGGGCACCAGATAGCCAGCGACTATCAGCACTATCCCCGAGATTATGACTGCAGTCAGAGATGGGGCGCTTGTTCGGTTCCAAATTGGGTATTACGGTGATTGAATAAATAAACACAACTAAACCTCATTTGTAGCAGTACATTGTATGTTGGCCCAATGTGTGAAATCCGACAGCAGACAGGTGGTACCCGTGCATCCTTGCTAGGCCTATCTTCAGGGCGTCTGATAGTACCTAGGTACCAAACTTCAACAGCTCGGCACGCGCTAACAAAAAGCCGACAGGCCCATTCGGCGCTAGGCCAGCATTCCTGGGTGGGCCCGAGGGGGTAGGCTTCCCGTTAGCAAATGCCCATTGCTTCGCAAGCAAGTTTTCAATTTCCTGTCTCCAGCCATCCAACTTCCAACAACGTGCATCGAGTGCGCCCCCAAAGCATCACCGCCCCCTACCTGCAAGAGGCAAACAAGCGACAACATGGCTTGGAGGAATCAAGGCATTACTGGATCTAACAACATACCGTTGGGCAAACGCAGATTTGGCGGCGAGTCTAACGAGCCCGAGGCCCAAAATGACGGCTTTTCCAACGGAGGCGATCGCGATTTGAAGCGTGGTCGCAGCCCCGAACCTCGTGCGTATACAAGGGCATCGCAGGAGACATGGGCACTAGTCACTGACCGCCAGCCAGGCACGGATGCGGATGGACCTCGCCGTCGCAAGAAGCGGAACCGATGGGGTGACGCCGCCGAGAACAAGGCCGCCGGCCTCATGGGGTTGCCCACTGCCATCGTCGCCAACATGACCAGCGAACAGCTCGAGGCGTACACCCTCCATCTACGAATTGAAGAAATCAGCCAGAAGCTGAAGATCGATGATGTCGTGCCTGCCGATGGCGACAGGTGGGTTTCTCCCAGGCCCGTAACGCTGCTCGCGCGGGTCAGACGCTGACAAGAGTATTCACAGATCCCCGTCTCCTGCTCCGCAGTACGACAACCACGGCCGTCGTGTCAACACCAGAGAGTACCGATACCGAAAGCGCCTGGAGGATGAACGTCACAAGCTCATCGAGAAAGCGATGAAGACCATCCCTAACTACCATCCGCCGCAGGATTACAGACGGCCCACTAAGACCCAGGAGAAGGTCTATGTGCCGGTCAATGATTATCCGGAAATCAATTTCAGTATGATTGCTAACCCTCTAACCTCTCTAACCATGTCCTCCCTCCCCGCAACCTGGCGTAGCTCCAGGTGGCGTACCTCAGCAGTGCTACCTCGCAGGCATGCCCTACTGAACGAAGCGTGTTTTTAAAAGCCTCCCGTACTTGATGACGATACTAACACTTAGCTCTCCCTGTTTTAAGTTGGCTTACTCATCGGCCCTCGTGGCAACACTTTGAAGAAGATGGAGACCGAATCGGGTGCAAAAATCGCCATCCGTGGCAAGGGTTCCGTCAAGGAGGGCAAGGGCCGTTCCGATGCAGCTCACGCCAGTAACCAGGAAGAGGATCTCCACTGCTTGATCATGGCCGACACCGAGGACAAGGTTAACAAGGCCAAGAAACTGATCCACAACGTCATCGAAACCGTGAGTCCACTCCCCACTCTATTATTGCCGCGCAAAAACTGACATGCACAGGCTGCTTCCATCCCCGAGGGCCAGAACGAACTGAAGCGTAACCAGCTCCGTGAGCTCGCTGCTTTGAACGGAACTCTGCGTGACGATGAAAACCAAGCTTGCCAGAACTGTGGCCAGATAGGACACCGCAAGTACGACTGCCCTGAGAAGCAGAACTTCACTGCCAGCATCATCTGCCGAGTGTGTGGCAACGCCGGCCACATGGCCCGCGACTGTCCTGATAGACAGAGAGGTGCAAGCTGGCGCAATGATGGGCCCCGGCCTACTGGACGGATCGGCGGAGGCGGAGAAGACGACGCCGAGTACGAGGTAAGTCATCGTCCCGATACATTTGGGTATAAACACGCGTGCGACAGATGCTGATGATGTAACCAGCAATTCATGGCCGAGCTCGGCGGCGGAGCAGCGCCCGCCCGCATCGAGGCCGGCCCTGGCTCCCACGGCAACGGCGACGCCAAACCATGGCAACGTGGACCTACAGGTGGACCTGCTCCTTGGCGCTCCCGCAACAACGACCGCGACCACCACGATGGTGGGGGTGGTGGAGGCGGAGGTGGAGGAGGCTCGGGTGGTCCTGCGCCGTGGGCTCGAGACCGACGTGAGCGGAACCATGACCACCATGGTGGTGATAGCTACTACGGGGGCGGCCAGAACAATGGCTACGGCTCGGCTCCGCCCGGGACGGCGCCTTGGAACCAAGCTCCCGGTGCTCAAGGCGGGTATGGTGGCGCTGCTCCACCCGGCACAGCGCCGTGGCAGCAGGCTCCTGGCGCCCCATCCGCTTACGGTGGTTATCCTGGCGGCTATGGCGCGCCTCCAGGCCTCGGGGCACCGCCTGCACCGCCCGCTGACAACCTCACGGCCTTGATCCAGCAGTTCTCCGGAGGTGCTGCGCCGCCGCCGCCGCCGCCTCCTCCAAGTGAGGGCGCTCCCCCGCCGCCCCCACCAGGCAATCAACCGCCTCCTCCTCCGCCCCCGGGTGCCTAAGGAACACGAAGGCAGCTAGCATAGATTCACGGCCCTGCCACTGACACCAGGCCGAAAATGCTTGGATCCCAGCCTCATTCACTCGCCGTGCTCACCAAGCAGGGAATGTTATGGTATCCCGTGGCAGCGTAGTTCCGCAGGGCAAAAGACTGACTGACTGACCGATGGCACAAATCGGGCAACAATGGTACTGACTGTATGATAGGCAGCTTTTACTAATGCAATGAAAATCTTGTTTTCGCTATTTAGCTTCTGTGTAAAAATGAACAAGTGTCAAGTGATTTGATGTGGTCTGGGGGGTCGGGTTATCATCATCATCTACTGTAGACGTGTAGAGTCAGGGAAGTGATGCTGCTGTGCTCACATCTTCACGAGGCTCTATTTGCGGCTCTGAAGTGGAACACCGTGCAGCTAGACCGTATCTGCTGATTTCGGCCGAGGGAGCTTGGGCCACCCCAAGCTCATGCGGGGCAGGTGAGGTCCAGCTGCATGGTGACGAGTCCGGCCACCAACCACCACCACTGCCCGCCCACTGATCAGTGAGTTCGTCAATCTGCAGCTGCAGTCGGCGGGCGCACCTTGTCCTACCTCAACCAGACATCGCGTCTTGATGGCAAGCGCGGATCTCAGCCCCAGGCCCCAGGGAATCGCCGCCTGTCGTGACAAAATTTGAGCTCATTCAACCAGTGCCAAAAGCTCGCAGCAACCATATTAGCTAGCAGCCTACCTACCCCTCTCTCACTCCTTCTTGCCTGCCCTACGTTGCGATCCAGGTGAATTCCAAAAGAGTATTGTTCCGCCGGCACGCCCCACTGCATACAATTGCACGTTTTATACTTGTTGCTGGCCAGCCCCCTTTATTACTACGACTCGTCCGATTCTCCTTGTGAACCTTTCACCATGACCTGGACGTCTCGACAAGCCGTCACCAGAACCTAGGGAACCACGCTTGGGACACTACGCTGTCTCGACCCGACACCGGTCGGTCGTTGAGTAGGATCCAGCGCTTGCGGGGCTACCCATTGCACTTGTGACAGCGTCAATCATGAATCCATTCGCTTTCCGGCCCGCTCAGGTAACGATATGGACCACTATCGTCTATCTCGCTCTCCTCATACCTATCATCGTCCTGAATGAGTCTGTTCCACCGGCGCCATCCAACCCCAGTCCTCACGCCGGCATCAACCTCACCGAAAGCTGGCACGATCTGGCCACCTTGACCCAGGGCTACCATCCGTACAATAGCCACAAGAATGACGAGGTCCGAAACTGGCTTCTCCTACGCATCCAGCAGATCCTTGATGGGAATGACGCTGATTGGGTCACCGAGGAGGCTATCGGCAAGAAACCGTGAGAGCCGTCTCTCCAGATGCCCACAGACCACACAACTAACAGGACTACGGCCAGATCAAACTATTCAATCAGGTCTCTTAAGCTGTCAGAGAGCCGACCGGAAGAATCCAGCCATAATGTTACCGTATTCAATGACCTCATGTCCAATGTGACTCTGCGCCTTGGGGGCCTCCCGGGATCGCACACGCCTGGAGAGGGCGAGTCCGGCAATGCTGCTTACTTTGAGGGCACCAACGTGATCGTCTACATTCGCGGCTCACTCGACGAAGAAGGGGAGTGGTGGAAACGAAAACGTAACCACCTGAAACTGCCCATCGGAAAGGGCGGGGTTTTGGTGAATGCGCATTACGACTCGTGAGACCCATTGTTTACGCTCGTGGATTCATTGCCGTTAGCTGATATCCCCACAGGGTCTCTACCGGCTTCGGAGCAACCGACGACGGCATTGGCGTCGTGACCGTCCTCCAGCTGATCAAACACTTCACGACTCCAGGCAATCAACCCAAGCACGGCATCGTCGCGTTACTCAACAACGGCGAGGAGGACTTTCTCTACGGGTCCCTAGCCTTTGGGAACAGCCCATTGCTGCCCTTTGTCCACACATTCCTCAACCTCGAGGGTGCCGGTGCTGGCGGACGTGCTACTCTTTTCCGTGGCTCGGACAGGGAGGTTATAAGCGCCTATGCCAAATCGTCCAATCCATTCTCCACTGTCATCAGCTCCGACAGCTTTTCCTTGGGAGCAATCAAGAGCCAGACTGACTATGTCATATTCAATGGCGTTTATGGGCAGAGAGGTCTCGATATGGCCTTCTACCGGCCGCGAGCAAGGTATCACACCAAGGAGGACGACGTGAGACATGCCAGTCGAGCAAGTCTCTGGCACATGCTTTCCTCATCCATTGCTACACTGAAAGACCTCTCAGATAGAACCTTCAGCGGGGAAGTATCGGAAGATACAGCCAGCGTTGTACCCAATGGCAGAGGCAGCAAGGCAGTATGGTTCGATCTGTTTGGCAAAGGCTTTGTGCTCTTCAACTTGAGAGCCATGTTCGCGTGGTCCTTGACACTGCTCATCGTAACGCCACTCGTTCTCATACTGCTGACGTATCTGCTCCAGAAGAAGGCGAAACACTACTTCTTCTCGAACAGGGTGAACATCTATGAGCAGCCAAGCCCTGATTCGGGAGACTACGAACGAGTCAAGATCGGAGGTCTCAGAGGCATTTTCCGTTTCCCTCTGGCAATCAGCGTCGCCGGCGCGCTTCTCTTTGGTGCAGCGTTTCTTGTCAGGAAGTTTAATCCTTACATTGTTCACAGCAGCCCATATTCAGTGTAGGTCGTTCTCCGCACCTCCTTTTGTTTATCTTGCTGACCATCCCTTAGTTGGGCAATGTTCGTTTCTCTTGGCTACTTTGCCTTTTGGTGCATAATGAGAGGCGCACATGTGGCGAGGCCCAGTGCTTTGCACCGGGGCTATGTCAATATTTGGCTGTTTACATTGGCATGGGCTGTGCTAGTTGTCGTCACAGTCTTTGAAGACCGGTTTGACATTGCAGCTGGCTATCCTTTCGTGTTTCTCCAGTCAGCCCTGTTTTTGACGGCAGTCACCTCACTCCTCGAACTGTTCGCCCTTCCGAACATGAAGACGTATGGGCAGCAGCTCAGGGACGACCACGAAAACCACGACCATCTGGAACAAGTGCCTAGTTCTGATGCTATAATCACCCCGGGTCCTGACGAGGTCGACAGTGCTGAATCCGACGAAGCAGCGGACCGTGATTCAGGAAGGGAGCCGCCTGATGCGACCACGCCTCTCCTTGGTAGAAGTGGCCGTGGCGAAGACTCGCAGAGAACGTTCGCGACAAGATACCGTCGCTCAATCGCAGCCATAACTGACTCCGCAACCAAGAAAGGGGGCCCCGACGATAAGCAGCCTCTTGGCGGTGAGCAACCTTGGTCCAAGAACCTCCCGTCATGGACCTGGTTCATACAGTTCCTGATCCTTGGACCATTCTTGATCATTCTAACGGCTCAGAATGGCTTGTTCCTGGTGGATGCTACCCGTCAGACAGGAATCGAAGGCTCAGCTGCTGTGTTCCCATACCTTCTCACTGCTATATTCACGATACTACTAATATTGCCTCTCATGCCCTTCATCCATCGCCTCACATACCACATCCCCCTCTTCCTCCTGTGCGTCTTCATCGCCACGCTTGTTTACAATCTTGTCGCCTTCCCATTCTCGCCAGACAACAGATACAAGGCGTTTTGGCAACAGACTGTCAACCTTGACACTGGAGAATCTTTCGTCAAGTTGGGTGGTGTGGAAGAGTACTTGCGTCTCATCATCTCGGACTTGCCTTCTGCCACAGGCAAGGATGTTACCTGTCAAAAGTCGATCGTCAGGGCCGATGTCTCAGACTGCGTGTACGATGGGAGAGATGTTGCACCGGACGTGGCCAACACTGTTCCAGAAGGCGTCCCTCCGAGTCTGGGCTACGCTAAGCTGGTGGACCTCGACGTGGCACGCACAGGGCCTGGGCAGGCCAAGTTCACAATTAACGCAAAGAACACCAAGTCATGCTTCCTCAAATTCGCCCGGCCAATTAAGAATTTCTCTGTCGTGGGCGGCACAGACTGGGACAACCGATTTGGGCCGATACCCGAAGGTGGGATCGCTCAGATCCTCCTGTGGAGGCGGAACTGGAATAAGACATGGGAAGTGAATGTTGAGTGGGACCCGACGGCCGCAGAGACGCACCAGGTCCATGTCGATAACGAAAAGCAAGAGGTACTCATCTCCTCGCCTGACGAGCTGAAGCGGAGCGCAGACGGCCTGGATGGAAACATCACTTGTATCTGGAGCGACCTCAACACTCCGGGAACTATCCCCGCGCTGGACGAGGCCATCCAGTACGCGCCTTCCTGGGCTATAATGACAAAGTTCGCTGCCGGTCTGGTGGAGGGCAGCAAGAGCTTCAAGGTTTGAGCGCGTTCGCACGCAACGAATGAGCTGATGGGAGGTGTTACCCGCACCAAGGCAACAACACTGGACTGTGCTGTCTGATGAATTTCATGGATTTTTGATTTTGTTTGAGGTTCACGGGGCTTTCAAGAGTCTAAGAAAGGGGGGGAGGGGGTCATCGCATCAAACATGGGAGAGCATTCGTTGGCGTTTCGGCTCTTTTCACTTCACAGTTTGCATCCTCCTACCTGCATGGATGTTGACTGTGTGCTTCTCGAGAGTGCTAGTAATATGATAGGGCCTAGGAACGAGCATCATTATTGCGTAGCCATGAGAGTGCGAATTATTGTGTTATTAGCTCCGACCATCCACACAAACGATGGCGATGTGAGAGGAACCTTGGAATGTTTCCGCCTGCTTTAGTCGCGGGACACTATCCACTGAGCCCATAACGAGAGAAAGACAAAATACCCGTGGTATTCATCCAAATAGTATCCTGAGACAACCTGCTACGTTGCGGCTGAGTGCTTTCCTTGCAGACCACTTGCAGCAGCCACGCCCGACTCAGTAGGCTGCATAGTTCAACTGCCGGTTCGCAATACTCGCACCGTTTTCATTACTGGAGGTCGAAGAGGGTGCTGCATATGAATGACTGTGAAGTTCCCTGCCTGAGTTGGTAAACCTTGAGACCCGGCCACACCTCGCCTCTCAACTCATGTATGTTGCACTGGCAAAGGGTCTCTGGGTGTCTCGCCTCAAAGGCGAGAGGTCCACAACACTGGTTCCTAAATACGGGTCGCACGAGGAGGCTGTGAGCTGGAAATTTTACCATTGGTTTTCGGCATGGCCCTGCGGCCGATCGAAATGCGCGAAGGGACGGACGATTGCCCAAAAGTTTGAACCGTGAGGAGCTTGGAGGGGGTTGGAGAACGCCTTGGCCCCAGATCGCGATGGAGGATGACACCTTTGGCCAACCCCTGGGAGGTGTGGTTGCAGGGCCAGTTCAGTATGGAAAAGAGCCTATGCTGCTTCCAATGAGGATAATGAGCAGTGTCGAGGCACACGGGTAATGATTGCAAAAGCACAATGTAGTCCATCTGCAGCTAATTGGTCAAGCACGGTGTTCTGGGTTACTTTGCAAGGCACTCACTGCTACTGTTACATAAGGATTCAGCCGGTAGGTGGCTGGCCTTCCGGTGTGAAAATGTGCAAGCTCCGCATGAGCAATAAAAAAGGTTCCAGTGTGTATTATCAGGGAAGCCATGTTCCAGAGCACCGTCTACCACCCGGCTACCCTGCCAGCATGGATCCCCGCTCTCCGATTGCATTTGTTAGAGGCCGGGCTATTTTCTGTTTAAATATCCGGCGAGCTCCACCAGTAGCGTATGAGAGGAACTGTGGTGCATACGGCCATCTATCTGAGGGAGGGGGGTTTGCACCACCAATCTCAACATGGCAGGATGGTGGCCCCTTGTAGCAGTTCGTGTGCGCCAACGGAGGGGGCAATGGGTGCATGTGGCGATCACTGGATTTCCTCCGATTATGTGAAGAAACTTGCGTGGCGTCTGAGGCCACTGATTAAAAAGCCAACTGGGCTGTCAAAGGTGGTCTATGAAGGCACAACGCCAGTGACGGAGATCGCCTCACAGGGCTGAACAAACCAGACTCCCTACGTCACAAGAACGCGAATCACGGCGCCAGACTTGAGACCGTTCTCTGCCGAGTATTTAAAGCTGGTGCTTCTTGGGGCATCTCAAGCACGTTCCTGGAAACACACATCCTGGAGAGCCAAGGAAACCTTTTCAGCGACGTCTTCAGATCCACGACCCAAAATATAGAGATATCCTAGCAATTTTTGACCGCCAAAACCATGACAAGGCCCTTCGCCATGCTTCTCCCCGCGGCCCTCGTTGCAGCTGTGATGGCCGCTCCGGGTCTTATCGAGCAGGCCCACCCCGTGGCACATCGATCGACTCCAACCACCTGCATGACCGGCGCCCAGGCGAGCACGTCGGGATACGTCCTGAACTATACCGCCGTGGAAGACTCGGCCGCTGGCAACCGCTTCTACGACATCGCGCCTGGTTTCAACACTGACCACTCCGTTGGCAGCGCGATGGTGAGCCGCTCGTCGAACCCGTTGCAACGAAGATCTATCACGGCTCGACACCCCCTCCCCCTCCGCTTCTCTATCGTATCCCTCATGGAATGTGGATTGCAGATAGTGCTGACGGCCTTCGCAAAACGCTTCAGAACCTGCCAGTGGCGCACGGCGACGACGCGAACGCATACGCCTCCTTCAAGTGCCAGTTCACGTGCAACGCAACGCCCGGGTGCGTTTCGTTCTTCGGGCGGTTCGTCCAGGTGAACTCCACGTCCGAGCGCTTTGAGTGCCTTGGCTTCGACACCCTGTGAGTGAATCTCCTTATGTCGAAGGTTGTATGGGGCCATGTCCGCTGATGAGTTTAAACAGCCTCGATGACTCTTCCTTCACAGCGTCCACTGGGAACATGGCCAACGGGGGCTTCAACAAGCTGTGTGACTGAGTCCCATTCCGCGATTCCTGAAAACATGGGAGAATGCTTTATCGGACGGAGTATATTTTGGGAGCGACAACCTTTTTGGTGGAGGCGACGCAGTAGCCTGGCTTTCAGTTGCGATGAAGAAAACTGGATTGCGAAGGGTTCTCAAGTATGAGCCGAAGAGGGTGTAGGCTGCGGACGAGCTTCTTTTCGCAAATCTCGGAACAGAATGACCATTCTTTGAAGTGACGACTTTTGGCGAAACAAATGTGGCCGCGGAATGGCTTCATGAGCCTGGCTTATCTTTCGGTGAAATTGAAGTCATAATAAGGGGTATCTGGAAGGCAATCCATAATCTCATCTCTAATCAACCCTTTGCCGTTCCTTCAAGGGTCCTATTGCGCCAACACTCCGAAACATGCTCGCAACGACAGAGATGAAAAGGTGACAGAAAGGCGCAGGTCGTAACCACAGCCCCTATCCCGTCATGTTAGCATCACCGTCCTGGTAGCCCGCGGCAGCCACACCCCCAGACAGGGCCTCAAGGTGCCTCCTCGCCTTGGTCCACAACTCGGCCTCCATCTCCCGCTCGACCTGGTTGCTCCTGCTGTTCAGCCAGCCGACGTCGAGGTCGCCGACCATGCCGACGCCGTCGGGCTCGAGCGCGGGCTTGGGGCCTGGAGCGGCGGGGCTGGGGCCGGTGCCCTCCTCGTCCTTGGGCTTGTCCTTGGCGGCGTCCTTGTTGCTGGGCAGGCTGATGATGCCGGCCTCGTCGAGCCCCAGGATCTGGCGCTTCAGGCGTGCGTCGACCGAGTGCAGAGTGGAGAGGAACTTGTTCATGGCGTCCTCGAACTGGCGGGTCTGCTCTGCCGCCGAGGGCTGGGGCTGCGACTGCGGCTGCGAGTCTTGCTGCTCGGGAGCGCCGGCGCCTGTGCTGGTGGTGGTGGTAGCAGGCGCTGGTGGCAGGCTCTGCTTTCCCAGGCTCTGTATGGCCGTCCCGGTCAGGTCCAGAAGGGAGGCGATGTCCTGTGAGAGAGGCACATGTCAGGACGGGCAAGCTTCGACACGTGGCCGGGCGCCGTGATGGGCCGATGGCCGGGGAGCTTGTTGCTTACACGGTCAATGTCAGCGAGTTGTTGCATGCGCTCAGCGCGCGTAAAGGGGGCGTGGATGTCCACGGGAGGGTCGGGTTGCTCCATTGTGATGGTCTAGCCCTCGAGAGGAGAGGGACTTGTTCTGCAGCAAATCTGCGTAGGTTCAAATCTCTTGTACACTGTCTATTTGTCGTGTGTACACAAATGTTTTTATACTTTCGCGCAGAATGGTCCTATCAAGTGAATGTGGCAGACAGCTAGGCCGTTACTGAGAACGGTAAGGGAGCTCGGAGGGTTGGTGTGCGAGGCTGCGAAAGAGAGAGCTCTGGAAGCTCAGGACTGGGGACCCCGCCCGGTAGATCTCCGAGGCCCACGGGCCCGCAGCGGTCCACTGCGAGGTCGTGCACCCGCGGCCTGCACGATGGGAGCTGGCTGGAGCTGGGGAACTGGACCCCTGAAACGCAGGCGCCCCAATCAGCCTGCCTTCCAGAAGACTTGACCTGTTCTGCCAGCCCAAAGCCTACCTGAGGTACCTACGAAGTTGGGGCACTCTGCGCTGGGGTGGGGCTGGGCTGGGGCCTGGTTGGTGGGTTGGGCGGTCGATCGCAGCCACACAGGGCGAGGCCCAATGCGACGGCTCGCAGTCGAGGGGCCGTCGCTAGCTGTCACCTTCGTCATTGGGTGGGCTGCCGACCCAGGCCATTGGTACTGAGGTTACCATGATCTGCCAGAACCTTCGCTGCCTTGGGGATGTTGTGCATACATGTTGTTAGATTCGATCGTCTTCTTAGTATTATTATACCACACCGCGTGGCCCTTCTCGTCCGGGCCATGGTTGGTGACGCACTCGGATTGACTCGCTGATCAGTTTAAGCTAGGCACCTTATTAACGACCTCGCATTTGGGTTTGTCGGTCACCAGGGCAGCGTGTATGTCGCCTAACTAGGTAGACAGTTTACATCTCCGTGACCCCGAATCGGTGCCTCGCAGTTTTGGTTCAGACTGCCCCTAATGGGGACACGCAAGAGAACCCAAGACAAAATGAGGTAGTGAGTCCCGCCCATAAGCGCATGCCAATTAATGACACCCGTCACCCCGCGCCCGTTAGCCTCACGCTTGCCTCCAAACCACCCTACCGCGCAGGTGGGAAGTACAGCATGTGCCTGCCTAAGGATGGGGCGGGTGATTACGAAAATAACTGGCAGGCTGCACCTGCTCAAGGGCCCGAGGATCCGACGCCTGGCCGTGTTGGTGAGGCCGGAAGGGCTGCAGGATCAAGCGCGTCGTCATTCCTTGGAATGCTCCATTCTTCTGCTGCCACCAAGCCAGGTGGCCATGTTCAACCTCGTGACTCGACCCGGCAAAACTGGCCACTTTATGACTGTCTTTTCTGGTCAGCGACCCAGTGTGCAGTGTGGCGGCGTAGTAGGTTATGATATAACATGCGCAGTGTGGACTTGCCGAAGCAGACTCTTACTGTTGTATTGTACTGCAACTGCCAAAGAGCCTTTCAACGGCTGCTGCAAGAATTTGCCGGCGTCTGTTTTCGCTCATACATGTAGCCTCCAAAGTTTATTCCTTGCTCCTGCCTTATCCCCCTCCCCCAAAACTGGGTTTCACCTGCACCGGGCACTTGCAACAACTCGCCGCTTGGCCGTGCTCGAGACGCTTGTCCCAAACCCACCCAACCCCCCCAATCCCCCCGCCATCCACCCTGAACGGCAAGGATCAAGCCCATTCCACATTACTTTGGTACGTCCCGCTTCCGCGCTCCGCCTAGGTAATCTCAATAATTCAACCTCCACAGCTGAGGCTGGACACTTTGTCGCCGCTGGTTCGCTCGACGTCTTCAACAACGCCACGGTCCACTGTGCCCAGATTGATCTTCATCTTCGGTCCCGACTTGTTCCTCGACTTGACTGCCTCCTCCCGCGAAGAAATGTGCCAGCTGCTCATCGCTAGATAGCCTCGAGCCATTGGGCTTCTGGTCAACCCCTCCTCGTCCTCCGCTCACCACTATTCTGCGCTGCAACCAGACCTTGCGACCGTGACAGCCTCCGAGCACCCGTCGGACAAGATGAAGGCTAGCATACCGAAACGACTGCTCACCCTTCGGGACAAGAATGGCAACCACCGCCACAGCAAGTCTTCCGACGGCCACAAAGTTCGTCTCGTCTCTCGCCCCCTGCCACGCCGACTTGCGCTGATTATACCTACCTCTGCAGTCCCGACCTCTATCCACCGATGCACTCTTCTCCATGTTCAAGAATGGCTCAGCCTCACAAAACGGCAATGATGATGAGCACAAGGAGAGAGATAAGGAGAAAGAAGCCGCAAAGGTCGGTCAATTGTCCAGCGGGTTGCACAAACCGCGGATTGGGCTAACTGCGTCACGAATTCCAGATCGATGAACTTTCGAAGCGAGTCGAGGTCCTCGACGACTTGCACGACATCTCCCCGGACTACCTCCGCTTCATACTAAGGAGTAATTACGCGGCTGGCGACGTCGAAAAGGCCATGGAACTACTCGTCCTCCATCAGAAGTCTATTTCCGGCACGATAATCTCCTACAACCCCAACGTAAATATGCTTGGTGCTGAGAACCGCGGGAACGTCACCTGCTATCTGGACGCGCTGCTCTTCGCCATGTTTGCGAAGCTGGAAGCCTTCGAGTGCATGCTCAAGAACGACCTTACGAACGAACCACAGCGAAACCTGGCTGCTTTGATCCGCCTCTGGGTAAACATGTTGAGGAGTGGGAAGCTGATACATACAGACATGGTAGGGTCCAATTCGTTTTGGAATACCCACTGTTCGAGCTCGTGCTGACGGAAGAGGCAGACTCAACTAATACAGAACGCACTGGCTGCCTGTGGTTGGAAAGACGCACAACTGCTGGAACAACAGGACACATCTGAGGCCTTCGCATTTATTACCGAGACTCTGCAGCTGCCCCTGCTGCCACTGCAGGTGGACCTGTTCCACCAGGGGAAAAGAGACGACGACGACCACAAGGTCGTCTACGAGCGTCTGTTAAACCTTGCAGTCCCAGCCGATCCAGAAGGCAAAGGCGTGAAACTGGAGGACTGCCTGGAAGAGTACTTCAACACCAAGGTCGACGTCTCGCGCGACGGCGTTGAAGAGAAAGCAGGCCAAGACAGGCCAGTCCTGACCCCGAAGAGCACGATACGGATCGTTACTGAGGTTCCGGAGCCTGATGAAACTAGTGCTGGTGCTGCTGCTGATGCCGATGCTGATGCTGGCAGTGGTGGTGGTGCTGCTGCTGGATGCCGGGGCGGACGCTGAGGCAAATGCCGAGTTGGATTCATCAGATCAAGTCGAAGTGGCGCCCCTGCAGCGACGGTGGACCAACGTGGACTCGCCGGCGTCGACGGCCTCCGCGTCGTATCCAGACGTCACGCGTCCATCTGCTCGGACTAGATCGACGAGCATAATTCAGCGAATCGTCCTGGATGACGATGGGAAGCCAACCGACTCAGAGGCTGCAAGTTTATTACAGAAAGCAAAGCGAAAAGGTGCCACGGTTGTAAAGGCCGTCACAATCCCGGCGTGGCAGTTTTTCCGACTGATACGTACGTCTTGAAAACACCCAAGCTTAACCCCTTCAGATTGTCTGTGGAGATGCTAAACATCGTTTCCAGCTTGGCATGCTGTTCAAAACGCCGAACCCAGAACCGATACTGAGATTATGATGCACTTCAACCAACGCCCGGTGGTGGGGATATGTCTGAAGAGATATATGTATACGGAGGACGGGCTGGCTAAGAGGCAAAATACCTTCATCGACATCCCCGACAGCCTCAGGCTCCCTCACTTCATGATGGTCGATGAGGCCAAGGTGGAAGAGGACAGCGTACTAAGCCAGGACTACAAACTGGAACTCCAGTCCATTGTGTGCCATCGAGGTGATTCCGTCCACAGCGGACACTACATCTCGTTTGCGAGGGTAAACCCCAAGCTCCTGACGGACAACCGCCGCCATGACAACGACCCCCCGCCCGACTACGAAGATGCCCAGTGGGTCAAGTTTGATGACCTGGCCCTCGAAAACAGGGTTTCCTATGTCGACGACATCAAGGAGTCTCTGAAGCAGGAGATGCCTTATCTCTTATTTTATCAGATCGTCCCTATGTGTGACGTGACCGCCGCATCTACTGCAGGATCCGAAACCGAACCACCGTCTTACAACGACTCCGCCCTTAACGTCACCACCAATGGCGTTACGACACCGGGCCTTGATATCGACCGAGCTGGGCTGTCACGGCCAGCTAGCGGCTACTTTGACTCCCCACTTCTGAGTTCAGCTGGCCCAAGCATTCGCTTCTCTTCAGAACTGGACCGACCGCCGCGGATAAGTCTCAGCGTTGAGGACGATGGTCAACATTCCTCAAGTCTGCTCAGCCCGAACGCCTCCCGGCGTGGGAGTGTAGCCTTTTCGGAACCCGTCGGCCATTCTCAAGCGATCACACCGGAAACGGGAGTTTCTCCAGCCGTCACGCCGAATGAAGAGACCACTGCGCAGAGATTGTCGAGGGCGGCGGCAAAATTTACCAAGAGTCGGAGCAGGCCTACAAGCCAGGCTGGAGAGGGTCGCATCAGCTTGACCATGTCTCGACTCACGTTCAACAAGAAGAGCAAGGACACGCTGCGTGAAGCTGCGGAGAAGTTCGAGGATGGTGAAGAGACACCGGTTGCCATTACCGCACCCGAGCGCCTTTCGACTGATGGTGGCGAGCCTGTCAAGAAAGAGAAAGATCACCACCACCCTCATCATCACCACAGGAAGGTGGGAGCAAAATCAAAAAGCCGGGGGAGTGACAAGGACCCGGAGAAGGCCAAGAGCAAGGGTGAAGTCCCGGACCGGGAATGCATAATCATGTGATTGGAAAAGAAAAAAAAGCAAGTTTGCAAGGCGTTCAAGGAACTGGTGTGTTTTTTCAGATTTGCTTTGGGAGGCAACCACATTTACCAAGAGGAGTCGCACTTTCGACATGTGACAGATCAGTCACGGGATACCTAACGTCTGTCGAAGGACTACATGAGAGGCGCACGATTGCATTTGATACCAGGAGAGCTACAGTAACCTGTCACCCACACAAAAAAAAAAAAAAAAAAAAAAAAAAAAAAAGGAAGAAGCTAGGTGGCGGCAAGAGAGCGATTGGGAAGGGCGATTCTGCTCCGCATGAGGGGCTTTTGCATATTGATCGCAAGATGGCTATGGGCGTCTATACAAGAGGTTTGGTAATGACCGTTTGGACAGTCCTGCATATTGACTGTGGCAGCCAGGCAGCTGTTCCTTTTTGGCCCTTCCTATTCTAGCACTAGAAGCATATAGAAGACGGCCAATCAAACCGACATCGATACGATGAGCGCACCGCCCCGATTTGTGGGCGTGAATTGCGCAGGTAGACGTAAATAATACGTGTGTGCTCGTGTTCGTGCTCGCTTTCGTCTGCGGCTCGTCACGGGACAGGGACTCCTGAATCTCCCTTGTACTGATACTTGGACTACTTGCACGAAGAGATGTTACTTCGTGCATCCGGCTGCTCACGCAGCCGAGTGAGAGTGTATAAAATAAGCTCCCAGTGGGTGGTTGAAATTGTGTCCCAGGTGAGGCTTTTCGCGCATGGGGTTTGTGTGCCTGGCTATATATTGGCAAAGCAGGCTGAACTCACTTCGGTCCCGCGAACCGTTGTCATGTATAATGCCACGGAAGCTAGATAGATACTGCTTTGCTAGCGAAGCGTCATGTCATTTCGTCGTACCCGCAGCCACGGACGGCTAGATCTGGGGGGGGGGCGGGAGTTCGTTTGGCCAAGCCTCCGCGGAAGGCGCGCTCTCGCGATGTGGGTTTGCTGCGGGTTTCGGTGGCAGCTTTGTGATCTTGCGCCGGGGCTCAAAGCCTGGCTGGCCGTGACCTCGCCCTGTGTCCAGCTGGCCTTGCACCAACTGTCCAAAACAATGCTTCCAGCCGGGACCTTGAGAGCCTGTCGGTTCTTTATCCATCCCCCCTGCCTGCTGCCATGAGCCACAGCTGAAGCTGAGACCGGCAGACCGGAATATGGCTCTCGCTGGCTCATTCCGAAGTCCGTTTTCGTGCTTCTTTTTCTTCGAACTGTGCATATTGACGCCATCCGCGTTGTGAACGACGAGGATTATCCCCAACCCTTGCCGCGGAAACCTGTTAGAATCGCAGATCAGTCGCTTCTTCCACTGCTGTCGCACGTGCGGTCCATGGTGGGGCTCTTTTTCCGCAGCTTGTCATGTCCGCTTGTGCAATGAGCTGGACTAGCATCTCCTCGCCCATACCCTTTGACATAGCCTCTAGATCCCTTCAAACTTCGGCCCAGGCATCACTTGAGCCACAGCTCGCTTGTAAGGGATGTGACGGCAACTTGAACCTGTACTCCCTCTCGGCCTGAGCAGCCGAGTCCCCACGGCAAAACAGGGGCTGTAGCTCGACTTTGACACCGTCTAAGGCTCTGGAAATCACACCGCCATTGGTGATTCCCCTGAAAACGTGGCAGCGTATGCTGGGCCTGAGGCATGTGGAAATGTGGAGGCGTCGAGGTTGAGCCTGTCAGATTTGACATCCTCGACCTCATGGCCGTTGAGCGCAATGAACAGGTTGGGGCCGGATGCGTGTAGTGCAAGTGTATACATACGGGTCTAGGTATGAGGATCCGGGAACTGGGCGGAAGTTGTAGCGCAGGGATTCTCTACCAAGCGGATTGGCAACAGCTCGTCCATTTTTGGTCTTGTACTATGCAAAGCTTAATTGTACATGGCCAAATCGGCTGCTCTGGCCACTTGTAGCCAGGGCTAGGGAGCGCCGAGTATATGGGGAGCAGGCCGGAGGACGGTCGTTCCAGGCCGTTGTGCTCCGACAGCAACGCTTAACCTCTTCGGATCCAACGGAGATAATGGTGCAAGTCAGTGTCGTTGTCGTCATCGTCGCCGTCGTGAACCATGAAGAGCAACAAGCACATGATACAACCCGGGGGGAGATAACCTTTCCTATGACATCGATTTGCCAGCACGTGCATCGAGTTGCCCATATATTCCTATAAGTCGCAATCACGATCTGATGGCCGAGGGCCCCGGCCAGCCGGGTCGGAGCACCGCGGGAGTTTCCGAGCTGTTGGCTGGTGCTTGGGATCGTCCTCATGGAGACAATAGCAGTACGCATGAAGGTAGGAGGTTCAGTTCTGGATTAGTAAAAGCACCTCCTCTGTCGTCAGATGAAGCAATACCGAGACACTCCGAGTTCTTGACTCCTCTCGAGGCAAGCAGATGCATACAGACACCCTGCAGGTATGCGTGTGGGGCAGGGATGAGGGCAGGAAGCAAGCCCTCGAACCGGCTCCCCGATCTACACCCGGTCGATAGGAGACTTGATGCATGCATATTTGTTTCCTTTCTCTTTTTCCTGACGGAGGAAGATAAGACAAGACGGGATGACGTGTGGCCAGTAACAAGCACTGAGATGAGGACACGCCCACCTCCAGGAATAGTAAGTACCTGGTCTAGCACCAGTAGCTACGTGTTGCATGGGACCATGGTTACGCCAAAAGGGCATGTTCGGACCTCGCTCAAGCTGGCCGTCGGAAATACGGTCGTGACATGACTCCGGATCCCGTCCCGTCCCGCTCGTAACGGTCCCACATACCTGATGGCGTAGGTAGACTCCAGAGGTTGGGAATGGGCGACCAAGTCGGGGCTGGCCGTTGCTCTACGTGTTCGACCTGGGGTTTGCCGGTTATGGCTTTGCTTCTGCCATGCCAATGCCACGCCATGCGACACACCAGGCTTATGGCCCATGCGACAGTGACATTCTTGTTGCGTTGCGAAATGGCCGTCGTCCGCGCCCGAGGCCGGCATTCTGGTTCGGGCGGACGAGATTGGCCTGTTAAATCCGACACCAAACCAACCGATCACACAACCCCCCCCCCCCTCAAACATAGTCCAACCTTGCGCATGCACGACCACCGCGTCGAGATCAAAGAGAAAAAACCCACCCTCCCCGTTAGCTGTGCAGCGCGCGCAAGGGCATTGCAAAACCACTTTTCTAAGTTCGACAAGGCCGAGTCATGGGTATCATCAGCCAGGCAGGATGGGGCCATTGGCTCAGCCGCTCATTATTAATGGGCGGACAGTTATGTGAACAGTGTGCGCGGCGCCCAGCTTCGGCACTGCAAGGGGCCAGACTTGGCACGTTAGGTGTCTCGACGCCGACAATGTCCTGGATGTCTTATTAGTTGGTAGAGAGATGTGTGCACGGGCGCCGTGCGGTGGGGAGCAACTGCTACGTACGTACCCATCGCCTGTCGAGTCCATATAAGTGCCGCAGAAAGGTCGAGGGTTTGTCTGGTGCTGAGTGCAATCCGTATGTGCTACCGACCAGCATCACCCAGCCGCTCTCCTTCGTAGATGATAATTGAGTTTGAAATAAAGATTCTCTAGGCTGTGCTTGGCCCAGAGACACCACAGCGAATAGGATACCATGGGTGTTTTAGGCGTGTGGGCTTGCTGCGGACGCATTAAGATTGAGAAATGAGGAAGACGGGCGGGCGATAGGCGACAATGGGCGACGACGACAGTGAGTAGTAATACGGGACGGTGGGCGTGTGCATGGGCTTGGGCGGGTTGGAGTGGGGGATGGGTGGGCAGAGCTCCTGGCTACGGTGCTCAGTAGATCTACATGCAATATGATGAACGATGAGGCAGCAGCACTGATGAATTAGGGCAGGCTGGCAGGGCGGATGGCGCCAGGAAGCATCAGCCCGCTGATCTGGCCCCAAGCGAGCACGCCTGAGGCCTGGCCATTGTTCCAATGTATCCGGGACTGGGCATTCCATGCCATCTCTAGCACACAGCTCCCAGCTCGAGCCTCGCGTCAAACGGGATTGGTAAGCCCCGACTCTGCTCTGATCCCGCCATGCCGACCCAGGCCCTGCTACTAGCCGTGGATGTAGATGTACTTGCGAGGAGGCGGCAGACTCTGGCAGGCTAGAGGGCGCGCGCATCCGAGCTTGTGAGAGGTATTAGACCACACGCAGCACAGGCACAGACAGTCCACCCAGGCAGGAACAGAGGACAAGAGGACACAGAACAGAACAGGATAGAGCAGACCCAGGCCTGAGCAGGTCCAATTCAAGTCCGAATCCGAGCTGGGCACACTCGCCAAACTCAAAAAAAAAAAAAGTCCCCGGGGCGTTCCCTCTCTTTTCCGTTGGCTTCGATGGACAGATGGATCTCGCTACAGGTTACATTTAGACTTCAAAGGCACTCCACCGCCCATCTCCTCCGTCCCCCGTCGCCGTGCCTCTTTGGTGTCACTGCTCTGTATGACCTTTTTTCTTGCCGGGCACTGATGACACATCCCTCGTCCAGCCCCAGCAGCCTCAGCAGGCCCAGCAGCAGCCCGAGCACCCAGTCTCCCGGACTCAGCAACACCTGTAGCCTTCCAAAGGGCCATCCGATCATTGGATCGTCTGTCTCATTGCACACTCACTTCAGCCAGAGTCGAGCACCGCTTTGCATCAATCAACCCACCAGCCGGCAGTGAGCAGGCTTGATTTTGAGACGGGGAGAGATGGCCTCGCGAACAGGGGTCACAGCTGCCAACTCGACCAGCTCTTCACCCGCTGCGTCCACGGCCGCGTCCGTGTCTGTCTCTGCTCAAGGCACAGGCACAGGCACGGGTACCACCGCCAACGTCCCGCAAAAGCCTCCGCGCATCCTCGCATGCGTGCTCTGCCAGCACCGTAAGATCAAGTGCGACAGGAATTTCCCCTGCGCCAACTGCGTAAAGGTAGGTCGACGCAAGGGAGGCAGAGGTTCACCGGCATTCCAGCCCAGCCCAGCCCAGCCCGGACCCGACCCCGACCTAATTCAACTCAACTCAAGTCAACTCAGCCAACCAACTTCTGGCGAGCGAGGCTAACCGGCTCGCGGCCCATTCTCACAGGCAAATGTCACATGCACTCCCAGCACTCCGGCTCCCGCGCGGAAACGCAGGAGGCCGAATCAAGATCTCCAGGAGCGCCTGGCGCGGTGCGAGGAACTGTTGAAGGAGTACGCCTCTGCGAAGCCCCCTTCCCCTTCACCCGCCAGTACCCCCTCCCCCAAGCGCGCCAAACTCGAACGCCCGCCCGAGTTCACAGACCCTGCTGCGAAATGGAAGCCCGCCGGCCAGCTGATCGAGGAGGACGGCGGCCTGCGATTCATGGAGTCCCGAGTCCTGGGGACAGTATACGATGAGGTATGTGCACACCTCGGCCGCCATGAGCCCAAGCGCTCCGTTGCTGAGAGGGATTGTCTTGCCTAGCTGAGATCGATGCGCAAACTGGTCGACGAGGAGATACAATGTGACGATTCCACTCCGGCTCCATTCGATGACTACTCAAATTCTCCCGATGACAACTCTGAGTTGATCTTTGGCGCCGAGACCCCATCTTCCAACCAAGAAGACCTCACACCAAGCCCGGGCCAAGTCGTGCGCCTCTGGCAGATCTATCTCGACCGCTGCAACCCCCTGACCAAGGTCATTCACGTCCCCACCGTCCAGCCTTTCGTGCTAGAAGCGACCGGCAATGCCCCAAACTTGCCGAAGAATGTCGAGGCCTTGCTATTCGCCATATACACACTTGCGGTTGTGTCCATGACCAAGGAGGAGAGTGAGGAAGTGCTCGGTATGCCCAGGGAAAAGGCCCTGGCCAGGTTCAGCGCCGGCCTCCGCTCATGCATGATCCGTTTGGGCTTCCTCAAGACCCACGACCTCTTCACTCTGCAGGCTCTAGTCATATACCTGGTAGGGAGCTTGTTTTCGGTCTGTTCCAGCGCCTGACAGTTCTTGGCTGACAGTTGTAGATCTCCTTACAAGGCAGGTACAATCGCCATGCATCATGGATCCTCAACGGAGTCGTCATCCGCATCGCCCAGAAGATGGGCTTGCACCGCGACGGTGAGCTGTTGGGGCTGAAGCCGTTCGAGACAGAGATGAGGCGGCGTTTGTGGTGGCAGATCATCATGCTCGATTCCAAATACGCCATACTATCTGGCCTCAGCCATACACTGCTTCCCCGTGGCTGGGACACCAGGGAGCCCAAGAACATCTCGGATGTCGATCTATTGCCTACTGCCACAGAGCCAATTCAGGATCAGGAGGGCCCGACCGACATGATCCTTGTCCTTGTCGTCTTCAAGATCGCAAAGAACCTGGTCCAGGCGCCCGATATCGAGGCAGTTCTGATCCTGGATGCGCTCGAGTTCAAGACGGCTCCACAGAGCGAGAAAATCGAACAATATCGCACTATTGTCCGGCAGCTCAAACAAGATTTTGAAGAGCTCTTTAGGAAGTGCTCGTCGCCGACGGCAGGGGACCTCCATAAACTGGCCCAGCAAATAGGAGACCACATGATGAGCAAGCTCTGCCCATTAATCACAAGCTCGGCGGAGGGCCGTGACGCGAACGACGAGGCCTTCGATCAAAGCAGCAACACCTTCAGGGTCGCCGTCGACTCCACGAGTCATGCTGTCGAGCAGCACAAGATCGCCAACTATCCAGCCTGGGACTGGTTCCACCGATTGCACTTCCAGCTCGACATTTTCGCGTACCTGGTTGGCCAGTTGGGCCACCGCACGAGCGGGCGCCTGGTGGACCATGCGTGGGAAATCGTCGAGCAAGTCTACAAATACTACCCGGAATTCTACGACACTTCTCAGAGGGTATACCACCAGCTCGCATACTTCTTGTTCAAGGCCTGGCGCAGGCGGGAAGAAGTCCTTCGCTCGCGATTGGGCCACCCGCCGGAAGTCCCGTACTGTGTGCAGAAGCTGCGGGCAACGATGCCAGGGCCGGACGACTCGAGCGTCAAGAGCGAGACAGGGAAGACGCCCAACAACGAGATGTTCAACTTTGTCACTAGCGGCGCCAGCCGTTACAACGGCAATGGCGACAGAGGAGCGATGCATTACAACGGGGCCGAGAGTTCACAGTTCGACATATACATGGGCAACTATTTCGACCTCGATGCGTTGGAGTTCGAACTGTGGGGCGGCAACAACGCGCAGATGGTTCCCAACATGCCGGTGGGCAACCCAGCGGCAGCGACGATGCCGGTGCACAACCAATTTCCATACGGGATGGGGCCTCCCTCTGATTGGTGATCTCGAGGCTCAGCTAGGCTGAGAAAATGATTCAGGAACGCTGGTCGGATGAACGAGGTCGAACGGCCGCCATGGGATTTTATGTGTTGTGTTCTGGTAGTGCGTTCTGAACGCTTATTTTACAGCACGCATGGCTCAGTATCTCCCCTCAAAGATGAGTTTACGACGTTGCACACTGTCCACGGCCGCGTGTCATAACGAAGTGTTTTTCCCGGATCGGTAGAAGCCCACGGTACATGCAGATTGGCCAAGGGGGGCGGCCGGATTGTGATTCAGGTTTGGGCGTTTGAGAAGGATAGCGGGACACTCATTTGCACTTACGGCTGCAGCTTACAAGGAGGGACGCTGTTGCGACCTCGCTGGTCTGATTTACACGCAATGATTTTTCTTGGATGTTTTTCCAATTTGACCGACAAAACAGCTGGGAAAACTATTGGCAGCAATCATGGTGACCACGGTCCGCAGGTTGTGACTCGGGTGGGTCGCCTTTGCTTCGTCGTGCGGGGGGAATATTGCACCGAATCCCGCAGAAAAGGGGCTTTCAGCCCGGATCGTGCCGCAGGCTATGGCAAGTGGGCGGCCGGGCGAAAAGAGCGAGAAGTGCGAATAGTGCGACGGGCAGTGGGAGAGCGGCGGTGTTTGCGCATCTCTGATGCCATCAATTGCAGTCCTCCCATTCATGTGGGAATTTTTCGTTACCGCCCTCTCACTGCACCGGTGCTAATGGCCAGCGAGTCCGAGATCACTTCGATATCTTGGCGCATCCTGGCGTCACCCTCGACCTCGATTCGATGCTGGGACGGGAGGCCACCTGTCGGGGCGATTTTCATAATGCTTATTTTGAGGGCTGGGTCAGCGGGACCAGCCTCACGGGCTTGGTCGCACGGGCAATCATTTCGGTCCCGAGACTTGGGGGCAGGAAGAACCCCAGGGGATCGGAACGCCCGACGAAGCGACCGAAGCAATTGGTCCACGACCGTCGCGGCCGAGAGACCGTCCTCTTTCGGTCGTGTCACCACCCCAACGAGCCCCCCAAAAAATTAAGAACCATCAAAGAGCGACTGCCGATCGGTTCCATGTGCACCATCGACGCAAGCGGCCCCGTCTCGAGGATCCAGACTAGTCTGGAGAGGGATTGGACATGACGGCTTGTGGCTGCTCTGGTGGACGGAGGAATGGCATGAAATGGAATTAGGCCTATCCGAGTCCGAATGTAGACACACACTCACGCATGGCTGTCGACACATTGATTCACAGACGAATCCCGTTCCGTGTTATGACTTCTTTATTACTGTATCCTGCGCAGCCTAAAATCCATCGGCCATGTCTCTCATGTTGTCAATCTGACTACCACGCCCGTCTTGGCATTGTGATACAGACAACCGCGGCAGAAAGTCTCTCGCTCGTACAATAAATAAATGATTGGACAACCACGGAACTGACCAGGCAGTGCATCAACGAATCTGGCGCTTTCAGATCTCAAGGGACTCACCTCAGCTCACCAGCCTGGTGAAGACACGGCGACTGGACCAGCAACATGCAGTTCTTTAAACGGAGCAAGAAGCCCGGTCAGGACGTTGATCTCAGTAACGATGACTCTGTGCCGCCTGCGAAACCAACATCAGATGAGGAGGGCGAGGGCGGAAAGAACGAGATTAGTCTGGCACGCACAAAGACAGAGGATATCGTCTATCCGACTGGGCTCAGACTTGCTCTGCTCATGACCAGTGTCTTCATCTCTAGTACGTACCTGTCCGTGGGACGGTGATCACCCTCGGGTCTGACAGCTGCTAAATAAAGCGACCAGTGTTCCTCGTGGCACTCGTACGTGATGACCGCCCTGTGCTCCCGTGCACAAGAAAACAAGACATAGCAGAAGGGCTCTGCCCGTCAACGTTCCCTCTGCCGTAACCGTGGCTTGGCTGACAGACACTTCACAATGTAGGACCGGCTAATTATCTCGACCGCAATCCCCCAGATCACGGACGACTTCCACTCCGTGACTGACATCGGGTGGTACGGCTCGGCCTACCTGCTCACCAACTGCTCGTTCCAGCTGAGCTTCGGCAAGCTGTACAGCTTCTACAGCGTCAAGGGCGTCTTCCTCGTCTCCATCGGGCTCTTCGAGATCGGCTCCGCTATCTGCGGCTCCGCGCCCAACTCGGTCGCCTTCATTGTTGGCCGGGCCATCGCGGGCCTCGGGAGCGCTGGCATCTTCTCCGGCGGGGTGAGTTCTTCATGGCGGAGGTAGAATTCGGGCGATGTGGCAGGAAGGCTGACAGAGAGGGTGCGCTCTAGATCACTGTTATAGTATATGCCGTCCCTCTTCATAAGCGCCCGCTTTACCAAGGTTTATTCGGGGCGGTGTTCGGGCTCGCTTCCGTCATAGGACCTCTGCTCGGCGGCGCTTTCACGAGCAATGTCAGTTGGAGATGGTGCTGTGAGTGCTTGCCTTTCTAGGAATTTCTGTGTTAGAGACCTGTCATGACTAACTGCGAATTGCATCCAGTCTACATCAACCTACCGATCGGCGGTGCCGCGATGATTTTCATCCTCTTCCTGCTGAAGGTTCCGGACAGAGAGACGACGCGTCTTCCCAGGAGGGAGAAGCTGGCTCAGCTCGATCCCATCGGGGTGGCCCTGCTCCTCCCAGGCGTCATCTGCCTGCTGTTGGCCCTGCAATGGGGTGGTCTTGAATACCCATGGTACTTTTCCCCTCCGTGCTCCATACTATTCTTTCGCGGTCATCGCTATCTGTTTGGAAGTAGTTCGCTGACATATCGAACAGGCGCAACGGTCGCATCATCGCCCTTCTCACACTGGCAGGCTGTCTCCTGCTCGGGTTCATCGCGTGCCAGATCCTCAAGCCCAAGACCGCGACCATCGCGCCCCGAATCTTCTGCCAGCGGAGCATCATGGCCGGCTTCTGGTCCACCTTCTGCATCGGATCTTCGATGATGATCATGGTCTACTACTTGCCGATATATTTTGTTCGTTACCTCCGCACATCTCAATCTGTCTTTCGTGATCCGTCAGACACGGTGTTGTGCTAGTTTTCTGACTGAAGTTGGGTGTTGTAGCAAGCTATCAAAGGTGTTAATGCCGTTGACTCTGGTAGGTAGATCCTCATAGCCCCTTCACCTTCAAATGTGCCTTGAGGCGTAACATGTCACTGCCACATAAGGAAGGCTTCCAGTGATTGATTTTAGCAATGCTAATCTTGTTGTCTAAGGCATCCGGTTGCTCCCTATGGTTCTACCCATGGTCGTATCGTCTATAGCGACGGGCGTTCTTATTTCTAAGATCGGATATTACACGCCGTTCATGCTCGGCGGTGTTGTCCTTCTCTCGATAGGAGCCGGCCTACTCACGACCCTGCAGCTCGGTACTGGTCAGGGCAAGTGGGTCGGATACCAGGTCATCTACGGTTTCGGTATGGGTGCCACCTTCCAGGCGCCGAACCTCGCGGCACAGACGGTGCTCCCGACGGCCGACGTGCCCATTGGCACCTCCCTCATGTTCTTCTCCCAGCTCCTGGGCGGGTCCATCTTCATCTCGGTCGGGCAGAACGTGCTCAACAACGAGCTCGTCAAGAACCTGTCCGGTGTCCCCGGTTTCAACCCGGCGTCTATACTGAATGCGGGCGCGACGACGCTGACGCACCTAGCCGAGCCGCTCAGGACCACGGTACTGCTCGCGTACAACGAGTCGCTCAGGACGGTGTTCCGCGTCGGCCTGATCATGACCTGCCTGACGATTTTCGGCGCGGCGAGCCTCGAATGGCGGAGCGTCAAGAGCAAGAAGCCCGGGGCCAAGAAGGACCAGGCCCACAGTGCGGCAGAAGAAGGCGCGGCGGCCACGACCACCGAGGCTCGCGTCGCTGAGGCCGTAATTACGAGCAACTCGGAAGAAAGACCGCGTCCCGTGGACCCTGAGAAGCATGCTGCTGATGATGAGGCGAGTTCCCGGTCCGAGGCCGAGAAAGTGACTGCGCAGAAAGATGCCTGAGGCGAGTGAGTTGATCTCATGCGAAAATATAGAGAAGAATACATGGAGGGCAAAAGATATGGCAAGGCGTACGGGCATAGACGTATTCACTTAATACTGTAATCCTAGCCAGAGGTCTCCTCTCAAGGCAACTCACCTCAAGTCAATAAATGTTTTCAAAACCAAGATGAATCTACACGTCGTTCTTGCAGTAGTCACTTCGTGGTCACCCGTTCTGGCATCTCACCTATGAACGGGCTCTTCCATTGAATTTCCTCTGACAATGTTCAGCTTCAACTTAGTACCATCTGAGTTTCTACCACTGGTCTCGCTATCCCCTTCTCGTTATTCTTGAGGGCATTCCATCCCAAGTGACGTGCTGAGAGATGTAAAGGGGCAGGAAATACTGACAGGAGGGGCTGAGTGAGTTTGCCCAGGTGGTTCGTCCCATGTTGCTGCTTCAGTCAGAAGGCAACACCAGCACGAATTTGCAGCTTTACAAACTTGACAACGCGCAGCGCGTCACCTCCAACAGCCCGTCATGACTTGCTCCCCTCGCCCTCTGCAATGACTGTATTGCTCCAACTCATCTCCTTTGTTTGATGGCAGCAATCCAAGCTCAAATATGAGGCGCGACAACTCTCCCCAGCTGCAGGTGTGCGAACTTGCCTGTCCCTCCCCGAGGGAAACAGGAAGGACGCAACCCACCATGGCAGCTTTGAAGCTTTTTAGGAGATCGCCGGGAAATCACAACCACCACCACCGCCTCGCACCCGCTCGTCGGAATTCGAGCCCGCTCTTTTACACCTTGACTGAGCCCTCGCTCACGGCGCACGTAGGCCCTGAGGCTTCCACACCTACGGGCCAACCCGAGGACATTGGCCAAGACAACCAGACTACAGGTCTGTCAGCCGGTACGATAGTAACAATCATCTTCTCCGGGCTCATCCTAATCTTCCTCCTCACAGTTGCCTACGCATGCGCTTCGTCTCACCATAAATCCAGGCGCGACCGGCGCAGCACACTGGGAAGGCGGAGCCACTACTACCAAGACGACGCCGACGGCGGCGACAACGACACTGAGATGCAGGCGCAACGCCACACACGACAGACACTGCTGGGGCGACTGGACGAAGACCAAAGCACGGACCAGCGCCAGTACAACTCTTACCATCACGAGGGGGCGGGAATGGGGTACGACGACGAGGATGGCAAGGAGGCATGGATAGAAGTGGGAACGGCACGGGTGGCACACTTCAGGCGCGTGCCGACTGGGACGGTGTCGATCAGGAACATCGGACGGGGCAAGGCGCCGGCGCCGCTGGGGTCGTCGCAGTCGGTGCGCGACGTAGTATCGCTGCCGGACCTGGCGTGGGCGGAGACGCTGACGACGGGAGGCGGGCGCAGGCCGGACGCTGTTGTCTCTGCCCCAGCCGCCGCCGTCCCTCCTGCTCCGGCGACCCGGACCTCATCCAAGAGCAGCGGCAGCGAGCGGTCCAAGAAGCTACAGGAGAGGAGCGAGTCGCGGAGGGCGGTCAAGAGGAAGGCCATCAGGGAGTGGTGTGCGCGCGGCAGCGGTGGCGGACTTGGACCGTATTCTGCGGCCTACTGAGGAGTTTCCGGGGTCGTTGGCATTGTTGTTTTGGGGGGGGGGGGGGGATATGCACATACGAGGGCTCCCTATGCAGGTTAGACGGTGGCAATGATACATAGTCTAATGATACAGTGCACACGCACGAGCGTGGACGAATGAATGAGTGAGCGAGTGAATGAAGATGAGCATGTGGCTGCCTCGTGAGATTCGACTCGCATGTGCATGTGGTTGTGGGCAGATGTCGGAATGAGCAGATCGCAAGCGGAAGCGGAATGGGGTAGCGGGTGGTTGAAATCTCCGGACGAACGAGGGAGGGAGGTGGAGGAGGTGAGGTGAGGCGAGGGGGGGGTGGGCGGACGGGACAGACGGACGGGGTTGACGTTGGTTGACGTTGGCGGGGGCCAAGGAGCCGGGTCGCCTGTCTTGTCTCAGGCTCCACCGCCTCCCATCCCCTCGGGTCAGATCAAAAACCTTGTGCAGAGCCTGTGCGCACAGCGACAAAGCAAGCTGGGTAGCCGCAGGGGGTGGGCGCCCTCGGGGGAGGATCGAATCAGGACCGGGCCGCTCCCACCCCATCAGAGAGCCGCCAGCGAGCCAGCCACCTGCCCTCCCACACCCGCAGCCCCCTAGGCCCTGTTAGGCTCATGCCGTGCTAAGACACTAGCGACCTTGAAAAAAAAAAAAAAAAAAAAAAAAAAAAAAAAAAAAAAAGGGTCAACAAGTGTTCCGGCAATCACAACACGGCATGGGTGCAAAGGAGGGGGAAAGCCATATGGCAGATTGCAAATTGCGGGTGGCAGACGGTACCTAGGTAGTTTAAGGTGGGCAGACTGACAGACGGACTGACAGCCAAAGATGGATAAACAGTCGGGGAAGGACCACCCCACCATCCACACACACCCAGGCCAGCAGCAGCAGCCCCAGCAGATACCTGACACTGGGTAGGCCGAGGTCCTGGAGGGAGAAGGAACCACGGGAAGCTCATCTCCACTTTCGCTCACCTCCCTGCTGCTGCTTCCGCTGCTACTGCAACATGTGCTTGCTTGCTTGCTGCTTGCTGCTGCTGCTGCTCGCCACCTGGGCAGTTGCTCGTCCCACCACAGCCTTCCTTCCTTTCCCCCTCCCCCCTCCGGCTCCTTCCCAATCTCACCCATTCCCGAGCACATGGGGATGTCAACCAGCGGGGCTGCACCGGGCTGCACTTGTGCTTCCTGCACCGTACAAGTGCCTCTGCAAGGCCAGCCCTGGCCTTTCTCGTGATTTGAAGATCCGCCCCAACAGCCAACAGCCAACACATAGCACATAGATGCGCACACAGAGATCTATATCTACCTATCGTTGTTTCCAAGACTCTACCGTCCCCCCGGTGCTCACGCTCACTGCATGTAACCGCTCTACCGGGCTCAACCCTCCTCCTCCTCTCCCTCCTTCCTCCGCCTCTTCCCTCCTCATCTGACACACACTCAGACTCACTCACACACACTCTCACCCACACACACACACACACACACACACACACACACACACACACACACACACACACCTCTCTTCTCGTCCCGCCCTTGCAGCCCGTAGTCCACCCCGCCACCCCACCCCCAACAGACATGCTCGCAAAACTCGCCTTGGCTGTCGTGGGCTTGGCCGCAGTCCTCCTCTTCAACCGCCTGTTGGCCGTGATCACGAACAACCCCAAGTCCCGGCCTCTGCCCCTTCCCCCTGGCCCTGCTGGGCTGCCCATCATCGGCAATGTCCACCAGACCCCAAAGGCTCACGCCTGGCTCCAATGGCACCAGTGGAGCAAGCAGTTTGGCCCCATGATATACCTGAATATGCTTGGCCAGCCCATTGTTGTCCTGCACTCTGCCAGGGCTGCCCAAGACCTCATGGCCCGGCGCGGAGCAATATACTCGGACCGGCCCCGTCTGGTGCTGGCCGGCGAGCTGGCCCTCAAGGGCTTGCACCTGGTCCTCATGCCATATGATGCCCGTTACAAATGTAAGACACGCCCTTGACGTGCCACGACTCCAATCTAAGACCGCGTTGCTGTAGTACACCAGAGGCTGGAAGCCCCCCTTCTCTCCCCCCGGGCCGCCTCGTCCTACCAGCCCCTGCTGGACCTGGAGACCAGGCAGCTCCTGTTCGACCTGCTCACTGCCACCACCTCGGCCCGCGGCGTCGACTACCACCACCAGCTTGAGCGCACCATGGCCTCTGTCACGTACGCCCTCATGTACGGCTATCGCCTGCCCACCGGCCGTGAACCCGAGCTCGTACGCGCCCACGGCATCATGAAGGAGTTTGCCGCCATGATGTCCGACAACAACATAGTCGATGTGCTGCCCTGCCTCGACAAACTGCCCATCCCTTGGCCCTGGAGGCGCAAGGCCGAGAGACACTGGCACGAGCAGCGGGACCTCCATCTCACCAACCTCCACCGCGCGCGGGCCAACCCAGGCTGGAATTTCGTCAAGGAAATGGGCGCCAGCGCCGAGGCCAAGCAGATGAGCGAGGAGGAGTTCGCCTTCGACGTCGGCATCCTGGCCGACGCCGCCCTGGAGACCACCGTCCTCACCGGCAACTGGTTCGTCGTGGCGTGGCTCACCCAGAACAAGAAGTCCGGCTTCGTGGCTAAGGCCCAGCGGCTGCTGGACGACGTGGTCGGCAGGGACCGGCTGCCGACCTTTGCCGACAGGCCGAATCTCGTCTACATCGACGCCATCGTGGAGGAGGTGCTGCGCTGGCGGCCCATCGGCATCACGGGCATTCCCCACGTGACAAAGGTCGAGGACCAGTACGAGGGCTACCGCATCCCCGCCGGCAGCATCGTCTTTGCGAACCAGTGGTCCATCACGCGCGATCCGGGTACATTCGGCGAGGACGCAGACGAGTTCGTGCCGGAGCGGTGGCTCGCCGACTCCGACTGGGGCTACGGCAGGCCCGGGGATGTCAAGGCCAGGCCCAAGTCGGACGGGGCCGAGCCGCTGAGAGACATGCCGTCGACGGGGTTCGGCTTCGGGCGGCGCATCTGCACCGGTCAGCACATCGCGCGCAACGAGCTGTGGATGCAAGTCGCGGTGCTGTTGTGGGCATTCAACCTCGACGGCGCCGTGGACCCGGACTCGGGGGATCGCATCGAGGTCGACCCCATGGCCATGGCGGAATCGCTTATTATCAGGCCTTTGCCTTTCAACGCCTTGTTTAAGCCCCGGGGCCCGTGGGTTGAGGATTTAGTCCGGAGGAATTGTGATACCACTAAGGAAGACTTCGTCAAGCTGCTAGAAAAGATCGGCCGGGACAGAGCGGACAGAGCGCCGTGGCAGTGACTCCAGTAGCGTATTGGTTCATGCTTGGTTCATCTACATAAATCTTAATTCGCCCTCTTGTTGGTCTATTACTGCACGTGAAGTTGTGAAAGGGTGCGTTTCGCTTTTTGACAGCATCTGATGCGTGCAGATCAGGTCACCCAACGTTGTTTTGCTACGATGTTTCCAACCCCACTCCATCTATGCCTGCTTGTTCCCATTTATTTCCTAATGCGACGGATTCTTCTATCTCATGTCCCTTCCTGCGTAGCACCGTGTGTTTTCTAGCTACCTTGGATTTCTTACCAAGTCCGTGCAAACAGTCTTGCTGTGATGATGAGTGATACTGGTGGCAGCCAGGTCAGGGTTTTTTTATGAAGTCCAAAACAGGATTGTGATCTTGAGGTCAAATTGCACCTTTTGAATGTACGTCCAGATTACTGGTGACATGGCAGAACGACCTGGAGACGGGACGAAAGGGTGAATGAAGGTCGTCAGGGACAGTCAATGTGTAAATGTTGAGGCGCAGATGGAGCTGGGTCGCGTGCCCAATGAGGAAGTTGAATCGACCTCAAAGGTCAACCCCATCATATGCCTGTGAGACACCACTACCGGAACAGCATTTTCGAGGGGCAACGCATCGATTTTGTGTATCTGTTCTAGTATTACAAGCTGCGCAACCTTTTTGATGAGCAGGGCGGCAGTTATGCAGCCAATATCACCCCCGCCAGCCAATTGCGCAACTTCTCTCACGCCAACCCGTATCGTCAGCAGTATCTTTTGCCGAGACCCCATATGTGTAGCCTCACAGACAGGGGCGAAAAACAAGTTGATGAGGATCCCCCATCGTCCCACCACAATCCGTTGGATAGCCACCATCAAACATCGCAGGTTTTTCCCGGCCTCTTCCCTCGGTGGCGCCTTTTCTTCTCTCAGGTTCCATGTTCCATCATATCATTTCGCACACAAATGTGAAGATCATCACCCGTCGGGTGAGACTTCGGGCCCCGAAAAGAAAAAGGGGGAGGGCCCATGGGTATCCTACACTGCAAATCCACACAACCACCGGTTTTCGAAAGCCTCACGGGCCATAAACGCAAAATGCAAGTTGCGCGCACAGGCTGAAAGCAGCCGAAGTCCAAGATTAATCGAACAAGAAGCACACAGGGGGGGGGGGGTTGGTGTGCTGGAGCAGTTGGCTAAGCTGAAGCAGTCGCGGCCACGTCTCGTGGTCGAAAGTTCATGGGGCCAAGGTGAGCCGCAAGCTCTCTGCAAAGAGCTAAACCCATCGTGGTGCCGGAAGAAGCTCGTTGGTGGTCTAATGGTTAGACCTCGTCATCATATTCGTCGTTCGTCCAGGTCTTCGAGTATCCAGAGGTGGCAGCGAAGGAGGGCTGGTTGATGGGGTAGGTGTCGAGGTTGTAGCCGCCGCCACCGCCACCGCCACCACCAGAGGAGAACGGAGCTTGGCTGAACGAAAAAGCGGCAGCGTCGCTGGGCGTGTGAGGCTTGAAGTCCTCATCTTCGTTTGGAGTATCGGCCTGCGTCGTGTCCAGGGCCGGAGTCTGGGTATCGGTGCCGTAGAATCGTGCCGCGTAGTCCTCTGTGAAGCGGGGCCCTTTCATCGGGGTGTCCAGCGGGATCGGGGGGAACTCGTTATCGTCGTCCTCATCGTCCAGGTTAATAACGTTGGTGGGCTGGACGGCCTTGGTGACGCTCCCACGGGCCTTCTTGCTGGCGGTCGACTTTCCGGTTGACGGCGCTGAGGTGGCGGCACGCTTGCGACCCGCCTTTGGGGTCACCGGAGCGCTGCTGGCAGTAGGAGCGGCGCCGCCCTTTCCCTGTCTCATAGCCTCAGCTTGTTTCTTGATGCTGCGGAATTGCCACTGGATGCCGTCGGGAGTGGAGTCCCCGAAGTACGCAGCGATATCTGCCCACCGGGTTTGAAAGGTTAGCTTACCGCCTTGTTGTCAAAGTAGCTCTTAGCTGGTTCGCCATTTTTGACCATTTTGCGAACATCAGCCGCGTCTTTCTTCAGGGGACGGAAGAAGTGCTCAATGCCATCCTTGCCCCAGTCCTCAGGACCATAGTGTTCGCAAATGGCTGACAGAGTCAGCATAAGCCTCACTGGTAGGGAACAGCTTTGAGAAGGACCACAGGAGTGAACAAGATTCGGAGCAAGCATGGGGCCAGTGTCAAAGTCACGATGAAATGCAGGTGTGGATGGAAGTGGACCTGTGCCTACCTTTGAAGTTAAGTTTGAGCTCAGGGTGTGCTGCAATGACTGCAGTCAGCAGACGGCGCTGGCTCTCCTCGGTCTTGAAATTCGCGCCCATCTTGTGCCTGTAAAGCGTCATTAGCAAAGAAGAAATAAATCATTGGTTCATGACGAACCTGTTTCATGAGACTTGCGATGAAGGCGTGATGTGATTTTGTGTGGGAGTGTGAGGATATCTGGTGGTTGGCAGAAGTCGTCAGACTGGGGATGTCTTGAGCAAGAGATCCAGGACGGGGCCCCGATTCTCAAGAATGTGAAGGCAGAGAGGTGGAGGGGATGGGCAAGAGATAACATGCGAGTGAGATAAGAAGGAGGGCAAGAGCGGGCAGCTTCCCCGAGGACCGAAGTCGACAGTCGAGATGCCCAAGAACCGTGGCGATCTGGCCAGCGACGAAAAAGGAAGCATGCATGCAGTCTGGAAGGCCCAGGCAGGTGTGGTATGATGAACGGCATTGCTGAAAGACTTACTGTTTCGAAACTGGCAGATCAAGGCTGGTGAGGAAATTCTCCGTGAGCGGCAAGAGCCGTCAGCCAGGAGCGGTGAGGCTGTCAACAGCTGCGGTGAGGCGCAATATCAGAATCAAGTTGTCGAGACGACGACGATGGAAGTAGAGCGGGTCGCTAACTCGCGTATGGGGAGGTTGCTGAAGAAGTGGGGGGGTTGGTGGTTGTACTGGGCAACAGCTGCAAGCGCAGGGCACGACTAGGTGGACCAGAGAGTGGCTCAAGACATCGCGCCTTGGGTGGGAAATGAAGGGGAAAATAGGAATAGAGGCTGCCGAAGTCAGAGCATGCAATTGGGGTGGAGTGTCTTTGGGTTGTGGCTGATGATTCTGTCGTGTTGTAGGTATGTTCAGAGCACGGTACCTGAGCTGTAGGATACCTAAGTCGAGGGAGGGTCCAACTTGAATGTGTTAGGTTGGGCAGTGCCCCTGAGATAGGAAGCTACTCTGCAGGTCTTGAAAACAACCCTGCAATCTGAGTCAAATTTCTAGAAAAGAGCGGTTTACGCTCAGTGAAAACCATCTGATATGGTTTTACAGCTTGTTTGCTTTGATAGCACTTAATTTGGATTTCCCTCTCTTTTCGGCTAAAGAGAGGAAATGTGGCTGGATGTTCCTTGATAGCAGACTTTCACATACCCAGGCTTTTGAACTGGAGGACCACAGCGTCTCATTCGAATTCTTGCAGGGGGTTGGTTGACTGTTCGACAGGGAAGCCCTCACCTAATAGCCTTTACTCCCCGTCCCTTAACCCTCTTTCCGATAAATTCCCAATGTGTTCCTGCTGACAACCTGTATCAGACTTTCCAAAGCTTTAACACAACTCATCAATAGCCTCATGGCGACGACGTACGAGGAGTATTCTGTCGCTTCAGAGATTGAGGCTTTCTTCAACAAAACATCGGCAACCCGCGCCGCGTGCAACGCCAGAGCAACAGAGCTTGCCGGCGGAAACGCTGTCCCTGTCGACATCCAAGGCGCCTGCAGCTACTCCGTCTATGCCGGCCCTGAACTAGAATACGTCGTTCAGTTCCGCCTCGAGTCCTTAGCACTCAGGACCAAAGTAACTTCTTTAGCAACTGAGATTTATGGATCACTTGTGCCAAAGGTGACCTTCGAGGGTAAGGTAGGAGATGGGGAAAAGGAGCCTCTCTATGTCTACCTGATGAGCCGTATGCGTGGAATGACACATCTGGATTTCATCCTGGCACATGGCTTCCCAGAAAACTCTTCCAACAATCTTGTTTGGCGCCAGAACCTAATTGACGATATCGCACAGTACGTTTCCCCTGTCAACAGCTTGAGCCGCGCCACTAATTGACTCTTTGCAGCTTCCTAGCTCTGTCTTGGAAAGCACCTCAGCCAGTCAGAGTATCGCCGTAGTTTGGGACAGACTTATATCAGGGACCCATGGCTCGTGCATGCTGCACTTCCCTCCCGATTCCAGCATTTCATCCAGACCTGCATTGATTCGATGGACGACATTCTGTCTCTACCTATGGTTCTCCTCCACCGAGACTTGGGCTCCTGCAACATTATAGTCGACGAAGCAACCTGTCATCTCGTTGGCGTCATTGACTGGGCGGAAGCTGAAGTGTATCCGTTTGGACTTAACCTGCATTCCATCCAGTCTCTGACCGTGAAGCTTCATCTGCGTAATGGCTGGACGCGATTCGAAGACTACAATACTCTACAGGATGTCTTTTGGGAAAGGTTTAAGCGGGAAGTTGGTAGCTTATCTGACGATCAGTTCCGCTCGATCAAGTTGGCAAGGGCGCTAGGTCTGTTGTCGTCGTCTGGCTTTACTAGCCGTCTTGCAAACGAACCAAGGCCAGTGCCTATTGGGGATGATGAGTATGGACGCTACAACATGCTCTCATTGGATGGATTCCTAATTGATTTGCAGACAAAGTTTGATGGCTTCGACTAACAGCGACGCACAGCTCTGGGATAGTGATGACTGGGAGAGTACAAAACAATCAGGCACCTGACAACTAACATTACAGACATTCAATATGCTTCTAGCGTGATAGAGACCACAACATCACTGACTGTCACGGGTCCATCATAAAGATTTGGTACTTCAGCAACCAGAATGGAAGTGTCAAATGTTGATACCTGAGCTGCTCTGTGGCCCATTATTATCTTCCTTCCTAGGAATAAAGCTGCCATCAAATGACTTATTGTAGGTAACCATTGATGCAATATTGTCTTCCTCCTTAGGAATAAATCTGCCATCAATTGACTTATTTTAGGTAATAGGAAATCAGAAAACTCCGGCCTCGACCAGGGCCGCACTGAGATCGTTGATATTATCGAGCTTTGGATGCGGCTTGCCAGCATTGAAAACCTTGTGGTTGCCCGGAGTCATGTTAGAGTGTGTCTCGGTGGATTGGCAGACGCTGGGACCGCCAGGACCAGCCTCGAACGTCCATCCTGCCACCCTGGTGGGCTCGCAGTTCTTAGTGGCGCCCACCTGCAGCATGATGGTACCATCATCGATGATGAGCTCATACATATTCTGCTCGCCGCACTCGCTAAGGACTGGGCGGCCGATAAGCTCTGTGAGATCGTTGCATTCTGCTGCTCTTCACTAGAGTTAGAGTGCGAGGGGGCACGGAATATCTAGTTTCCTTCCTATCGTTTACCGACGAAGTGGGGGATGGCGAGTTGAATGGCTACGAAAGCTTTACTCAAGCTACCGACATATAGAAGGACTCTTCTGAGGTTCCTGCTACTACACATGCATTACCGACGAGATAAATATCTTGACTCATGCACAGCCATCCTTTGACCAAGAGTGTCACTGACGAGTATAACATGAGGATGTCCAAGGGACAGGCTCTCAACCAGGATCCAGGGGCAGACATCAGCCACTCTTCTCCATTTGGACCTCGATCGCAATCGGCCATGGCATACGCAGCGGCTCAATGTCTGACATTGGAACGCAGCAGGTAAGGCTGTTGGATGACGGCTGTGTGGTTAGTCCCTATAGAAAAGCTTTTATTAACAAGGCTTTTGCTTATCATCATGAAATTTCATCTTTTATTAATTTGGATTTACAATTCTATATAGTAATGTATAATAAGGGTCAGTAGAAAAGGTTACTTGAAGAAGGCAAAGTAAAGGTTATCAAGAAAAGCAGACACAGCTGTCACGCATAGGAAGTAGGAAGGGGAGAAGGACAAGTAACTGCAATCACGTTAAGTACAGGATCAACGAAGCGAGGCGAACCGAACGGAAGCATTAAAACAAGCCAGCAGCTGCGAGATTCTGGCAGCCTAGCGACTGGCAGCCCGTTGTTGGGCTAGAGACTGCCAGGAGCCAGGCTTCATACCCGGCCCGCGTGCGTCCATCTCTGTGGCAGCGGTGACTGGATCCTGGAGTGTAGTGATGTACCGAATGAGAATGGGCTGGATCTGGGTTATATAGGGCCGGAGGGGTGACTGAGGCGATTTACAAATTGATCGTTAGCGAACGTGGGTAAGGGATGGGCGGATCAAAACCAAGTTGCTGGCTGGCCTAGTTGGAACCGCATCGGAACAAAGTTGTAGAAGACTACCTAGGTACGCTGCAAACACTTTCTTGGACCTCTTAGAAGGTTGCTCCCACTGTCAAAATCGTGCGGACTGAAGCTTGTAAATCAACAGTTTTGGTAGGGTGACAGCGTTGTAAAATGCCCAGATATACAGTCATACGTACAGCCTAGCCGGGCTGCCAAGTTGAGAACGATCCACAGACACATGTTTAGTTGACCAAGAACTGTCTCGATTACCCCACAACTACAGCCCGTTGTGCCCGTTTAATGGTATGGATCAGGTATGTATTAGATAATCACTTGACGCATTGGTACTTATAATTAGATCTATCACAACGGCTTCTCGAACGGAGTTCGACGACCACTCTGCAAACCACTTGGGATGGGCAAGTTCTTCATCTCTCCGTTCCACTCCGGCACGACGCCCTCGTCCTTCAGCTTACCTTCTCCAGACCCATACATGAGATACTGCACTCCCAGAAAAGCATCACAGCCCGCCTGGAACATGCCGCACAGCTTGAAAGCCCAGGGGATCTCGGTTACTGACGTGAAGAACCAGAACATCTTCATCGCGTCACCAGCGAGCCAGCTGGCGAGGACGGAGACCCTGAATCCCTTGCACGACCGGGAGCGCGCGTTCGCAAATATCTGGGGCAGCGGTAGCGTCGCCTCGACAGAGAGGCCAATGTAGCCAAGCAGGCTGGAGTACGACGAGTAGAGGCCGCGGAAGGGCGCAAGAGCCAGCTCGAGTGCTGTGAGGATGATGAACAGCCAGAGCAGGAACTGCCAGTATCTGTGATGTCCGCACGTCAGCACACCTTATTTCTGCCTCGAATTTCGAGCCGTGCCATGACTCACGGCTTGGGCGACCGCCATTGCCAAAACTGATATGGCCGCTGTTTCTCAAAGAAGCCCTCCTTGGCCCCAGCAAACGGGACCGCTGCGTCGCCGCCCTTGGATGCTGGGCCGGGGCGGTGATCCAGAGCTATCTTCAACAGCAACAGCTGCATTATCACCATCAGGAACGATTGTATGAGCAGTGCAGTGTCGAATCGGGCGCCCGGGTAGTAGAATATCCTGTACAGAACATTGTCAGCACTAGAGTCGAGAGCAGGCGCATCTGGTAGGATGATTCAGAGGCTACGTACCTGAACATAGACGCGATGAGCATGATCAGAGGTATGTCCAGGGAGAAGCCAGCGCTCGACTTGTTGCGATGCATGGCCATCGCCTGGTCGCTATATGATAGCACGGGCGACAGGATCAGGAAGATGGGGGCAACATAGCCCGCGAGCGAGGTAAGCCATCGCATCACGTCGTCGGGGTCGACCGGTGAGACGGGGGAGAAGGCAGGTCTGCAAATGTGCTTCGGGTCGTCGTGCCGCTGGGATGAGGAATGGCCAGGTTGACGAGACGACACAATTGCCTGCGACGGAGTGAACGGGGAGGGAGAGCAAAGGCGGAAAACTCGGAGCACGTTGCAGATGCGCGCGTTGGACAGCAAATTGGCTTCTGCTCTAGTAATGCAGTCCCCCTTTTTGGAGTCGCCGGCCGGGTCCAAGGGATGCTGGCTGGCCCCGAAAGCCAGCCTCGCGCCAGTGTGTGTGCAATTTTTAGCTCCACGCTGGTCGTTGAAACGGCTGCCCGCTAGAGCAGCGGCCCGTGGCTTACCAAAGCGACGGGCCGGCCTTCAAGCACCGTACTGTTACACGGCGATCTTGCAGCTGGGTGGATTCAGTGGGTACCGGGTGTTTCTCACCACGACAAGGCGAACTTCTCTGGTGTTGATCAGTCATCTGCACATTTGCCATTGCAAACGGCCTCCTTATCCGAACCCCCCCCCCCCCGGATGTAAACACAACACATCAACACCACCTCACTGCAGGCAACCTCTCTAACGACATCGCCATCATTTACGAAGCCTGTCCTCGTCCAAACCTACGAATCCGGTAGATCAGTGACATCAGACGCGGCCGAGCTATTTCACACATTCTTTGCAAGAACGGACAAGCTGCTCACTGACCACTGGCCCCCATCACTGGGCTGGATTGGCCTCTATGATCCAATGCGATCTCCCGTCAGGAATCTCTTGAGGATGCCTTGAGTGATCAACACTAGAGAAAGCAAGGCTGCTGATTACGTCTATGTCCGAACTGGATTCGGAGGTGTTGCCAAACAGGTGTCACAGATTGGTGGCTGCCCAATGACTGCAGACATATCCTCACGCCTGCCTCTCCGTTGGTAGGCCTCATGCAGCTCGGTGAGATTCGCATCGCATCCAAGGCGGCAGCCCACGTTCAACCTACTTCCAAATGGAAAAAGACCCAGATGATCCTCTGTTGGTAATGCAAGGCATCCAATCATGCAGGAAAATACCTGAATCCCGATAGTATTTAAGTTGTCAAGAAGTCTTCCAAAATCCCGTTCACTTCTTACCGTCATAGCATGCACTCTCATTTCGTCTGCAGCTCTGCGTCTACCTCATCCTACTCGTCGCCTCGTATCGTCAGAACGGGCACCCAATCTCACCATGGCGGCGACTCCACTGCAAACGGAGGCTCTGAGACAACTCGGCTCCAAAGACCAGCTAGATCTCCTGAACTGCATCGACCAGCTTCGATCCGTAGGGCTCAATCACTATGTCTCCCTTCCCCAGATCATTGTCTGCGGCGACCAGTCGGCCGGGAAATCTTCCGTTCTTGAAGCTATCTCCGGTGTCTCCTTCCCGGTACAGAGCAATACGTGTACTAGGTTCCCTACCGAGCTTATCCTCCGCCGAGCGGCTCAAGTCAGCTCAAGTGTATCCATAGTGCCAGATGCGTCACGAACCGAGGCAGAGAAGCTCTCACTCAGTGAATTTCAACAGGAGCTGGACGGCTTCGACGGCCTGGGCAAGTTGATAGAGGCTGCCAAGGCTGCCATGGGCATACATGCACATGGGAAGACGTTCTCAAAGGATCTGCTAAGGATCGAGATTGCCGGACCTGAACATCTTCACTTGACCATAGTCGATCTGCCCGGCCTGATTCATTCAGCCACCAAGAACCAAACTGATGATGATGTGGATTTGATCAAGGATGTCGTGAGAAAGTACAGTAAGTAAAATCCGGCCTGCGGGTCATGGGCGAGACTGATGATGATCCTCCAGTGGAAGAGCCGAGAAGTGTAATTCTGGCAGTCATCTCAGCCAAGAACGACCTCGCGAACCAAATTGTCTTGAAGATGGCCAAGGAGGCTGATCCAGCTGGACAGAGGACCATGGGTAAGTTTGTTGGTGGTCATTCCCCTACCGATGATATTCGTGAAAGTCACCTGGAATGACGGACGCCCTCCCGCCAACTGACCCTTCTGTACATGCCAGGAATCATCACAAAACCTGACAGCCTCATCAGTGGCTCGAAAAATGAAAAGTTCTTCGCCGATCTAGCCGAGAACAAGGAGGTTGAGTTCCGCCGAGGGTGGCACGTCCTCAAAAATATGGACTCGGAGAAAGGCTCTTTCAGCTTAACGAAACGCAACCGAGAGGAGGAAGGGTTCTTCTCAAAGGGCATCTGGCAGGACCTCTCAGCTGACTTGCTGGGCATAGCCAACCTGAAGCCCCGCCTGAGCAGCGTCTTGATGAAACAAGTTGCCTCAGAGCTACCAAGTCTCGTTGAAGAAATTGATTCGAAGCTTGGGGTCTGTCGCAAGGAGTTCGACAAGATGGGTCAGCGCCGAGCGACCAAAGATCAGCAGCAGCAGTATCTGGTCACAGTCAGCATGAAGTTCCAATCATTGATCAAGGCTTCAATCGACGGAGTCTACAACAATTCCTTCTTTACTGACGCTCAATCTGACCGCGGGTACTGCCAACGACTCCGGGCTGTGATCCAAAATTCCAACCAGCAATTTGCCAAGGACCTTTTAGCTCAGGGCCAGTACCGCTACATCACTGAGTCGCACATGGAGCATGTCGAAGGGTCAGAGTTGGGAGAAAGCATACAGATTTCCCGGAACGAGTTCATCACGCACATCCAGAACCTGATGTTTCGAACCCGCGGCCGCGAGCTGCCGGGGACCTTCAGCCCTATGATAGTCGAAGATCTGTTCCGGGAGCAATGCCGCCCCTGGGAAATAATTCTGAATGGTCACGTCGGTACGGTCTCAGCTGCGGCCAGAAAACTCCTCAACCTCGTGTGCGAGCACATCGCCGATGACACGACCAGCCAGTTCATCATATGGGAGATTGTCGAGCCTGCCCTTGAAAACATCACAAAGGCCTTGCAGTCCAAGGCTGATGAGCTCCTGGAGCCTCACAAGAATGGGCATCCCATAACCTACAATCATTATTTCACGGAGACACTGCAGAAAGTCCGCGACGAGCGCCGCATGGACGAGGTCCGTAGCGCCTTGGCCTATTGGCTCGAAAAGGACGAGAATGAACTAGACACCAGCAAATGTAGATTGAAAGGCACCTTTGACGTGCGCGGGCTGATCAAGGCCCTCGCCAATCGAAGTGAGCCAGACATGGACCGCTTCGCCGCCTCCGAGGCCCTGGATTGCATGGAGGCCTACTACAAGGTGAGCCGTACATAGAGTCTAGAGTCTTGCAAGCTGAACCAACACATGAAAAAATCTAGGTCGCACTGAAGCGCTTCACGGACGATGTGGCCGTAGAGTTGGTCGAGGCGAAGCTCGTCAAGGTTCTTCCGGACGTCTTCTCGCCAATGACGGTCTGTACTATGCCCCCCGACCTCGTGGACCGCATAGCTGGTGAATCAGACGAGAAACTGCGTCGGCGTGAACAGCTTGAGAAGGATCTGGACGTCCTGGGCAAAAGTGCCGACTCCTGCAAGCGGTTCGTGGGCATGAACCTCGTCGGTGAGACCTATTGCCGAGCTTCTGATTTTGCTTAGGTGACAGAGTTGCTGACATCGCTGCAGATGTGATTATTGATGGAGCACGAGCCCCGGAGTCGACCAGTGCGGGCGAAGACATCAGCGAGGATGAGGCCGTGAGTGCAGACGAGCCGTTGAGTGACGGAGTGCCGGCCAGTGAGGTTAGCCTGGACTTTGAGGTCTCGCAGCCTCGTTGCTTCCCTGAACGCGCTGCCAGCCCCGACCTAGAATGGTCCTCTAGAGAGCCTCGGCCTACATTTATATTCAGGGGGTAACCGGGAAAACAGTAACTGCTCGTCTCTTGTGGGATTGCAAACACTCAACAGAGGAACTATACTCCACAAAATTGGGTGTTAACCGTGCCGTCTGCATTATTCTTCTGCAGATTGTCCTCGCATCTGTTAATGTTTGGGTTGCACCACCCGTCTCATGTCTTTGACCCATTTCCATGATATTTGAGCAGAAGCAACCGGTCTTATGCAGTTCCCACAACAGTAGGCGACATTATCAGTGGTGATCGAAGGGGCGGAGGGGCTTTGAAAAGCTTTGAGCTACCAAGAAGATCTAGCTATTCCCGTCTGAGGCGCGCCTGAGAGAACACACCACTACTACGTGTACAGCTTTTCCTCCCCCCACAAAAAAAAATAACTGCTTGCCATGCATTACAGATTCGTTGACTACACTGTCAACAAGAGAAGTCATAATAAGGGTATCTAAGGCCCCACAGAGCCGAAACATCACCACTTGAACAGTGATTCACAGCCAGTCTGTCCGTCCCGTGCTGTCATTCTTCAGCAAAGGCAATATCAGGAGTGCATCTGATTGATCTTCTTCCCCAAAAAAAACACCAAAGCGGCTCAGTCCTGGCCCTCTATCATCATTCCAAGAGCATTGGGCACACCCACCAGTATCTTACCTCTTGGCACCCTTGCATTCTTGACCCTCATACAACCGAAGACGTTCAACTCTCTGAGATTGGGGCAACTGCGGAAAACGCTTCCCACCACATAGTCGTTGACCTCCTCACAAAAGCTGATTTCCAGGGACTTGAGCTCCGGGTAAATCTTCTCGAGGCTGAATACTTCATCGAATGCCTGCTTTGAGATGTGACGGCAGGCGTGCAGATTGAGTTTCTGTAAAGACTTGCCAGAATGGGCCATCAAAGCCTTGAATCCCTCAGAGCACAGGCCGATGTCATCGGGATTGTCGCGTGGCTTCTGCGAGTCAACATGTCGACACTTCTGGAAATCAATGAAGGTGAGGCCGGGGTTTCGCCAACCAGTGAAGAGGCGCGCGAAACCGGCATCAGTCATGACCTCGCTGTCAGTTATGCGCAGCTTGGAGAGATTGTGGCAGTTGCTATGGATGGCGTCGAGGACGGTGTTGTCCAACTCTGGTGTCCATCGGAGGGACAGCGTCCTCAAGCCTGAACCAACGCTGCGCAGAACCTCGACATAGACGTCGGAATGCACATGCTTGTGGAGGTGGATGCTCAAGTACTGGAGCTTCTTCAGGTGGGCCAACTCACGAATGCCGTCACCACTGACCTGCTGGTTGTTGTAGACTTTGAGGCGTTTTAATCCTGGGGCAGCTGTCCTGAGTGCAGTCATGCACTCGTCGTCGAAGTGCTTGTCCGTGTAGTAGATCTGAAATCTCTGAAGGGATTTGCCTTTGGTAGTCAAGTACTTCTTCCACATCTCGGCGCTGAGGAGATTTGCACCGTGTATGTACAAGCCCTCAAGGTCGACCTTATCTCGCGAGAGGAGGTACTCCATGACCTCATCCTTGAACTGGATGGCATTTCGGATCTTGAGATTCTTCACAGCCGGAACCATCTGGAAGACGCGTATCAAGTCATCGGTGCTTAACTTAGCGCCATCGTAAATGGAAACGTCTTGAGCCGTCGGCTGGAGGAAGAGATTGAGGGTGTTAGGGTCGACCAGACGCTTCTTTGAGAGCATGCGGGCAATCTTGTCGATGATCTGTGGAGGCATTTCGCCCAGGTCATCTGCAAGCTCGATGTTCTTGGCGAGAGTCTCGATGCAGAGACTCATAAGGCTCTTGGCCCCTAGCGTGTAAGTACCATCGAGGAGGTTGCTTTGAGTCTTGCGGCGCCGACCAATGGCACCGCCGGACGCGGCAGCCTTCTTCTTCTTCTTAACTGGGCCCTCCTCCTCCTGCATCTCCTTGCCGCAAGGATTACAAAGGAGGCCGCCGTCCGGGCCGGCGCGGGAGTAGGGTGTGACGGTGAAGCGTACGCTGCAAATCTCGCAGTTCTCCATCTGACCAGGAGCAGGGCCGCTGTTCTTCAGCAATTCATTGATCAGGTCATCCTCGTCGTCAGAGCCTTGAAGTCGCTTCTTGCGCTTTTGGAAGCGCTTGGAAGCCTTGATCTTCTCGATGGCCTTTTCCGTCTCCTGCTTACGCTTTCTGCTCTTCTTGGGGTCCTCCTGCGCAGCATCGGCGCCGTCGGCACCATCGTCAGCACCATCCGCACCGTTTGCAGCGGCATTTGAAGGGCCAGAGGCAGCTTGGTCATCATCTGCCTGGGCCTGCTGTCTTCTCCGCTGGTGGTCAATGCGGATCTGGTTTGCCGAGATGTTGTGGGAAGCCAGAAAGTCCGTCAAAGCCGACTGAGGACCTGGGTGACAGCATTAGTGTTTGCGATGCATTGATTGTGGAGCAAGCAGCAGTCATCTACCTCTAATCGACCGTCGGGCGGGTTGACGGGCATCCTGGCCGCCATTCTGATTAGGTGCACTCCTGAAGCCTCTTGATTAGCTGGTGACCGCGTGATAGCAGGACGAAACGGGATGCGAACATTTTTGCTCTTCAGAGGCAGACTGCGACTGCCAGATCTGACAGGTGGGAAAAGAGAATGCGTCGACCGGGAGGAACGAGAAGAGAGGAGACGAGGCGCTGCAGTCTGTTCCGCCAGAATTGGGCCAGATCGGGGGAACAGCACACTGGTTAGGTAGTATGAGAGGTGATGGTGACGAAGGCTCCGAATGAAGAAAAGCTTTGTCAGATAGTGCGAGTTGTTGAAAATCACACAAAGCCGAGACTCACGGGGTGGCAAACGTGAATCTGCTAAACTAACAAGGAAGATTTGATCCGAAGCAACCAAAGGGCGTCGGCATTGGCATTGGCATTGGTGGGGGGGGGGTTCCAGATACACTTTACGCGCTAGGCATCAACGCCGCGGGCAGCTTCAAACGCGTTGTCCCGTGCTCTTTCCCAGTCTGCAAACGACTTTAGACCCATGGAAACCACTTCAAACCCCTGCCGGACCCCTGCCGGACCCCTGCAAGCTTCCCCAATTTAACTCGATCTGCTTGTATTGCGCCGTGCCTGGTGGCGCCCTTTCCCCCTTCTTCAGCTGACAACGCGCCTGAGTTTGGCGATTCAATTGAAGCAGGTGGCAAAGGGAGCTAACCTTCGGTCTTTTCTTTATCGCGCCCGCGACCTTTGATTTGGAAACTTGAACCTTCTTTTCGTTGGCAACACCACTTATCCCTCTCCTCTCCCCAGCTGACCACCCTCTTCACATTTCGTCTTCGTCTACTCCACACCCAGCTACCCAGGTAGGCTGGGCATTGGAGAGTGTGCGTTTTCTGGCCACGACTTCCATTTGTATAAGTCCCCAGATCTCACAAAGCCCCACCACCCCTCGTCGACTGCCTTCGTAGCCAACTGCACGTTTCACCCAACTGCCTCGCCTTGTGGAATCGTGGCATCGGTGGCATCACCTGCATCGAACACCATCAGTGGCCACGATGGTACGAACTAGACGATCGCTCGCTGGCGCGGCCGCTGAGACAAGTACGTCCAGTTCCCAGCCGTCATAGGAGGACGACAGATCTAACCTGACACCAAATTTTAGGCCAGAGTTCACAGGCCACTCGGCACAATTCATCCACATCTGTGTCTGTACCTGCAGCAAGTAATTCACTGCCTGTCAAACGTGGTCGCGGTCGCCCTAGCAGAGCGTCCTTGGCTGCTGCTGCTGCCGCCGCTGCTGCCGCCGCCGCCAACAGTGAGTCACTCTCCTCTCTTGGGACGTCGACCTACTCGTCCGCCGACTCCGTCTCGGGCTATTCAACCCCCTTGACCAGCAATGTCACCACGCCTGCTCCAATCGACAATGCAAAACCCGGCTCCACTCGATCGACACGCTCTAGTAAACTCGAGGTAGCCAGCCCGGCGGTCAAGAGCCGCGGGTCCGGTACCAAGTCGAACCTGAAGGCCGACAACCAATCAATGGGTGCTTCCTCGAGAGCCACGCGAAGGAGTCGACTCGTTACTGTCCCTGATAGCGAGGACGATGATCTCGCAGATGATTCCCCGGACGCTAGACGCATTCGTTACGACGAGGAGGTTGCCCGATCGCTCCAAGACGAGCTCAATCGCGAGGTCGAAGGCATCCTCTTTGATGACGACCTCGAGGAGCAACCCATTATTGAGTCTGACAGTGAGGACTATGCCGCAACCGATCTCAAGGGTAAAGGCAAGGCCGTGGCTACTCAGCAAGCCTCTGGTACTCGGGCTGCAGCCAAGAAACGTGTCGTCCAAGACTCAGACGTCGACGACGATGATGATTATGACAATGACGACGACTATTCTGACTTTGCCGATCTTGCACCCCCAGCCAAGAAGCAGAAGACCGCTGTTAGAGGCCGCGGAAAGCAAGTGTCCGCAAAGGGAAAGACGGTCGTAGCTCCGCCTGTGTCGGACTCGGATGACGACTTGCCTTGTAAGTCCCAAGAAAACACTCCCGCCCATCTCCCCTGGAACACACACACACACACACACACACACACACACCGGGCTGCCTCTTATGTCCTCTCTCCCCCGGTCGCATTGGGGTATTTCCCGCACATCGCCTTACTCCCTCTAACTTTTACCTTCCCTATCCCCTTGGAAGTTTCTGCTGATGTTTTGCAGTGAGCAAGCGGCACACTGGCCGGAAAGTTGCACGCAGATCCGGCGCAACAGCTCAAGACACGACCCCAGGACTCGGCGAAGCTAGTAGCGACGGCTCCGGATTGAGTGATGTCGATTCTGCAGATTTCTCCGCGGAGTCAGAAGACGATAGTGACGATGCTGACCCCTCGGCCGCGACGAATGATCCGACTAGAATTCAAGCCATTTCGCGCCGCCGCCGTGGTTTCGGCGCCTACGCCAACCGCAAGAGAATCAGGACCGGCAGGCTCCAGCTTGAGGAGCACCATCCCACTCTTAAGACGATGTGGGATCGCCTCAGGGACATGCCGGTTCTCAAAGCCGGCAAGGCCGAGCAGCCGAAGTCCATATCTCGACTCCTCAAGCCTTTCCAACTGGAAGGTCTCGCCTGGATGAAGGCAATGGAAAAGACCGAGTGGAAGGGTGGCCTCCTCGGCGATGAAATGGGGTTGGGAAAGACGATCCAGGCCGTGTCGCTCATCATGTCTGACTATCCGGCTAAGCAACCTTCTCTGGTCTTGGTCCCGCCCGTCGCTCTGATGCAGTGGGTTTCTGAGATCGAGTCCTACACGGACGGTACCTTGAAGACGCTCGTCTATCACGGCACCAATGCACAGGTCAAGGGCAAGACCATCAAGGAGTTGAAGAAGTACGACGTCATCATCATGTCGTACAACAGCCTCGAGTCGATGTATCGGAAACAGGAGAAGGGCTTCAAGAGGAAGAATGGCCTGCACAAGGAGAAGAGCCTGATTCATGCCATCCAATTCCACCGTGTCCTCCTCGACGAGGCTCATTGCATCAAAACGCGGACGACAATGACCGCAAAGGCTTGTTTTGCCTTGAAGGTCGACTATCGTTGGTGTCTTACTGGCACTCCGTTGCAGAACCGAATTGGTGAATTCTTCTCCCTGATCCGCTTCCTCAACATCCGCCCTTTTGCATCGTACTTCTGCAAGACCTGTGACTGTGAGTCACTCGAGTGGACCATGGACGAGGATCACCGCTGCACCCAGTGCAACCACAATGGCATGCAGCATGTGTCTGTCTTCAACCAGGAACTTCTGAACCCGATCCAGCGATACGGCAATATGGGCCCTGGCGCCGAAGCTTTCCGAAAGCTCCGACTGATGACTGACCGCATCATGCTGAGGCGCCTCAAGAAGGATCACACCAACTCGATGGAGCTGCCAGTGAAGGAAATTTACGTTGATCGCCAATTCTTCGGCGAAGCAGAGAATGACTTCGCCAACAGTATCATGACGAACGGCCAGCGCGAATTTGACACCTATGTCGCTCATGGTGTTCTTCTCAACAACTACGCCAACATCTTTGGCCTCATCATGCAGATGAGGCAGGTGGCTGATCATCCTGATTTGATCTTGAAGAAGAATGCCGAGGGTGGACAGAACATCCTGGTCTGCTGCATTTGTGACGAGCCTGCGGAAGAAGCCATACGATCTAGGTGCAAGCATGACTTCTGCCGTTCTTGTGCAAAGAGCTATCTCAACTCGCAGGACCAGCCAGACTGCCCTCAGTGCCATATTCCACTCTCCATCGACCTGGAGCAGCCCGAGATCGAGCAGGATGAGGCGTTTGTCAAGAAATCTTCGATTATCAACCGTATTAAGATGGAGAACTGGACGTCATCATCCAAGATCGAGCTCCTTGTTCATGAACTGCACAAGCTTCGGTCGGACAAGGCTTCCCACAAGTCCATCATTTTCAGCCAGTTCACTACCATGCTGCAGCTGATCGAGTGGCGGCTGCGTCGTGCGGGAATCACCACTGTGATGCTGGACGGTAGCATGACTCCAGCTCAACGTGCAGCCTCCATCGATCATTTCATGAAGAACACGGAGGTGGAGTGTTTCCTTGTGTCGCTCAAGGCCGGCGGTGTTGCCTTGAACTTGACCGAGGCATCGCGAGTCTTCATCGTTGATCCGTAGGTTTCTCCGCCGTCTTCTAGCTATTTTCTAAGTGCTAACTAACAACTTTGAATAGGTGGTGGAACCCCGCTGCCGAATGGCAGTCTGCTGATCGGTGCCATCGTATCGGCCAGACACGTCCTTGTACCATCACTCGTCTTTGCATCGAGGACTCTGTGGAGAGTCGTATGGGTGCGTATTTGATTTTATTCCTAGCCAAAGCACAACCACAGGTCGTTAACAATTTGTGCAGTTTTGCTTCAGCAGAAGAAGGCCAGCATGATTCATTCCACCATCAACAATGACGACGCAGCGATGGAGTCACTGACACCCGAGGATCTACAATTTCTCTTCCGCGGAAACTGAAAAACCCATCTTCGTGAACTTGAGTGAAACCTGATTCTCACCATGCGAAGCGCACGACGACGTTCGCGATGGTGCCACCACTGGAGTGGACCAAGAAGCAGACCACCGCTCAAGACAAGTGCGGCTCACTCTGACGCGAAAAATTGCTTTTTTTCAGGTGCCGTACATTGTTATACATCTCATGACGGAAGCGCTGTAAAATACAGGGTATTGCCCTTCGACGCTGCTATGAGGCGAACGCCATCACGATGGGCATATAGTGGTCTGGCGTTATGAGGCAAGGCGGAAAAGTGGTGCGATTCTTCCGCGCGCCGTCGTAATTTGCGCGACGGAAGTTGATTTTTGCTGGCTGTGGTTTTGGCCCATCCTCATGTCAAAGATGGATTGGTAACCTCAGCCTTCTCTGCAGCAAGGCCAGGCAGACCTGTCACGGCCATTTTTGCTTGTAGCCACCCAAACTCAGATGAGCCGTTTATCAAGAAAATAGACGAAAGAGCTTTGTGTGCACAGCTGAGACTGCCAGTGCAGAGCCCACGGGGTTCTCGGTACGTGATGTACGATATGAACACGAAGTGAGCAGAATATGCTCTCGATGCCCAGAAGAGATATGCTCTCAAGTGAAGCTGTCCTGCACCACCACCAGCTGAACGGTTCTTGCTCGTGACTTGCCAAAATTATTTCAACACTGATTTCTTCCATGGCGCAGGCACGTTTCAGGATTGTTTGAACCAAGGACATCATAGTATTCCCGCTAAATCTAGAGTTCGGAGCCATCCCTTCCCTTCCCAAGCATTACCTCTGCCTCCCGAACTTCCATCCTCTCATCAAGCATAGAGCCCGTCTCATCATCGTCGGTGCCATCATCAACTCCGCCCAAATCGTCATCGTCATCATCGTCGTCATCGTCCTCATCCACATCGACCGTGCCGTCGAGCTGCGCAGCCCCGCTACCGCCGCCCTTGGTCGACGCGGGCTTCCTCTTCTTCTCGAAGTCCTGCTTGTGGGCCTCGGCAAGAATGCGTACTATGCTCCTCTTGCCCACAGTGTCGGCGCGCCTCCGCATCCGCAGCGAGTCCTCGCCCGGCGTCCGGCCCTCCTCGACCACATCCGCGGTGGCGGCGCTGGACAGTCCCGGCCGCGCGCCCGAGGCCGTGCCAGGGACGTCGACCCCGGTAGACACGGCGCCGCTCGGCGGGCGGTTCTCGATGGCCCCGGTCCAGGTGGCAGTCCTCGAGGCGGGGGTGAAGGCGGTCGGGCCGTCGTCCTGCGGCTGCTTGCCGGCATTCGAGTCCGAGCTCACCCTGGCGCTCGTGAGCGCCGTGATGCCAGTGTCGAGGTGGTAAGGCAGGGGCACGTCCCTCGAGGCCTTGTATTGCGCGACGTTGGAGCAGTGCTCGTTCTCCACGCGGAGGAGGGTCCACATGCCTCGCCGGGTGACCTCGGCAAAGCCGATGAGGAAGGAGGCGATGCTAGAATGTTGTGTGTCGTGGGTGAAGATGGCGTAGAAGACCCAGTTGAAACGCAGTATGGGATCTAGTATCATGATAAGGTAGTAGGGCCAGCGGGACTTGAGGGCCGTAATGTCCCGCAGGAAGCGGTGACGCGCGTGCGGCTGAACCAGGCTGAAATCCATGAAGATATCCCAGAACGCTGGAGAGCGCGCGTTAGCATGACTTGTGTAGGGGCGGCAGTGGGAGTGATTATTATCTGGTTGACTTGTTATGTTAAGTTGATACGTACCGGTGTAAAACCCGTTGACCGTTGAGAAGGCGATGAAGAGACCCAAATTCTGGCTCGTGTTGTGTATACGGTAAACACTCAAGAATACACCGGCAAGTATGGAAGCTGTGTACTTGCCACCGTTGACTAGATGGGGGAATATGTTTCGGGTATCTTTGTAACGACGAATGCACTGAAGGAATCGCCAACTACACACAAGCTGCTGTTAGTCTGAGTTCGGATCAACATTATGTGCTATTGGCCGAGTCTATGCGCAGATGATGCTTCATGTGTGGACTCGGTTGTGACCACACACGTTTCCCCATTATTCCGCATTTGTGCGGAGAGAGTTGATCAAGCAGAGACGCCGTGCGATGTACTTACATAGGAGGCAGACAGGCAAAGAAGCCCAGCAACCTCGAGTGATTTGAGTTGCACTGCTGTGGTTCGTCCCAAGAATGGGCGTATAGGCAGAAGAAGAGCTCAATGTTCTGGACGTCGATCAGACACGCCTAACTCTCTGTGCGGAGGCCGGGAATGATACTTACACACATAGCGTAGGTCAAGGAGCAATACATATCTCCCAGGAAGAAGTCTCGGAACTCGACGGGGTATAGACCAGCGAAAAACAGACGCCACTGCCGCTAGTCAGTATCATCTTACCAGGCGGTAGGGCGAGCAATCGGGCTGGACAAAGGAGCGAACCCACATGAGAATACAGAAACCATCTTCGGCCCTTGTGCCAGAAGATTGGCGCCGGCATGAAGAGAATCAAGGCCGTAATAAATATGAGCAGGACAGGGTAATAGAGATACATGGCGTCAGATCCGTATCTCGTGAAGTTCAGCCACATGAACAATCCAAACAAGAAGAGGAAGAAGCTGGGGAACTCGGAGAGCTGCCTCCAGTCCAATTGGTTCCGGGGGTCGAATTCGAATATGAAGGGGTAGTTGATCCGATTGGCAGTCCAGATCTTGCAGTTCAGACAGAACATGCTGAATAGGAAGAGCATCAGGAAGTAACCACCGTAGATCTGCATCAGGTAGCTCGTCTGCGTCCTCACATCGTCGTCCTCGTCGAAGAGAAGCTGCGCCCCCTGCACGAGCCCTTGGACAGCAAAGACTGCGCCTACGCCGATGAGCAGCCCGTTCCGGAACGCACTGCCGGACTCGTCACGCTTCTTCTTCATCAGGTTACGGAGTTTCCCCGCAGCGAGCTTGTGGTTTCCGCGCTCAAAGTACCGAGCGTAAAGATCCTCGACCGCCTGCAGATGGCCGTCTAGGACGTCACTGTTGACGAACCAGCTTTTGTTGACCTTTTCGTTCATGTAGCGGTATGGTGGCCGCGCATGCGTCGACTTATCGAATTTCTTGTTGAGCTTTCTGAACGCGGTCCTGTTCAGGAGAGCGTAGGACTTCAGGAGCTCGAGACCACGGTAGAACTCTTGCAGTGCCAGCTTGAGCTTCCTCTTCGCCGTACGATATGGCACCTCGTGCTCATCAGGCCGACGGACGTAGTCGCGCCTCTCATCTGGATTCGTGCCATTGTGAACTGGCGTCTGAGGCATCTTCTGGAGTGCCTTAGTATTTGGCCCGGGCTTGAACAGCTTGGCCTTGAGGGGATCGAGCATGGGCAGGGGACCTGCGCCATTACTTTTGAAGCCCTCCTTCAAATCATGGCCATTCGACTCTCCGTCCCGCTTACGGCGCTTAGCCTCAGCGATCTCGGAAATCCTCCGGTTGCGCATCTCGTGCAGCTGCTCGCGGAGCATGGCCAGCCGCTTGCCGGCGTGGTCCTCCTTCTGCCGGTAGAAGTTCTCGACCTTCTGAAGCTCACTGTCGAGGAAATCGAAGAACTCTTTCTCCTTCTCGCGGACCTCGTCAAAGGCGTGCATATCGTACTCGCCCCGTGAGCGGTACCGCTCTAGCGACGGCCCGGCCAAGGAGAACATCCTCCGCAGTCTCGCTCGAGGACTCTGCATATCGCTCGGAGTGAGGTTCGGAAATGTAGCGCCCGAGGCCGAAGGAAACCGGCCAGGTACGGGAGCGCGAGCAGCTGCGGCCCCCGACTGCGATCCTGCCCTCGACACCGTGCGATTCAGAGCGAGGCGGTGGACTGAAGACCCTGAATTCACCCGAGGCGTTTCTGGCGGGCGCTGGCCCTGACCATTACTCGCATTGGATGGCACCTTAATGGCAGGGGCCGGGAGCTCGAAAAGATGGCTGGGCTGGCCGGACTCGCTGATGGGAGCGGGCCCATGATCCGGAGGGGTCGGGACAAAGCTGCCATACTGCATGTCCGACTCCTGGCCCTCCATCAGTCCCTGCCGCTCACCGGCGACCGGTGCAGGTCTCTTGATGGGGATTGAGCGCGGCGGGCTCTGGCCCATGGGGGCCGGGCTCGTCCGCAAGGGGTCGACACCATCCTCGGCAGGTGCTGGGTTGGCAGAAGCGGCAGTCCTGAACGAGGCAGACCCAGAGTGCGGCTGGTCGGCGCCTCTCGCAGGAAGTCTGGTGGATGAGACGCCATTGGCACGATTGATGGCCCTGGCGACGGCCTTGATGTGCTTCTTGCCGGCCTTGTAGTTGAGGTACTTGATGCGCCACTCTGAGACGGAGGTCAGCCATGTTTTCGACAATCGACAGTCCTCAACTGTGACACAGTGTTGCAGCATTGACATCTAGAACCCAGGCAGGGCCCCGTCGACTCACCTGGCACCAGATCGCGCTCGAGCTCCTTTGCAAATTTCATGGTGACGTCAGGAAGAGCAGCTGGAGGTCCAGCGGCATGGTTGCAATGGGTGGCACACACACACACAGACGAAGGGCAGTTGCGTGTTGGCGTGGGCCAGGTGAGAACCCGATGTACCTGGGTTTTGTGGTGTGGTGCGGGTGTTGTTCAAACAAGACGGTCCGATACTGGACACAAACAACACTAGACTATCTATCTACGCAACCCGCTCTCCGCGATAGTTGGACTGCACTCCCAGGTAGTCGGGCAATCCAGCCAGAGATTCGTGCAACTGTAAACGGCGGCAAACCGATAAGTTGGTACCATTTCAGGGAGGCCAATTAGAGCAGGGTCTGCAAGCACGCCTTCCCCACACCCCGCCCCCTGCCTGCCTGCCTGTGCCCCATCGCGGCAGCGCGGTCAGTCTGCCCAGCTTGCCAAAACGATGGAAAGATCGGCGCCAGATGTCGGCACATTCGTCCAAGATCGGCCATGAGGCTCAAAAAAACTCTCACGACTCTCGTCTGTCAAGACAGTAGTGTCTCGACCACGTTTTCTGCTTACACCTCCAATGCCAGCTTCAACACTAAGGTGGTTCCCTCGCAGTGGCATTGGACCTGGCGAGATGGTCAGCAATCCCAGCCCCCCCCCCCGCCCCCCCAAAATGTCTCGGCAGCTAATTCCTTGGTACAAGTCTATTGGCTGGGGTATATGAGGCCGTCGTGAGCATTTTGGACCGGTGCCATTTGATGGCGCCAGCCCGGACTTGCCTAAGCATCGACACCGCCGCGACCGTTGAGGCCATAGTCGCTGCAGTCAGACTCCATCGCCTTCACAGCGCTGACTGATTGCCAGGGAGACAGCAACGTTGCTTGATGACACATCTACCACAGGCCCGCAGTCTGACGGGGAAATTGCACGATAACAAACTGGCGTGTGAGCGTCCGGTGTAACCGGCGTCACAGGTGATCCTGTTTGGCAGCTGGCAGCATCCGAGAAGCACTGTTCGTCTCGTTGACCCTGCTCCCTGGACCACACGTTAAGCTGACGTCGGCGGGAAACAAAGTGATCCCATCCCTTGTTCCTGACAGACAGGGGCCCACTGCTTATTCCTTGGATTTTGAGCCCACCCCGGGCATATCTGCTCCTCCAGGGTGGTGTCCGTCGCATGTCGCGACTGATGCGTCAAGGTAGCTTGCCCGGCGCCCCTCTTCGCTGCAAGCTCTGGACTCGGCCGAGACCCACGCCGAAACCAGGGCCTGGAGAACTCTGAAGAACCTTGGAATGCCAGCAAAGCGCGATTCCCAGACATGGGGCAGTTGGGGCCGTGTGCGCGCCGGATCGAGATGTAGAAGCATTATCGACAGTTTCCCAATGAGGCTATTCCAAGATCAGTGCGCTATCTGAGTGAATGGGTGGTTCCGATGTCACCTTCGAGTTTCGAGTGTCAGAAAATGAGCCGATACTGCACGGTCCGATACTCCCATGTCTAAGATTGTAGAGGGTCTGCGCGCGTGGCTTGGCAACTCCAGACCCGATCCTATGGAACCTCGCCGACCTAGCGAGGTTCGGTCGAAACCTGCCAACCTCGCGATAGCCTCACAAAGTCCCAGACGAGGACGCGGCCGCCTCCACAATTTTTTTTTGGTCCTCGGGGCTGGGGAGCTTCTTCTTTTGATCGGAAGCAGCGCCGTTCATCGTCGAATTTCCAACTGTCCCGGGCCATTTGCTCCGTCGTCGTGACAGTGCCGGAGCCACAACTGCTGCACGTCGCTGAGCTTATTCAGGCTCCACTGCGTCCGTGGTAGCAACCGGTCCCGATGACCTGTTCCGGGAGGCTCCGAGGTGGCCGTGCTGCCGAAGATACCGACTCAGTGCAGATGGTGCAATCGATGCGGCTCACCGCACACAGGAGCCAAGAACGACGTCGATAGCGTTCACCACCGTGTAATTTCTCCAACACTGCAATAACAGTAAGGATGTGATCCTAGGTAGACAGAGGCGGGCGCTCCAGAGATTGAGCGACCCAAGACCCCGGGGATGCTTGGGCTGCTCGCGTATGACATGGCAACATGTCGCAAACGACTCAGACATGCTGTCGATCATTTTGTGTGAGGCTATATTGAGAACTCGTGGGAAGGCAGTCGAAACTCAATTTCGATAAGGCCCATTCAGGTGCGCCACACCCCAGTAGTGACCCCCCAACCATTTGTGGGCCATAGCTTGATCACGACGCTGGCGTCCAATCGCGAGTTTCTCAACCTCACGTGGGGGAACAGGAAGATGGTGGGCACGTACCGGTACATTGAAAGCCTGACTTTGTGACTGCTCCCTGGGCGTCTGCCACGGGCCAACAGCGAGAAAAAAAGATGGGAATCTCAAGTGGCCGGGTTTTTCTCCGGAGATGCGCGGGCTGACCTGCATGCGTCCTGCTGCACGGTTGGACAGGGGCCCTGGCGCATGCTGAAGAAGAGGTGCAGCCTGCATGCTCTATGGTTGCGCTGGACGATTGCCCTCTCCTATCCTGGCCTTCCTGTAGGCCAACAAACCAGACTCGGGGCGCACCGCTGTGAGGGGCTGCAGCTTGCTGTTTCGGCTGCCCACGACGCTTCCCAAACAGGAGTAGACGAGATGAACCGTGTAAGCTGAACGGCCCGCCTGCTGCATGCGTTGTGCATGGGTCACCAGCAGTCGATGAAGTGTATTTGTTGTGTCATACCCACAATTCCTGTCAGCTAGGTGCTGAGATTGTGGCCTGATCATGCGAACTCAATATGGGAAATGCACTTCGGCTTATGACCTACCAGCCGGGCATACTGTGCACTTTGTGGTAGAGCATTGAATGCTTAGAGGTCCAACGAGTCTTACACAAGAGATGTTGCGAGGATGACAATATCAGCTCTGATATTGCATTCCATGGTCAGTGAGCTGCGGGAAGAACCTGTTTTGGCCCCTCGGCCCGTCTCCGGCTGTGCGGGGTGGTTGGATGTGACGATGACATTACTAGCACATGAGGGAACTCAGATCAGCTCAAGTCTGGAGTGGAAGAGGGCGTGCGTGAGTGCTATCAAATTGGATCATTGCACGGTTTGGCTGCCCATGATGCTATCAGCCAGGCCAGGATCTGAGCAATCCCGATTCTCGAGGAGAACACGCGGCGTGTGAGCTCCTCCCAGCCCATGGAGCCAATGCCGTAAGACACATCATGCGTCAGCCTTTTCAGCCTGACGACTTGTTCGATTATAAAGACGAGGTTGTGACAGAAAAGAAAGACTCTCGATAGTCCAACTCTACTGTCGGCTGCAAGCCCTACACGCTATGATCAGGCTGGGCAGGTTGTGGATGTCAAGCAACTAGCTCTGTGACATCGTGTATGTTGCCGTCAGTTAGTCTCATACCCAAGCTGTGCTGACCATTGCTATCCATCTTGCGGGAGACTACTGTACGTCCATATGCGAGTTTAACAACCCCACGGCCGGGCCGAACATCTCTGAGCCCATAGGCACGCAGCATCGTGTACTCCCCGCATTGGGATGCAGGCATCTATTACTTTCTAGCGTAGCATAGTTCAACGCCATATATTAAGCTTCGCTGGTTCCAGTGCAGAGGTTAGAGCTGGCATTTTTCTTGCCAATGTTTTGCTTCGCTTGGTTGATTGCTTCCGTGAAACCGCCGCCGCGAGCACGTTCCAAATCAATGGCATTCTTAGCAGCAGCCCCGGCTTCCGGAAGCGGGCAATGTGATGGCTGGATGGTCGGATGAGGCAAGCGGTGCCACAGCCCGCATGTGCCGATGCCGACAGACTAGCAACATCTCGCGTGCTACACGATCTCAGGGCGGATTTGTTGAGCGGGTTGTTTAGACGCTATACGACGGGTTCTTCAGCCCTCTCCCTGGGACGTCGATCGCTGCTGGGTGATTAGGCGCAACCAGAAACCCCCTAGAGTCGAGCTAATCACGACGCGCGAAGAGCTTGGCCAACAGATAGATGGATAGGGCTCCCTCCCGGTGGGGTTCTTGCCGACGGAATTCTGATTTTCCCATGGGAGTCCTCCGCAGGTTTCAATGGACTGAGGCCGAAGAGGAATGTACGCAACCCCACTCAGTGCCGAGGTAACCCTGTTGAAATTCTCAAAATCGAACCCTTTGTGCAGCACTCGGGGCGGTTCCTATCCCAATCTGCATCCTCCATCTGCGGGCAACTGGAATGAGAGATACGGGGCGGGTCGGCAAGCGACCTAAGGGGAGCGAGAGGCAGAGGGAGTGGGAGAGCAAAGGTTCCCGACCCGTCGTCTCCCGGCGAGCTTGAGCTACCGTCGCTGGCGTGCTCGCCTGCGAGGGCCCGCCTGGCAGGCTGGTCGCTCGCTTGCCATGTGTGTGTGAGATGGGATCTCGATTGGATGCTGATTGTTGCCCATTTGGAAGACGCCGATTGCGTCAACATCAGAGGTTCATGGAGGCGATCATCGGCCACGGAGCAGGGAACCTGTCAGGCTGGCCTGCTGGTTGGCAGTCTGGCAGTCAGGCTGGTGAGCCCTGCAACCGCTGGCAACGACGTGACGGGCCATAGAGAGCAATAAGCCATTACATCAGATCCGGCTCGGGTCCGTTGATTGGCGCAAGACTAGGGATTTCTTCGGTGGTTCCCTCCAGCCTGGAAACTATTTTTCTGGGCCACCGCTCAGATGTGTGCCATGCCCCATGCCGTGCCATGCCATGCCATGCCTGCGCGTTTTGGGTCCTGGGGTGGGCTGCTGGGGCTTTCCCCAATGAACCGCTGCAAGGGGCAAGGGCATTGATTCATTGATGGCAATCCCATCGACGTGTACTGCATCTACTCAACGCAGTAGTGGTCTGCAGATTGTTGTGTTGCATGGCGCGCCCTGGCAGCCCTGCCTGAACTGCCAGGGTCTGTCTTGTGAGAGAAGACAGCTTGAAACAGGTCGGCGACCTCCAGACCGACCTGGAGGAAAGCTAAATAAATAGCAGCGGATGATGCAGGATCACGGCGCGCACAGCAGATGCACACCCACGCAAATACTGTGTAAATGGTCGAAAGAAGATGGATGTTGTGCCGCATTGGAGTGTCCGGCTGTTACTGAAGTAGCAGTTGTAGTCGGGGTGGGTGGCAGGGGGCAGGAGGCAGGAAGAGCGAGGGAGGAAGGAGGAGAGTGCTTCGCTGCGATACAACCACACGGCACGACTAAACTGAACGAGCAGACGAGATGCGTGCGTGCGCATGTGTTGCGGGTACCTGTACATGCACCCGGTACCAGGCTCGTCGCGCTTCAGCAATGGCTGCTGCAGTAATAATTGACTGATTGACCGATTGACTTGACTGAACTGACTGATGACTGCCCAGTTCCTACCCACCTACCTGACTGCCTGAACTGAGCCGACTGACGGTCGAACCCCACATTGGCAGCCTCTACCTGGCATTGCCTCCCCTGCTGTCCCCTGCTGTTCTGCTGTTCCCTGCACTTCCCTGCCCTTGACCAGGGCTGCCTGGCCGCCGCTGGATGTTACGCTACAAACACGCACGCTAGAGTGCCCACTTGTTGCGATTGAGTGACGCTACTGTCCCATGCAGAGCAGGCAAGCGGTTCCTGTGGTTCCTGTCGCGGTGCGGCCTGCGTACTGCAGCCAACAAACAAGGCCAGTCAAAAAGCTTTGCCCGTCCCTCCTCCTGGTCCTCCGGGGCTCCAGGGCTCCATCGACCTTTTTGTCCTGTGGTACCAGACTTCCCTGCTCTTTGGTAGATGCGGTTTTGTTGCCTTCTGCTCTGTTCTCCATAGATAGAGCGCACTCGGGCCTAGTCGACGACTCCAATAACACCCCCAAATATTGGCCAGAGCCATCATCCCGTCCTGCCCACTTCCAACTTCTCCCTTCTCCTCGCCGTCAGCGTCAGCGTCATCGTCACCGCAACTGCGTGCTGCTGCTGCTGCGCTGTGCCCGCTGTCTCTCTTGCTACAAGTTTCCAGGGCTGCCAAGACTGCAACGTTGGGCCGTCATCTTCCTGCGCAGCAACCGCGGACCTGGATGTCTCTGCCCTTTCCCACTCTTATCAGCACTGTCCGCCTGCCCGCCGCTTGTCCGCCTCCCTTGCCTTTGCAGCCCACCTCTGTGTACCAAACTCGTGCGCGCTTAAAAAAGAACACAAAAGAGTCGGACGTGCCCACTCTCCGTCGATCAACACGTTGACAGCCTATATTTATCCCACTGTCTTCGAGCCCTTCGTGTCCTTGGCTGGTGTTGAGTGAGTCCCTCCTCGACACAGCAACTGCCGTCCGCTTGGTCACCGCGTGGAGCCTCGACCTGATCACGCCTTGGTAGCAGACGAGCAAACCGGCCTGCGGGACACGAGTTTGCGTGTTGCACCGTCTTTCACCTCCATCCAAGGTCGGAGCACTGCTTCGGGCACAGTTCACCCTTCGCGACCCGCAAGACGCCGACTCAACTCAAAGAGATTAGGTTACAGGCGCAGCAGCTTCATCTTCGCGCTCAGGGTGCCGGCTCCACTCCCATCAGCGGGCCTCTCGCCCTGCTCTGCTCATCATTTCCTGCCCGAGGTTGCGATACGACAGACATAGCCCAAAGGTCCCTCCATCTTGGCGGGACTTCCCATTTTAACTCCCTTCCCTTGCGCGGCAGCACACACCCCTGCGATTCCGGAGCACGACCACTGCTCAACATGCTCGATGCACAAATACCAAGGCGGCGCCCACTGCCGGCTGATGCTCAAATGTCCTTCTCCCACTCTCGCACCCGCACAACATCCTCCAACGTATTCCCAATACAAGCCCAACACCCGCCAGCCATGCACCTGGGCCAACCACAACAGCCTTATGGCCACAACCGCCGCTCTCCTTCCGTAAACACCTTCAGCACCGTCTCCAGCGGTGGAGGGGCCACTGAGCGTGCCCCGCCCCCGGCCGCGTACCGAAACTCCCCTCCCAGCGCCGACATACGCCGCTCCACTTCCTCCCGCTCAAACGGCTCCGTACAGCCTGTCGGTTACGTTGCCCTCCTGCGGAAACAGAAGGCCACCGTCTGGTGCGACCGCGCACAGTCCGAGGATCCGTACATGCTCGCGAAACAGCGACAAGCCAAGGCCAGGGCCCTCCAAACGGTCGGCTCCGCCACAGCGGCCCCAGGCTCGTCCGGCGGTGGTCGTACGTCCACTGGGTTCAGCAGCGCGGGAGGCAAGGTCGTGGGCAAGATTCGCCACCACGGAAAGCCTGGAGTGGTCGGCTACGCCCCGGACAGCAACTACGTGGGCGTCGGCGGCGTGCCGCTTCGACTTAGTGCTACAGAAGTGGAAGGCGAGGAAAGCGATGACGACGAACTTGCATCGCAGCGACTACATCACCGTAGAACAGGGAGCAGCGGGCGATCAAGCACGGCGGGCAGTATTCAGGGGCGAAGGGCGCTCAATTACCGCTCGTCGACCGGCAGTGGCCTACAGATGACCGGTGGAGGTTCACAGAACAGCAGGAGGTGGACTGGCAGCGGAGGCGACAACACACCAGAGCGAAGCAGCAGTCTGGTCGATGGGGCCATGGCCGAAAAACGGACGAGCGATGCTGCAAGCGGCAGGAGTGGCAGCAGCGGAGAGCGTGCCGATGACGTGCCAGACATGGGGACTGACGCGGCGCGGCTGGCGAGCAACAGCCTGATACACTCGGCGCTGACGAGGGAAAAGAGTGTCAAGAATCCGGACGAGCTGCGTAGGAGAGGCAGTGTCGACGAGAGGACAATGACGCTTACCTCTGGAAGGCTTTTCATCGCCAACCCTGACTGATCAACCGACTATCAACTTAAACCGCCGCCATCGGGATATGGCATACTCGTTTCATTTGTCTAGCTCCTGGCTCGTTCAACATTGAACTTGGGCCGGGGGTGGGGGAATACCCAGCCGCAAATTTTCTTCTTTTTTTTCCCTAAAGTTTACGGGGTAGGGCCGGCGTGGGAAGCTTGCAATGCACAACACGAGACGGTCGTTCAACTTCTTTCCACATACCATCACCAACATTGCATTGCTCGGCGTTGAGGGGGATATCAAAGACGAATCAAATTCTGGATGCTTTCTCTATTGCCTGTTCATTTTCCACATGCTTTCGGTCTGGTCACAAATATAAGTCAAGCCGGGGCCGTTCTTTTATAAGGAATCCCTTGCCACATCAATACAAGATTCAATCATACAGAGTGTTCGAAGCGTGACTGGTAAATTGAGAACCGCGTCCATTGTGATTTGTCGTGGAGGCAATGGGAAAATGGAGTCCTACTCTGCTCATCACTCAAACAGCGGTATCAAATGGCCTCAGCCGGTGGAGGAGGATGCATGTGACATACATAGTATTCATAGAGTGATCCAATAAGCCGGAAAGCCCATGCATTTGAGATGATGCTTCAAATTCGCGTCGAGTATCGGAGACTCAGATACGGGGCGGGGCGTCTTGTTGCATCCAGGCTGTCTTGGAGGGCAACTACCATTGTGAGGATTCGGGAGTGAATAATATGTGCCTGGTTGTAAATAAAGCCGGCTTCCAATGGGTGTTCTTGAGTCAGCTAGACAGGTACCATGATAATCTACCGGATACGCTAGGCGGGGAGGTATCCCAGTACGGAGTACCCAGGCACTCCAGCCGTGCACGGACGCCATTAATCCCTTTGACGCGTGGGCTGCAGATTCCCACTTTCGACGCGAACGCGACTTCCCGGAAAAGGGTCCACCTTCGTTCGACCTTCCAACCGCCGCCAACCTTGGAAAGCACGTTGGAGCCACCGAGCCGTTTTCACAACCAGAGTGTACGTGTCTGGTGTTGTAGCATTGTTTTCACTTTGATGTCTAGGGTGCCTTCCAAACATTGCGGTTCTGCCTAAGATCTGATTCAGTCAATCAATGCCCGTTTCTGGTCCATCGACAGCGGCCTCACAAGCAGCCTCGCGACGCGGAAGGTACAACCTCAACCTCGAGCCTTCCTCTCTTGGCCCATAAAGTCCCGGCCCGGAGCCACCTCGACGCCAATGCCTCTCATGTCAATGTCTTCAAATGTCCAGGAGCTGGATTCGCCCAGCAGAAAGCGAACTCACACGGAATATTCTGACACCGTTGACGAGCTGCCTGCTTGCGACTCGACAAAAGACGCACGAGTCCAGCACAACAAAGGCAACAATCCGGCCGCTGTCCCCGAGACAACAGTGGCAGACTCGATCAAAGACCTGTCACTAGCGTCTTCTGCCCCAAATTCATCCCGCCCGGCCTCGCCAGAGACCAATCCGATACAAAGCAGCCCCCCGTCTCTGGTTGAAGCGGACAGCAGTAACCTCGCCAAGGACTCGGTTTCTCCTGATACACCTACCCGACAGCCCGCTGTCATGCCTCCGGCTAAATCAACACAGCCCGCTGGCCAGGCTCCTCCGGCCAAGAAGCGGAAGAAGCTGACAGAGGAGGAGAAGAAGGTCCAGGCAGACGAAAAGGCAGCCCGGGATGCCGAGAGAGAGCAGAAGCGCAAAGATAAGGAAGCCGAGGCGGAGAAGAAAAAGGCCGAAGCTGAGAGGAAGAAGGCCGAGGTCGAGAAAAAGAAGGCGGAGGCTGAGAAAAAGAGGGCTGAGGTTGAGCGAAAGAAGCGAGAAAAGGAAGAGGAGGCAGAGCGAAAACAACGAGCCCAACCCAAGATCGGAAGTTTCTTTACCAAGCAGCCCTCGACATCGGCCCCTAAAGAATCTCGAGGTCGGCTTGACCTGCCAGTCGGCGCTAGAAGCCCGTCTCCAGCCGGCCAAGAGCGAAACGAATACCAACGTATCGCGCAAGAGTTCTTTGTCAAGGAGAATGTTACGCTGGCAAGCAACCAGTTCGCCCTGAGCCCTGATTCTCAAGCCGCGAAGGTAGCGCTGCTAGACGACTTTGTGGCCGGCAGGCGGGAGCCGATTGAGACAAAGTCTTTCGACCCTTTCCAGAGTCTACGTCTTCCAAATGGCGTTGCTCGACCCCGAGGCAAGATGTACTCCAGTGTCCGAGGGCTCCTGTCTAGCCCCGATGGTCTCCAGGCGAATCCTGTCGACCTGACCACCGAATCCCAGAATGTGCGAATACAGAGGACGCAAGCAGCACTCAAGCGAATCCCCACCAAACACCTTAAATTTCATGAGGACGTCCGTCCCGCTTACTATGGGACTGTGACCAGCGTGGAGTCACTTGCTAGCCTCCGAAAGCTGGGCAGAAACCCCATCGCCAAGGACCTGCCGCTGAATTACGACTACGATTCGGAGGCCGAATGGGTCGATGGTGACGATGGCGAAGGTGACGATGTGAGTCTTCTGGACGAGGAGGACGTTGATGAGGAGGATGGCGAGGGAATGGACGACTTTCTCGATGATTCCGAGGATGTCGGCAGGGGTCCGCGAATGGTCGCGGGGACCATGGAGCCTGAGAGCAGCGGAGTCTGCTTTGAGGACCGCACACGGAAGAATCCGAACCCGCAAATGTATAAATTTCGGATGGAGTTCATGATCCGTGAGCAAATGCCCACCCTACCACCTTGACAATGGTAATACTGACCTTGGCCGTGTAGCGAATCTGAAGCACCATCACTCGATCGACCCTTTCTCCGATCAATACTGGGTTCAGGAGCCCAAGGCAACCTCGATGAAAACTGCAGCCCACGGCACGGCTGAGAAAGTCGCAGCCGGAGCCATGGCGCCGCCGCCGGTCCCTTCTGCCTTTGCTGCGCTTGGTGCCACTGCTGTAGCAGCCAGTTCAAACCCACCAGCGCCTCAGGACCTGGTGCCGGCAGCTCAACTTGATAATTTCAAGGCTGCTGTGCTCGAGTTCAGCTTCATGCCAAAAGCGGCCATGATAGCTACGCTCAAGAAGAAACTGGACAACTGCACAAACGCACAAATCAAGGCAACGCTCGACTACGTCGCCGAGAAACCGAACAAAAAGGGCAACTGGCAGATTAAGTCTGGCTTGTAAGCATCATGGGGCGCGTGATCTTTCTACGGTTGTGCATGGCGTTCTGGCGTAAACGTTGACTGCGGCAGGACAAGGGGAGAAGCACTATGGAGGAGACCTCTCCCTACTGCTGTGTCATCTTCAAATCGTGGGGCTTTCTGGGAAGCCTAACCCCGATTAGAAATGTTTCGGCGTCTTTGTTTGGCTGGGTGTTCATGATGGCACATTACATTGCTGTATAGTGAGTACCTCGTGTGTGGAAAGAACATGGCGACAGGCACGGGCAGCACGAGAATATAGGACTGGTATTGGTGGGTTGGAGTCGACATTACCTGGTCGAGGAAATTAGGCACTGCATTGCTTGCTGGCTAGCATTTAAGAGGCCGTCACATGAATGAGAAGGTTATATGAGAATGACCATTGCCACTTCATCAGTCCCTGCAATTCGTGGTGGGGATGACAAGAGTTAGGCTTGAGTAGCAAACCAGAGGCCAGCCAGTCTTGAGCAACCCAGTTGAACATCGCTTATCTGCATCTTGAAATGTTCTTTTCCTTGGAACAACCAGAAAAACACGGCGACTTGTACATAATCGTCGATGTCTATTATCCAGCATGCAATGAGTCTGTCACTATGTGGCGGTTCACATCACAGCAGATGGATATGGGTCACATCCTATACATTTTGGTTGCATCACAGCACAGTCCAGACGGGAATAACAGATTCCAGGTGCGAAAAGTAATATATAAATGTGCCGTCGCAACGACGAAGCCGGACGAAACCGCTACCCCACCGCCACAAAGGTTGTCTTCCCATTTTGTTGACAACTGCTCCGCCGTCCGTCCAATCTTCCCTCCCTCCTTCACTCCTGTGTTTATACCCGGGCGTCTCTGTCAAAACTCATCGTGCTAATATCTTGGCTCGTGGTCGCGTTCGCTCGGTTGATACATAGTACATTCCATTGCATTACAACAAACCCCTTTACCCCCGAATGTGCTCTGAATATGTGTGCCTCGTTCTCCCGTTTAATCTGTTCTATCCCATGCCGTGCCGCACCCGTGCCAAAATGTTAACCATCATGCTTTGGGGAAGTCGTTTCCCGTAGCAGAAGAGTGGCCTGGATGAATGGACTACTAGTCGTCCATCGGCTTATCCTCCAAGGTCACACCCCGGGTGTGCTCGTCACCCGCAGCTTCGGTCAGAGGCGTGGGGTTGACAGGGATCCGCCGGCCAAGTGAAGACCGCGCTGGGTTACGGCCGAGGGAGTTCCGCTTCTCCAGGGAGTCGTTGGACCGCAGCGTCTCCGACCGGCCCCTGACCGACGTGGGCGATTCTGTCGAGTCACTGCCGTTCGTGATTGATTCCGTGGACACCGAGGATGGTGGCGTGCCGCCTTCGCCGGGCACCTCAAGACTGGATCGCTTCACGCCTAGGATCGGCCCCATGCTCATGCGCACACGGTCGTTCTTCTCGGTGGGGCTGGTCTGCACCGGGAATCTGCCGACACTCCTATCCCGTCGGTGAGAGCCGAAGCCGCGGGGGCTTGGGGCCGGGGAGGTGGCTCTACTACGGCCGCCTCCTGCCTTCTCCAGAAGCGCCCGTTGACGTTCCTCCTGGTGTATCCTTCGGTTGCTCTCATCAGTACTAATGGCGCGTGGACGATTTTTGCTGTCGCTGTTGGAATTGGTTACCGATGTGGAGTGGCCCAGAGTAGACATGCGCTTCAATTCGCTGAAAATTGCAGTCTTGTGAGCGAAGAGGTCGCGTAGTAGGCGGTAGGCGTGTTTCTCCTCCATGGTCAAGGACGTCTCCACGCGTGGTCTCAGGATGCAGGGTGCCAGTGTTGTCGCAAGAGCAGCGACGTACTCCTCGTCCGCGCTTGTCAATTCGATCAACCTCGTAAAGTGGTTCATGCATGCGTCAAGCGTGGCGATGTTCGTCAGCCGCAGCTGGGAGAGCGTCTGCTGAAGGACCGAGACACGTCCAGCGTCTGAAGTGTCCGGATTAGGCGTGGTGTATATAGTCCTGATGATCTCATAAACGTGAGAAGACACCAGAGAGTCTTTCACGAAAGTCAGCAAAACGTATCGAGTTTATCCAGCGGGCGGGAAACGGTACTAACCGGGTAGTTCGAGGAGGTAAAGCTTAAGCAAACTTGCAACAGTGGGTATATCGAATTCAGAAAGAACATCAGGCGAGAAAGGTTTGCCGTCGTTGACCTTGTTCCGCAGGGTATGAGTCTGAGATAATGGCACATCCACCAGCCAGACTCCTCTCCTGGCCTCGTCGCCCTCGAGATCAGGGTAGTGGTTGTCAAGGTAGGTGAGGATCGTAGTGACCATCATGGGCACTCGCTTCTTATCCGCTCTGGCGCGGGCCTCCAGGTCAACACCAAAGGTCTGCTCGTCGACCTTGTTGTAGTAGTTCTCGTACACGACCACCTTTGGAGCAAAGCGTCCGGTGCGGTAGTTCTCAAGGAGGTAGCGCAGATCTCCCTCGGGCTGGATAGTCTCCTGGAACAGCATCATGTTGTCAACGGCAGACTGGAGACTGGGGATGACGTTGCTGACGCATCCCGAGAAATCTAGGATGACCGTCTTGATGGCCTTGAGCCTGTCCAGCTCGCACCGCTCGAGGAACTTCAGATGCACGGTTATGGCCTCTTCGAGCTCGCATCGAGCCTCGTCCAGCTTCTTGACTCCATCCTTGTACCTGTCGTCGGCCTCTCTCTGCTCCCTCCGCAAGCGCTGCGGTGGAGTCTCGCCTGGGTGTGCATTGTTGAGGGGGTTCCAGCCGGCTAGGTACTCGCCCACCGTCCCTACGACAGGTGAATCGACAGCGTCCGAGCCGTTGGATGCGAGTGAGAAGGTCCTGCCCACCGTTGGCTTCTTCTCGGGCACACCAGACATCTGGAACGCCCTAGGCCGCCACTGGTAGAACATCTTGGAGCTGTTTGCGAAAGTATTTCCAACGTTCCCGACGAGTCTCAGAAAGCCGCTGGAAACAAGGTCCTGGCCGATCCTCTCAGCATAGCTGACGCTGGTGGTGTCCATGTACTTTTGCAGGTACTCCACAATATCCGCACCGGCCGAAGTGTTCATATATGTTCCCAGGATTGGCACTTTGGTGTCCTGCAGCTTGATGTTGTTCAACATATGCGCCAGACGCTTCTTCATCTCCTCGACGTCGAAAGTCTCATCACCAATCTCGAAGATGGAGTCCTCATCGCTCACTTCAGCCTCCTTGTTCTCGGAGACCTTGATCTCGGGAATCTTGGGTTTGGGGCTGCTCTCCGGGTCCTGGAAAGCGAATTTGGTCTCCTCCTCGAGATCTTCGACCAGCCGGCACTTGTTGAAGTAGTTGCTCCTCAGCTTCTTGACCAGCTCGGCCTGGCGATCGTGGGCCTTGATGCGGTTCTGCAGCTCGTCCTGGGAGTCTTGTATCCGGGTTTCGTGGTTTTCGCACCACCTAGAGAAGGGGTTCACAACAAGGTCCCTGATGTTCTGCGCGATCTTCTTGTGCTTATTCGCGCCTTCTGCCATCTCGGTTCGTATGCCCTCGTAGGCCTACAGACGAGGGGTGTCAGCCGGAGTGGGCATCAAGGGGAAGCAGGGCATGAAGAGGTGCTTACTTTCCGGACGGTAGCGCCATCGTCCTTTGAAAACCCCCCCTGCACCTTGTCGACGGCTGGAGCGATGTCGTTGAGGCGCGTACCGTAGAGCTCCTCGGCCTCAGAGCGCATGCGTGCGATGGTCAGGACCTGTCTGTTCTCTATGACTCCCTGCTGCAGCTTGCTGAACAGGACGCCAAGGCCTGGGATACGTCAGTGGTCGCAAAGTGACACAGGACAGCAGTCCGTCTCCTACCTGCGGCGTAGTCGCCCGTCCAGAAACTATCTTGGAAGCCGGGCATGTTGAATGGTGGTGTGGAACCCGTGACAGGCTCTCTCTTGTGGAAGTTGTGGATGATCAATAACTAAGGGCTTCGTCGATGCATCTATGTCATGGCTCGCAGAGGCTCGCAGAGGTCTGGCTGTCTGATGTGTATTTTCAGAGCCTGACGACCGAGAGGAGTTGTCGGCCGGGAGTGTCCAAGGGATCACAAAGGAAGGGACCACGGGGGACCACCGGTGAGGCTGAGCAGCTGCGACTTGGGCAGGTTGTGGATGATGCGCGGCAGCTCGCTGGGTCGTGGGACGTGGGTCTCTTGTCTCGTCTAGGCCACCTCGGTACTGGGCGACGAATGGGTCGGCGCGGTCAGTCGCCAGAGGCAGAAGCAAGGAGGGCAGCGGCAGAGGTCGTGATGGGCCGGGCGGTGCGATGTGGCTCTCGTGGGGCAGCGGCAGGCCGTGTTCTGATTAGTGTGGAAGGAGCAACAGCAGATGCAGGATAGGGGCACGGCGTCGGCGAAGGTATTCTCCAATTTGAAGGGACGTGTCGCGATGGACTCTTTTCTCCGTCTTCTCTGTGGCCTGGCCTGCAAGGGAAATCTCACAGCGTGCGTCGCCTAGAACTTCTGATGGGCCCCGCTGTTGCTCATTGGTTCTCCCGCTAAAAGTCTAGTTTGTCGGGCCTGCCCCAGGGGCCCTGGAGGCAGCCCGAGTCGCTCCAGCTACCCCTGACCATCCATTCGTTGTGACCTGAGCTGGGACGACAGCAAGCTGAATCTGAATACGACCGCCAAATGAAACTTATGAAACTTGAAACGGGGCTGTCCATGTCCAACACAGTCCGCCCTTCCAAGGTTGTCACCGCCCGTGACGTCGTCCCGTCTGCTGCCACCAAGCATGAGCACCAGAAGCCGCGGCCCAGCATCTTGTCTAACTCACGGTTGCCAACTCTACTAGGCCAAGTCGGTAGTTGAGTTCAACAAGCCGCTCGGGTTGGGCTCAATAGCGGCAGCTACGCGCCGCGCCCCTCTTGTCTTGGGAGCGACGGAGACGACCGTTTTTCGCACGGCCTGTCCCCAATATCCCATGCACACGAACACAGGCAGTGGGGCTGTGTCTGGTTTGTCGGACAATCTCCTACCTGTGTTCACCTTTGAAGCTCTCCTGGTTGAATTTTTTTTTTTTTTTTCCCTCCCTTTCTTTCCGGTTGGGAATAGTCTCAAATCTCGATCATGCTCTATGAGCTCACACCCAGCTGGCTATGTTCGAACGTGCAAGTGCACCATCACCATCACTGTCTGCAGCCATCGTGAACTGCGGAGTCATAGATCAGTGGGCTCCGACAGATCCAGGAACCGTCACGAGCCAGGGTGGGTATTGTTGCATGGGGTGCTCCCTAAAGGTGCATACGCGCCGACAAGCGCTCGCAGCCGAGCAGTTGTCGTTTAAGTTGCCGCAGCTCAGCTTATCAATCAACCAGCGATCTTGGGCGGGCACCCACCCACCTTAGATCTGTATCAGAACCACTGGCCTTCCATCAGGTTGGCTCTACTTACATGCACAAGCACATAGTCTAGATACTGTGCCATGGTAGACTGGTTCTTTCTCCCAGCCCTGCCCCATTGACTTAATCTCATTCCAAGATCCGCAGTCAACCAGAATAGAGTAGGCGTCCCTGTCCGGGGTGCCCCAGCCGCTCACCCGCTCGTCATGCATCCCCACGAGAAGCACCAGCCCTACGAGCCTGCACTGGATAAGCGAGATGATGCTCGACGATCTTCAAGCGTGCGCATGAGGCTTTTGGCTTGCTTCCTGGCCGTGGTTGGTCTCAGCACACTGTTCAGACTGCCTCATCACTGCCATCATGCCCTCTCCAGCGCGCTTCTTCCACAAAAGGCGCTCACCATCGAGGAAAGGGTCAAGGACATCCTGACAGGTACTCCGTTGATTGACGGCCACAATGACCTGCCCATCTTACTTCGGGTTCTCTACGGCAACCACATCAACAATGAGACTTTCCAAGAGCCTTTCGAGACTGGCAAGATGCTCGGCCACGTCGACTTGGTTCGGCTCCGGGAGGGCCTGAACGGTGGCGCCTTCTGGAGTGTTTACTGGGGCTGCCCCAGCAATATGACCGACTTCGGTGTAAGTAAGATATCTGTCAATGGCAACCTAGAAAGATTGCGTCTATTCTCACTATTGAGATAGCTCAAAGTGTACTTTGGGAAGGATGCTAAATTTTGGATGCACAGGCCGAGATCTACGCTCCCATCGTGCAGGCTACTATCAATCAGATTGATCTTGTGACTAGGCTGCAAAAGCTATACCCAGCTCAGTTCTCCCCAAAAGTAAATAGCAGCACCGCCGAAGCCGCTTTCAAGAAAGGCCAACTTATCTCTCCACTCGGTGTCGAGGGTCTGCATCAGATCGGTAACTCGGCCGCAAACCTGCGTCGTTTCTATGACCTGGGCGTCCGCTATGCTACACTAACACACAATTGCCCCAACCGCTACGCCGACTCGGCATTATGGTCCAACCCCTTTCGAAAGGCCCCTTCATACTGGGGAGGTGTGTCCGAAGACGGCAAGCTCCTGATCCACGAGATGAACCGCATCGGTATGATCGTGGATCTCAGTCATACGTCCCACGAGACGCAGCGCCATGTGCTCGGCGCTGGCAAGGACGGGTGGGAAGGGAGCAAAGCTCCGATCATATATAGTCACTCCTCGGCATACAGCATTTGCCCTCACCCGCGCAACGTCCAAGACGATGTGCTTCAGCTGGTCAAGGAGCGCAACAGCATCGTCATGGTCAACTTCGCTCCAGACTTTGTCTCGTGCGTGGAGGGGAATAAGGAGAACGGCCTGCCGGATTTTTATCCGCCCAACTCAACGTTGGCTCACGTTGCAAAGCACGTGATTTATATTGGAAATCTCATCGGTTTCGATCACGTTGGCTTCGGGAGCGACTTCGACGGGATCCCAACCACCCCGAAGGGCTTGGATGACGTTTCGAAGTACCCAGATCTTGTGGCAGAGCTGCTGAGGCAGGGCGTCAGCGACACGGACGCTGCCAAAGTAGTTGGAGGTAACATCCTGCGCGTCTGGAAAGCTGTTGATGACGTTGCGCTCGGGTTGCAGGCCAGGGGGACGCCGCCCTTGGAAGATGAGCTGCCGGCGTTGAAGTTTGAGTCCACCTCGGAATTTCTGGGAACGTTCTAGACGTGACCGGTTGTATTGGTGTGTAAAGACGAATAAAGCATGGAAAGACTTTTGTGTTTGATTTCGCAGATGTATGGCTGTAAGTAATGTACAGTTTGTTGTACATGGCTGTCCTGTATAGAACACCCGAGGTTGCACTCCAGATCCATCCGCTATCGTGGAAACCGTGTCAGTGCAAGATAGCCCGTTTCGCATGAGCTTTGCCTGAATGCTTGCTTTAAGTCCCGCGTTGGCCCGTGGAACCCGATCAGCCCCTTCTCTCCATCCTGTTGAGCTTCGCCGACGTCATGTTCTGGTTCCTTGCCCTCTGTCCACGCACCGGCAGACCCATCGCGTGTCTCCTTCCCCTGTACGCTCCCATGTCCTTTAATCGCCTGATGTTCTCTTGCACAATCTTCCGTGCGTCGTTCTCGATCGTCATCGTCGACAGCTCTGCCGTGAGCGCGAGCACGGTCTTGGGCGACAGGGCCTCTAGTCTCTGCCGTGGGAAGATGGAGTATTTGGCCATTATCCGGTCGGCCGTCGTTGGGCCCAGGGCATAGAAGGATTCCAAGGCTTTCTGGTGTTGGCGCGCGTTAGTTATGGCTGTTGCGACGGACGCGAGGTGGGCGTCGAGAGAGAGGCAGGGCCAGCATATACCTTGACGAGCTTTTTCTCGCCGAAGTTGACGCCGAGAATGAAGACCTAGGGGAGTAAGCGTGTGCCCCGACTGATACGCATGGATGAGGGAGGAGGTACACACCATCTTGACGCTGTTTGCCCTCGATTTACCGGGGCAAGAGAATCATTGAAAGCTTATGGAGCGGCGTGAACGGCTATGATATGTGAATGCGCTTCTCAGTCGGTCACTAACCAGGGCGGCCACACCTAACCCTGGAGCATCCCGGAGGCACCCCCCCCCCAAACTGCCAACACCAACCCGCAGCTAGAGCTTACACTGTATTTTCAACTCAATCTCACACCACCAGGGGCCACCATCTGGCAGGACAGCTTCGTGTCCGAGACAGACCCAAAAATTCGAGGAAGCCCCCGTCAAATCGAGGTCTCCAGGACACAAAGTTTCTCTGGGGAAAACAAGAAAATAGGGATTAGCCTCACCTCGGTCTTCACCTGCTCGGGTTACACGTTGTGCAACGATCAGCACCTGGTCCGGGAGACAGCCATGTCTGAGGAGCTCGCTGACGAGATCGAGGCCATAAACTCGATTTATGGCGATGGCAGCCTGGTCCAGGCTGGAGAGGACTCAGATATCTACATTCTGAGCCTCCCGGATGAGTCGGTCTCGCTGCGCCTGCAGTTCCCACCTGACTATCCTGCTGCGCCCTGCATCCCCATCAGCACCAATAGCTCCGGAGGAAAACGCGGCGTTGGAGCTCGCGACCTCGAGCTCTTTCGAACCGCGCTGGGGAACATCTTTCAGCCGGGCCAGGTCTGTCTCTTCGACGCCGTGGAGGAGCTGAAGAGACTCCAGGAGGAGGCCGGGCTGGATAATGACCCGCCCTCGGATCACGGGGAACCAAATGGCGAACCGCACGCCGTCTTCACCTCCAAGGCGTTCGATGACCTGGTGCCAGAGCCACCGTGGGTCATATCCGAGCCCGTCATTGAGCTGAAGTCTGTTTTCGTCGCTCGCTGCGCTGCGGTCACCTCCCCCGACCAGGCCGCCAAGTTCGTTGAGCACTTGTTGGCGAGTGACAAGCGGGTGCGGACTGCAACGCATAATATCACGGCGTGGCGGATCCGCGGGCCCAACGGGACCTCCTTCCAGGACTGCGACGACGATGGCGAGACTGCTGCCGGCGGGAGGCTTTTGCATCTCATGCAGCTCATGGACCTCTGGGACCACATGATCGTGGTCACTCGCTGGTACGGCGGCCAAAAGCTCGGGCCTAGGAGGTTCGCGCTTATCAATGCTGCTGCCAGGGACGCCTTTGTCAGGGCTGGCATCGTCAACGAGCCATCGACCGCTAAGAAGAAGGGACACGGCAAATGAGTCTAAGGGGTAACAGCTGGATCACCTAAACGAGCCCAAATGCATTTCTCGGTCGATCGCTACTCTATCTTTGTCCAATTTTATGCGGTCAATGGTTGTTTCGACCCGTTCCAACGCCGTCTGCCGGGATCCCGCTGATTTTCGGGACGTTTCCACGGAACTCCCAGATGGCATCCCTTGCCATACGATAACGCCACCGCATGCGACCAGCCAGAGTACGGAAAGCTTCCCAGAATATGCCACCGGAGTCTGTTCGGAGCCAAAGCTCAGAGCTTCAGCAGACCTCCCAAGGCTTCTGAAGACCCCAATATTTCGCCCATCTCATGCATCCTGCGGCAATAACGGGCTCAAAATCTCCAAAGCACGGTCTGCATACTTGCTAGATAGCATCACGGCGCCGGTTTTAGCCGTGGACAGATATGAAAGCTCTGCATTTTCCATGCGCATCCCTTCGACAAGTTTCCCTGCCACGCCGGCCACGATCCCGGTCGCCTCAAAGGGCAGGTCGACCAGGTCCAGCAGAATTGGTGTCAGGTCGGCGTCAGTCGGCCCTATCAACGAATCGCCGAAGGTCTCCAGCAAGCACCGGTCGATAAGGAGGGACGGCTCATCCTCCTCTGCCAGGGTCACGGACAAGAAGCGAGGCTGGCTCACCAATGCCGCGACCAGACTGGTGTAGAACTTGGTGTCAACCTTGTCCACCCACGAGCTCTTGCGGTGGTTTCCGTTTCCCGCGTATGATCTTGAAGGCCTGGAATAGCTTTCGAGCTGGGAAACATCCTTCCCGGAGCAGTGAATTAGGCGCAGGTCGGGCTCTGTATGAGCGACGACGTTGTGCTTCTTCAACAGTTTGAAAGTCCGCATCTGCAGCTCCGCAGCATTAGAGGGTGGAGGTGTGGACGGCGGGTTGTCACTTTCCTGGCTTAGACCCCGAGTATGTGACGGTGCAACAGGCGAAACGAAGGACGAACTGCTGTCCTCTGAGCACTCGAAGCCCTGCTCAAACAAGGCCTGCACAACATTCTGTCGCGACCTGCTGGGGACTATTAGGAAGTCCGAGTAGTAGGTCGTTATGAAGAAGATGGATATTCCGGCAAGCGCCAGGGGCGAGGTCAAATCGACGACTCGACTGCCGGCGTCCGCCCCCGGAGAAGACACTCGCAACACGCAGTAGGACTCGGCGGATATTGACACGGTTTTGGCCGAGTTCTTGGGTAATTGCTTGATGATGGGCTCGAAAACCGTTCTAGACCAGGTCTCGTTACAAGCTATTGAGCACTCGATAGGCGTCACGCTGATGTTGAGGAAGCCATGGTCCTGAACCAGCGTCAGGTCCCCGAGCTCGTCCTCGAGCTTGGTGCATGGAGAGGGCAGAAGTAGACGGAGGATGGGCTGAAGGAATTGTGAGTAGAGGCCCAGGGGAATGTGTATGAGGCTTAGTGTTTGGTCCTATACATGCGCGGTCAGTCATTCCTGATGTCCCATTACCTAGTCCCCGGAGCTCTTGAGGCTAATTCAACGCGGGCACAGGGGTCAATTGCGCGCCCAGGCCGCCCGAGAGACGGCCCCGCAACCGGCCGGGGTCATTTCGGCGTCGCGTCCGGAGCAGGTCGCTCAGAAGTGACTCACAACGGAGGAATCGCGGAGGACCTGCGGTGAAAAAAAAAAAAAAAAAAAAAAAAAACGCGGCGAAAATGGCATTGCAGATTGTCGGGGATGGGCTTCAACTCACGAGAAGTTTTATTTCAGCATTCATGATGGGCGACGGGCAATTCTGCGCGAGAGTTGTTGCCGGGCATTCTTCGCAGAAGCACTCGAGGCCCCTGTTCCGGACCCCACTGATAGCAGAGGACCCTGGTTGCGCAGGACCCGGCAGAGAAATCGCAATAGTGCGTGAGATCGACACGGAAGAGCGCAGTCTCTGAATTGTCGTGTGGGCGCGCAAGACCTATACGGCGGTCGATCTTGTCGGGATTTCGAGAGTGCTCGCAAAGAGAATTGCTGGGTATTTGCGACGAGGAGTGTCGTATTGGCCGGTTATCAAAGAATCTGGTCTGTTGTATGCCGGCGCTGATCGGAGGGAGGACGGAGAAAAAGTTGGGAGTGCAAAGGAGAGCAGCGCCGTGCCGAGTCGAGTCACGCACGCAGCGACAAGGATGACAGATGACGAGCGACTGGTATTCGTCGACCAATTCCTTTGGTTCGTCAAAGACCATCAACCGAGGTAGGGCATGGATGAGTATGACAAGACAAAGAACAAAGAGGAGAGCAAGAGCCAGAACCGAAGCTGGAGCCGGAGCTGGAGCCGGAGCTGGAGCTGGAGGCGAGCAGAGATAGAAAGACAGTCATTCCCATTATCTATCAGGCCGGCCGACGACTTGGCGGGGCTCTGTCGTTGACACAGACTAAGAACTAAGGGCCGCTAGCCTGCGACCCATGTTGCGCATGGAGGCCACTACTGTAGACTCGGTAAACTCACCCACCCTGGCGGCCTGGCTCCGGGCCTCTGCTCGCATGGGCGACATGTGCAATCTATCCCGCAGCGGGCCTCGCGAGTGGTGCCAGCTGTGACGCTGGCGCTCTGCTGCTCTCTGTTCCCTGATGCGGAGGGGGCGTTCCCGCGTGTCGCAGAGGCGCGACGGGGCAGGCAGGCGCAGGCGGGTGCAGGGGAGCCGGAGCAGCAAGCTAGAGACTTTTCAGGTCCGTCCTGCATGTTCCTCATGCAGGTGGGTGACGAACGTGGGGGCTGGAGTTTAATGGACTGTAGGCATTGAGGACGGATGATCCAAACTGTCCACCCGACGACAACGGATGCCCCAATTGACATTCCCACAGCGCCGTCACCCTATCTGTCACCCGCGCAGAGCTCTAATAAGCTCGATGCAAGTCCAACTCAACTCGTGGGGTTCGCAAACTAATGAGTCGTCGGCTGTATGCGACGCAGGCTAGACTAATTAAACGCCCAACGGGGGTCCAACATGCCCAACATCCCGTCGTGTAGTCCATGTTCTTGGGCATGCAGGCACAGAAATTGTCCGCGAAGCAACAAACTGCGAACTCTGCGTGTCCGGTGTCACCCAACGCCCCGGACAACGTCCTCCCCGTCGCCGTGACAAGCAACAAGCCAGAGATGCACCCCGCAATCCTGGGCGGGAGACTACGACATCGAGCGTGCTCCCATGCCTTGTCTGTGTAACCCCACGCATGCCATGCCATGCGTTCTGCAGCAACCACGCCAACATTTCACACGCCACCACTACCACCACAACACCCCTAACCTGATGCCATAAGGCGCGAAGGAGCAGATGCCTTGCCCGACGACCAGCAGCAGCAGCACCACCACCACCAACCTTTTCAAGACTTGGCCCCGACCCCCCTCCCTACCTCCACAGGGCTGGGCTGGCCTCCGTGGCTGTCGAGGTAAACTGCCAAACCAAGGCAGGGAGTGGGTGGGCTCGGGTCTTCCTTGAGCCGCCTTCACGCCCCAACACCACCAGCCCAAGCCATCTGCCAGTCTGCAAGCCAGCCAGCCACCTCATGCTGTGTGACGGATGATCCGAGCCTGTCGAACGTCGTGTACCGCGATAGGCTGCCACGAAATTACACAGACTAGACTACAGTAGACAGTAACACCCTTTGTTCTTCTCGGGACGACCGATACGTCGTCCCATTCACGATCGCGGATAGCATCGGCGGGATGGGAGACGTGAGGGCTCAACTTCCATCCTCATTGCTGGCTTGCTGACCATAGCACTTCGCGGCTGACCCTCGTAGATCTCAGCCTCCATGAAGTGGCTTTCATATTTGGAATGGATTGGGCCATTGCGCGCCTTGTATCCGCTGTAGCAAACCTTAGACCTGGCATTCCTCCTCAGGATTTCATGTCACAGGCTCAAAATTCACGCCGCAGGTGGTCAGGAAACATGGCTGGCTGTTGAACCTATGTACCTGACTGTGTGTGTCACAAGGCACGATCCTGTCCAGCTCATCACCACAAGAGCAATGACCCGCCATCCGAGAGCTCGCGCCGTCTTCGCATCATAACTAACCGGTTATCCCGTGGGAGGTTATCCAACAGGAGCTAAGCCCACAGGAGCTTATCCCGCAGGGGGGCTGTCCCAAAGGGGATATGTGAGAGTTGTGCTCACTGTTGTAGCGAACCCGGGCCGCCAACAAACCATCGCCACCGTCGCATCAGGTTCAATCACGGCGCTGATGTGATGTACGCGTGACCGTGTGACGCCGCCCTAGGGCTGATTTCTCCCACTCGCAAGGCGCCCGCTGTACGTTGTGGGAGGCCTGCAATGTTGCCGCAACGTCCTCTTCGAGCCATGCCCATGGCGGGGGGGGGGGTAATCTTTCCTCTTCCAAGCCCACGAGTCCCGCGTGGATTCTGGAACCGACCGCTTGGGGTTGTGGGGCGGTACCGAACAGGACAGCCGCAGGACCCCTGGATTGACACTCCCAACCCCTCCATCCCGCGCCCTGCAGCTGCATGACATCAAGCGGCACAATGCGCGCCTCTCACCTGCAGATGTGATATCCTGCAGGGCATCCTCTCCTGCTCCCCGCCTCCTGCTTGATGCCCTGCAGTCTGCCACGGCGCGGCATGCCGAGAGCAGCCATTACCCCTGCGGCTGGGAAGACAAAAGAGGCATGCCGGCCGTGGTGAGCCCGGAAAGGTGAGCCAGGCCCGATTGGCCGTCTTCACCAGCCGCCCTCGCCTACGCTCAGAGCGGACGATTAGGCGCCGTGGTAATCCGCTTCAGCACACCCAGGGGCAACAACATCATCATCATCATCAGCCTCCCTCGACCGCCTCGTTCTTCTTTATGCCAACGACCACCAGGTTCCGCGGGCTCTCCTTGTAGTCGAACACAGACTCCACCCAGCAGTCCTGGACGACGTCGCGGTGCTCCTTGAGGAAGAGCCAGCGGTCCGTCACGATCAGCGACTCGACGACGCCGGCGCTGAACGCCATCAACGTCCATATGCTGCTAAGCTCGCGCTTCCGCGGCATGTAGGCCCTCGCGTACGCATCGATCTCGTCGTCGGTCATGTCGCCCATCTTTTCGTGGATTACCGCACTGTACTTCTCGTTGGTGTCCTCGTTCGACGCCAGCTTCTTGATCGCCCCACGCACGTAGGCGTGGAACGACCTGAAGCAGCTCTTCCCGAGGGACCCGATGATGACAGGGTTCGTGCTCATGTTGAACGGGCTTTCTTTGTCGTTCCCTGGGCCACCCTCGCCCTCGCCGCTGTCGGTTCCGCCGTGGTACACCTTAGTGATGACGCCTTTGTCCAGGAATATCTTCTGCAGGACTGCGCGGTAGAAGTGCCTAGTAAAGAAGGAGTCCGACTCAACCTCTGTCCAGTTCTGTGGTGCTTGACATGCTGTACGGAAGGGAATATCAGCATTGTCCAGCGAAGTGATTTTGTTGTTGGGGATCGGGGAGGGGTGGATTTCGAGGATTTCCATGGTCCCTGGAGTTCTCCGGAGATGTACGCGCGCCTGCGCTTGCTTTCGGAGATATGAGCAAGCACTGTGGAAGCAACGGGCTCGACACCAAATAACCAGCACCTGCTAAGAGTGATAGAAAGGAAAGGGGAATGACGGAAAAGGCCATACCCATCATGCGAGCTGTTATGTTAAAACGAATACCGCGATCATTGTGGCACGACACCCGGTTGCTCATGGGAAAACCTTGAGGGTCGCACTTCTCTGACTCTCGCACCACTCGTCCATTGAGAGCTTGCAGGCTAGGCCGCATGTAAGGCAGTTTGTACGTTGGTGGGCCCAACTTCTCCGTAAGTAGGTTGTAGCAACATCCCACGATAGCCACTGCCTTGATGCTGGGGTTGAGGATCATGGACCGGATCCCAAAGTGAGAGAGATTGCCGCAGGAGTGGATCGATATTGCCATCAGTGAAAGCTCTTTGCGGTTCTCCTCTGGTATGTTGGCATCGTGGATCTTGTTGAGCACGTCGGACAGGTCCCCGGTCTCCAGTCGCCCTGTGACATACTTGATCAGGCCTCTTCCTTCCTCGGGGCGGTATATAGCCTCCAGCTCTTTCCTCGGCCTGAGTTCGGCGGCCGCGATCTGCTCAGCCGTGTGCTGTTCTGCCCTTCGTCTTCTGGCCTTCTCGTCCAGATCCTCAGCATCCTTCTTGCTGTCCACCAAGCTCTGCCATATTTTCTTGTTCCTGAGCACCTTCTCCGTCTCTGCGATGCCTGCAAGTACGTCCAGTTCTCTGGCACCTGCCTGGTTGTGCTCGTGCCTCTCGACCGCAACGATGTCCTTGCTGTACGGGGCAAAGGCCAGCGTGCGCCCGAGATAGTTCTGCCCGCTGCCGAAGTCGATGAAGTGAGTCATCTCAGTCCCCGTCAGCCGGGCTATGTCCCCGGCCAGACGGTCCACATAGTCTGCGAAGTTGGTAACCTCGTGTTTCTTCTTTACGTTCATCCCCACGGCCACTTGCCGGGGTATGACGGGCAGCCTGGGCTTCACCGGTGTAAACGAGCGTCTAAGCGAGAGCCGCCGTACGTCCTTGACGTACTGACGCAGGGTTTCCGGCGCTTCAGGCCATGCACGTTCCGTCTCAGGGGCATCTGGGTCATCTCTCAAAAGAAAATCCAGAAGTGCCATGGGATCGCACTCCATGAGAAATTTCTGCCATTCGGGCGCGAGAACCCATTGGAATAAGCCCGGCTCATTTGTGAAAAAATCAAGGATGCTGCTGAGTTTTAGTAGCCTGTTACAGAGCCTCGAGTGGTGCAACTTGGAATACTCCAAAACACAACGGACAGGGAACTGAATGAGGAGAAGGTTTATACTTACTGCACACCCCCGCAGAGAATTTGGAAAAGGTCGTTTGTCGAGGCAAAATCCAGCAGTGAGCTCACATAGTCCTCTGCAGAACCGAACTCGTCAGATATGGGCAGTGGCTTGCTTGGTGGCATACTGAGATGCCCTGAGAACGATGTTCTGGTAAGTACAAAACTTGACCCGTCCAAGTAATTTTGAGATCCAGTGCAGCCTTGTTGTCGTGGTTTGAAAAATTGAGCTGTTTTGTTAGTGCACCGGGAAAGGCTGAACCCCTGTGACGAGGGGACGCTAGTCCTAAAGCGGTGGTTTGTGGCATATATCCAGCTTGTACTCCGTAGGCAGAGATGGGGACCAGGAAGACTCATGTCTACTCACAGGCAAGAATAAATCATTCTGAAAAATATCCACCTGGTAGATATTAAAATGTACTTTTTTCTTTCGCTGGTTGTCATCAGCTTCTGGTGACTACAGCCCGCCACTTATACGCCCTCCTCACTTTACAGGAGAGATATCTCACCGGAGATGATATTGACCGGTAAATTCATGTCTTTTGTTGATCAGCGGGATACATGTGTACAGACAACCCTTCACCTCCTCACAGCCACCGGTCTCAGACTGCCGCACGAGTTCGAGATGGTCGGTATCGATTAGCATCATTATATACATACTATTATGACTATTGACGATTTATATCTTGTGGCCCCACACCACTATCTCAAGTGCCTCTATCCCTCCTACAAGTCATATCCATCTGTCACATTTGTCGGCAGCGCCAGACCCAAACATTCAGCCATGTTGTAGAATATATCAATCGCGCTGTACACGCCTCCAAACAGCTCCTGGCACGGCCCCATCGCGAAGACAGCGACGTCGGTGAGCGAGTGCACGCCCTGCGCCTCGTTGGTGGGCAGGGTGCCATTGACAACAAAACCCCCGACGTTGTCCGTGGGGTTGACGAAGTAGTCGTCGCTGTCGAACCCGGAGATGTTGGTCGCGGGGGTCCTCGGCTTCTTGTCGTTGACGCGGTACGTCTCCCTGCGGTCGGGGCTCGCGCCGAGCCCCGAGGCGATCACGTAGCGCGGGTCCCAGTTCACGGGGAAGTTCGGGCCCGTGCTGTAGCCCACGCCCTCGACCTCGACCGTGTATTGCGACAGCCCGGAGTTCTGGTACACGCCCACTGCGTTGCGCTTCTCGCGGTCTGTGTCCTTGGAGGCCATGTACTTTGTGTCCGCGCTGCCGAAGACGTCGAATCCGTGGCCGTGATCCGATGAAACGACTATCAGGGTGTCTTCGAATATGCCCAGCTCCTTGAGGTGGTCTACGGTGGCCCGGACCGTGTCGTCGAGCTCGAGGAGGTCGCCCAGGGCACGGTCGTAGTCCAGGGCATGCATCTGCTTATCTATGGAAGCAGCCTCCGACATCAGGAAGAAGCCTTTGTCACCACCGCGCTCGTTGAGGATGTCGACGGCCTTGAGGGTCATGTCCTTGAGGCCCGGGAGGTCAAGCGCAGGAGCCTTCGTACCGGCAGGGTCGTTGGTGAAGGTCTTCAGGACGTCCGGGAACACATTGCGGTCGAGCCACACCGGGAAGTTGGACCGGCAGAAGACGCCGAGAGCCTTGGAGTCGTTCGATAGCTCGAGGAGCGAGGTCTTGTTGAGAGAGATGGCGTAGTCCTGCGCGGCAAACTCGGCATAGTAATCCTTGCCTTGGTACGAGCCAGACCCAGGCAAGAACTGCTCTGCACCGCCACCGAAGTAGACGTCAGGAGCACCAGCGTATGTCCAGGAATAATTGGAGACACCGTTCAGGGCCTGTTCGATCAGCGGGCCGTACATGCCTCGCGAGCGGGTGTGTGCGGTCAGTGCGATAGGAGTGGCATCTGCCAAGAACGCGGTAGACACGGCGCCCCATGCAGAGCCGTGTATGCGGCGCAAGAGCTCCACGATAGTCTCGACCTTGGGGTCGTCAAACGCATCGGGCGAAGAGTCCGCATAAACCCCCATTGCGTTCACGGAACTCTTGTGGCCCGAGTACAGCGCTGAGGCGGAGTTGGCCGAGTCCGTGATGTCTTCTTCGTGTTAGCTTCTTGCCGCGGGTCACAAGCTGCTGCCTCCAGGAGAATCGTTCAGGAACCAAAAAGGGCGTTCTAGGTAGATCTATACGTACAGCTGTCGATGGAGTGCGTCATCTGGTGTCCCAGAACAGGGAATTTGTCCAGCTGCATCGTGCTCTGGTACCGGCCGTTGATGGACTTGTGACCCAACAGGCGAGCTGCAGTGATCATGTTCGTGGTCATGCCATCACCTTGAAGCACATCAGCAGCTGTCGAGTTTATCACACTCAAGCTACTCACCAATGAAGAAGATGACATTCTTCGCCCGCTTCTCCTCGGCCAACGGTCTCACAAGCCATTTTGCCTCAGTCTGCTCGCCGTCGTAGTAGTTCAACGTCACGGTGTACTCTCCTGGCTCGTACAGTGCGATCCGGCGATATACTTTAGAAGCAACGTTCACAACCCACTTGGTCCCGGCGTCCTGGGCGAAGAGATCCTCGTACCACGAGAATGTCCAGGTCTCGACTGTTTACTCTGTTAGCCAAAGCCCATATATCTTGCTATGTTGTTTATAACACATCAGTGCACCGTCGGAGCCGCTGCAGGTGCCCATTCATTCCCAATATTTGGCCCTAAAGCACCACGGCGCGAGAATCATGTCCGGATAGGTTCAAGGGTTGACTCAGAACATGTCTAAGACACGCTGAGATAACCTGATCTGGGGAGAAAGAATACTGAACTACTGACCCTCCGGTTCCTCAAGGTCAAAATACTCGGCAACACTCGTCGCGGTGCCGTTGGACCCCTTGGCTATGGTCACAGTAAAGTCCTGATCAGGCTCACCCCCATTGGCTTCGGAGCCGTTGACTGGGGCGTGGACTTCAAAACGGATGTCGAACTCCTGACCCGGGAGGAAATCCTGCTGGTCCGGGGGCAGAATGCAGCCGAGCGTCGGGCACGTGCCTAAACGTTGGAAGTACTGCGCATGGACCGCCGGAAATGAAGCTGCCGCGATGGCGAGCAGCTCGAGGTTCGCTCTCATCCTGAATTGGTGCGGCTGGGGATGTTGCGTCTGGTTGTCCTGCGGCGGGTCAAGGCGGAGAACGGTATAGACACCAGGCGTACTCTCGTCCCATACTAAGAACGCTATCTAAGGAGACCGGCGGTCCCCTCCCGCTTTATACATGAGCGACAGGAACCAGGCTGTCGAACCCGAGTCCATGGCTGCATCTGCATATGCACCTCTCGTTCCATTGTCCATCCCATGCCGTGCCGCAATGGCCGGGATCAGCCCTTTGCCAGGCGAATAAGCTCGCTGGGACCGGTGATTGAGGGTGGACAGCCCATGCCGTCATTGGGCGAGGCTGGACGGTCAATCTGGGAACGCCCCGTAGGCACATACCCGGGAGCATGGGAGCCCTACGCGGGGACAAATGCAACCTCAGGAATCATCGACGTCCCTCGGGGCACGTGTGCATCTCGCGGCGGGTGTCCGACGACATCACGATAAATAGCGCGTGGAGCACCCAGCTATGACAATCGACGGCCCCCAGCAAAGCACGAGAGCCGAGTGATCCTTCTCCCAAACCGCCAGGCTATCAGCGCTGTTGGTCCTCGCTAGCCCTTGCTCGGTGCTGGGCCCAGCTTCCTGCGCGGCGTCTTTTGTCCAAGGTTGTCCTCCTCTAGGCCGGCGGGCCGCTGTGCAGGCACACCCGGCGGGCTCTCGTCGAAGGCCACAACAGGAAGGAAGATTTGTCGATAGTTACCTGCGAGCGCAACGTGATGTCAAGGAGTGATGTGATTGGTCTCGATAAAAGAGCCATCAGGAAAAATGTCTCGACGCTGCTCGCCGCCAAGGGACGCTTGGCTCAAGTGGTATGAGGGGGCACCGAAATGAGCCTTGGCAGCATGTAAATGCAGCTCCGCCCACCGAGCTGTCCCTGACAAGGTGGCCAACGGGCTTGATTATATAAGAGAGTTGGCCGTGCACATATGACGCCCCTGAGCACTTCGCGACAGGCTGATATCGCGCCTTGGGATGCCATTGAAGAGAGCAAATAAAAGGAGAGCGACGGAAAGAAACCCGAATAAACCTCCCCACCGCGGGGCGAGAAGGAGTGACCGTGTGGTACAATGCTGCCCTACCTCAGAGGCAAAGTCGACTTCGGGACAAATTGTTGAGAAGTTGTTGAAAATGCGAGTGGAAGAACCATACGACCGGAGGCGAAGGCATCACGCGAGAATCACGAGAAACGACCCACGCCTGGCCAAACCCACCGCTCAACCAAATTGACCTAGAGTAAGTTGAGAAGAGGGCAAAGCAAATTGAAATGCCCCATCATCTCACATTCGAGGAGATTGAGTCAAGCTTGAGCTTCGAGGTTGAGTATTTGTCCAAGCTTTTTATTCATGCCCTGAATAAGACAGTTGCTGCCACCGTTAGTCATAAGTCATAGTCTCGATACAAAGTCGTCATGTACAAAAATAGATCGAAACCTGCATTAAAGAGGCCCTGCTGCTTTGATTATATATATGGATAGGGCGACTCAATTCGCCGAACCGTCGGCGGCCAATTGCCGACTGTACGCAAGATCTTGCGTCGTATAGTTGTTGAGTCTTTGCTCCAGCTCCTCATCAGAAACATCGTCGCGTGTCCACAACGGGTTGGCTGAAACGTCGTCTCTCGTCGAGAGTGACATGTCTGTGCTGGTGGTCACAGAGTCGCAACCCATGTACTGGAAGTAGTCTGTTCGATTTTGCCCAGTTAGTGGGTGTCATACCAATATGATCTGTTAGAAGCAAGACTTGTATGTCCCAGTCCCAAGGTACGGGTTCACGGCTCATAACAGTCAGGATGGGCTTGCAAGCACTTACGGACGTGGGCATCGCCGTCTAGCCCAAAGGTTCCCGCATTGCAGCTCACGTTTGCATAGCCCAGGCAGGTATCGATCTCATCAATGGTATAATCGACATCGGTGGCGGGACCAGAGGCGAGCCAATATTCGGGGCTGGTGTGGAAGTAGCCAAACAGGATGGGCGGCAGGCGAGGGACAGGATCGTCAAAGTGCGTTGCCCGGTACTCAGCGCCGACTTGGTTGGTGACGTATTTGACAAGAGCGAGGTTGCCGACCCGGGGCGAGCCGTAAGTATAGAGATCGCAGGCGTAGCTGTGTAATGACGGTTAGATGCCATGCCATCCCTTTCACCGGAACTGACTTTTACTCACCCCAAGTTCCTGAGCTCGATGGCTGCCAGGGTGCCCACCGCACCCCCAAGGGAGTGACCCGTGACGACAAGTGTATAGCCTGGGTACTCAGCGAAAGCGCTCTTGATGAAGTCCAGTGTGTATTGCCGAATTGACCCCCATGCAATTTTGAATCCACTGTGAACGGCACAGCCAGTCGTATAATTGCATGGCACCTGGAGAAAGGTGAGGTCCGCTATCCAGTTGCGGAGACCGGACGAGCCGCGGAAGGCGACAACAATCTCCTTTCTGACAGTGTCGAGTGCAACATAGCCTTCCATCTCAAACACGGTGGTGTTGGGCAGAGAGCCGACAACTGTTGCCCCATTCGCCATGACCTGCGGGCAACCGTCCTCGCAGGTCACCAAGGAGCCGGCAGCATTGTCGCTGTTGCAATATGTGGACGCAGAGTACTCGGCGTAATATTGCATGTTCTCGTAGATTGCAGTCGTCAAAGCTGAAGCGTCTGTATAACGATCAAGTCAGGCCGAGAACAGTGTAGTAGAGGCTCCAGATGGCCGCGACTTACGATCACGAGTTACGAGGCCCTCTGCTGGAGCAATAGGGGATGCTCCAACCAAGGCTACTGCCCATGACAGAGAGGACGCGACGGAGAGCCTCATTTTGCCTTACAAGCATGCACAATACTGGATGGATGGGCTTGTGGCGGGCGAAAAGTCAAGGGAGCCGGGACTTGTGCTTCAGGACACCATCACACCGAGGAGACCTCCAGACCTTGGGAGGCACCAGGAAAGCTGGGCCTCGCCTCTTATGTAGCCTTCATGCCCTCGTGGGATCTACTGAAGTGGGCTGAAAACGCAAATCCTGTTGGGGGCGGGTAACCCAAGGAACAAGATGCGGTGCCTGGCGATCCGACCCCGGCGCGAATGTGGCGTCCTGGGTGTCCCACATTCCTTCCCAACACGCTGCCAGAGTCTTCACTCGGAGAATGCATGGGTACACTGGCAGCACGCCAACTCGAAGAGGGCAGAGGTGCGGAAAGGGCGGAGGGGCAGGGGTTGGGCAGTATGGGAAGGGTAACACCGCTGATGGACATGACGATGGTTGACTCGGCTAGAGGGCGGTTCGAGCTGCGACCTGGTTTCCCCAGAATTCGGACCCAACCGCGCACAGGGCCAATCTATTGGGTTGCGGTCGCGTGACGGATAAATCTGCATGTCACGGATCGAAAGCGGCGCCGAGTACTGGCCGATCTGTGGACTGCGGTGCGGCATCCAACTCCACGTACGCGAGCAGCCTGTGCCTGTCTGGCCTGTCAGTGCCAGCCACTGCAGCACCACCGGCATCCGCACCGGCAGGCAGGCATGCCAGCCATTCCGCACTTCGTACAGGCAGCCGCGACCAACTTGGCCAGGCTGAAAGGGTTGCTCCTGTGCAGCTGGCAGGGTGGGATAGACAGGTACGTGACCATGGTTGGCTCACATCGACGGACGCGCGTCGTGGTTGCGTGCCCCCGTGACCTCGAGTCGACAACATCCGGCAGCACTACACATTGTTACTACCTAGGTAGGTAGAGCTAGGCAAAACGTGCGTTTCCTGTTGGTGAAGCTGCCGCGCTGTCGGTTCGTCTGAAGAAAGAGCCTTGGAAGTTTTGCGGCGCGGAACCCTGCCACCATGTGCAATGCGATGGTGCAAGAGCGACCAACACAATAGGCGGGTGGGGGCCGTGGACGACTCTGCTCAAGGTTCAAGGTTCAAGGTTTGTTTAGTTTTCGGTGCGTAGTTTATTTTCAAGGCACAAGGGTCATGGGTGGTGGAGCAGTGCCATTGGCCCACGGCAGTTGAAGCCCAAAAGTACGGGGGATGCATGCTCTCTCTGGCCGGCGGCGGCCCGCGGAAACTCTCAACAATTCCCATCAGGCCTTCAAGGCGGGGCGGAGGGGACGAAGATCACCCAAGCTTTCTCATCCAAGCGCTACATCCACAGCTTAATAACGAGGTGGGTGCAACGCACCCGTCAAAGCTCATCCCCTCAGAAGCCCACTCGTCAAGGCCCGACCTTCTTGTCGGCATTGTCGGTCTCGCACTTCGCAGTCACAACTGATGGATCTGGTCCGGGAAGGAAGCCGATCACCGTCGCATCTGAGCCCGCTGCTCATGAGCTATCATTTGCATCCATGGCTCGAGGACAAGAGCGAAGACACACAAACATGACGAAGCCGGACCGCGTCTTTTCAGCTCGCCCCGTTGTCCAGGTCCTGCATGGACAAGCCAGGGTCGAAATTGGGATGAACATGCGCGAACCGACCTAGCAGCCGACTAGAGAAAGCCACTTCCAGGAACAGACATGTTTGTCAATCATCAGCCTCGAGCCGCCAGGCTTCTGGCTTTCCCAGCTCGCAGCCACACAACGGTCCATCTGTGCTGTGCATCTGCCCATCTGGCACCTGCAGATTTATCGCATTCCTCCCGGACGCGATTGGGCCTTGACAGCTGTCGGCCGAGCGGACCGCCCACTCAGACGGCCTGATCAGCCAGGGGTCTTCTGCAAGATGCCGTCAACCGACCATCATGGACGATCCCCATCAGCCAGTTCTTGCTCGACTCCTCCCCCTACTGCCGCTGCACCTGCTCCGCGCCCGTCGTATCGTTTGCTGCATGTTCAGTCGTGCCTATCACACCTCCCGTCTGACGGCCGCCGACATATCCAAGCCTCGGCGTCTCTCCACATTGGGAAGGACAGCAGGCGAATTCAACCCCCCTCAGCCACCACGACGAGTAAGAAGATCTCTCCACAGTCCCGCGGCCGCCCGACTCCTCATCGTTGGAGACGGACGCCATGGCCGCTCCGTCGGTGCCGTGCCCCCCCGGACTGATCCTCACTCGCATTATCATGAACGGTTGAAGTTCGATTAGCCTCTGGTGAACCCTGTCGGCGTGGCACGCGACGATATCACAACGCCAAGGATCCTGGTTTCCTGGTTTCCTTCCCCACGCTCTCTCTTGGTGGTTCCGAGATCTAGCACCTAGTAGTGCGGAGGAATGCCTTTGTTTGAACTGGCACTACGACCTTGTTCGTGGATCACCCAAGGAGGTGAGTCAGGCTCGCCCTCCTTCGGGCTACGATTGCGACGCGCGAACAGCCGCTCAACCTCTGCGAAATGCCCTCCTCCAGACCATAGCCTCTGCCATTATCACCAGAATCAGACTTAATCGTTCCCAACACAACTTAGCACCAAGATTCTCCTCCGAGAAGCCTGGAGCTTTGGGAGGCCCGCTCACCGCTCAGGGACGTCACCGTTACATTTTAACATTGCGCTGCCGCCACCCGCACTGGTCGCGAGAAATGGTGCTTTCATGGTACTTTTACCTGGCACCACACTGGTCCATGATTCATGCAGGATGCTTTTGCAGCCGAGTAATGTCCAGTTCAACATGGGGCGTACGCATACGGGCCCACGCGGGCAGAGTGGAATGCACGAGTGGAATGCCACATGTGAGAGATACACAAGTGGGATACACACGCATGCGCAAACCCCTCTGCCCCTCTCGGTGCCCGGCATGAACAGGCGATAGGAGCGGTAGGCTATAGCACACCTGACCTGCCAGTACCATCCTATTTTCCTTTTCCGTCAAGCCTCCGTCTACCTAGACCGTCTATTCATCTCGTCTAGGATTGTTCGAAATTCTGATGGGCCCCAAGCGCTTGGCTACCCAGTATATATTGGACCACTTCGAGCTTAGATCCACTCGACTCCTGTCTAAAACCATATGTTCAGGACCCGTAGCATCCCTGAGCGGGATGCTTGTCCTCGGATCCCGACGTCACCTTCTCCAGTAAGTAGTAAGTATAAATGTCTTCTCGGCCGAATCGCAGTGACAGCAACCGATTGATGCCTACCTCGTGTCTCCCCAGGCTGTGTCATTCCCTCAGGCTCGAGCAACGGTAGGTTGAGACGAACAGTCATCTCTTCTTTGCTGCAAGCGTGATGGCACCCATCAACGTCTCCTGGTCCTCTGGGCTCGTAGTGACGAGTCTTGTCACCGGACTGTCACAGGGCGCGACCATCGGCAGGCGCGACCCCGTCCCAGCCCCCTATGTTGCGGCCCCTTACTATCCGGCCCCTTACACGGGTTGGATCCCGAGCTGGAGCGACAGTGTCCAGAAGGCCAAAGCCTTGGTTGACACTATGACTTTGGCTGAGAAGGCCAACATTACAGCTGGCACCGGCATCTTTATGGGTAAGTGACCGGATAACAGAACTCTCTCTTCCAACAAGATAATTAACTTGTCACAGAGTAAGTGTAATGAATACTCAGTTTCACAAGACATGAGCTGACCGCGCAGTGTCTGTGTTGGAATGACGGGAAGTGCCCCCCGTGTAGGGTTTCCGCAACTATGTCTCCAGGACTCGGCTCTGGGTGTACGCAGCACAGACCATGTCACAGCATTCCCTGCCGGCATCACTACTGGTGGCACTTGGGACAAGGACCTGATATACCAGCGTGGCGTGGCCATTGGAGAGGAGTTCCGTGGAAAAGGCGCCAACATCTATCTTGGTCCTACCGTTGGTCCTCTCGGCCGCAAGCCCCGCGACGGGCGCAGCTGGGAGGGCTTCGGGGCCGATCCTGTGTTGGAAGCCATTGGTGCCAAGTATACGGTTCAAGGGTAAGTTGTTACTGTTTGAAACTGGACACTGATCTTGAAAAGTATGGAAAGATGTGTGGCTGTCGATACTGACTGTGACATACGCAGTGTTCAAGAACAGGGTGTCATGGCGACCATCAAGCATCTTGTCGGAAACGAGCAAGAAATGTGGCGCATGTATAACCCTTTCCAGCCTGCCTACAGTGCCAACATCGGTCAGTTTTGTTCAGTGCTCAGATGAAATATCTCTGTAATCTTACTTACCTTCCATAGATGACCGGACTATGCACGAGCTCTACCTCTGGCCGTTTGCTGAAGCTATCAGGGCAGGCGCGGCGTCAGTGATGGGTGCTTACAACGCCGTGAATGGCTCCGCGAGCACTCAGAACAGCTACTTGAACAACAACCTGCTCAAGGACGAACTAGGATTCCAAGGATTCCTGATGTCCGACTGGTTGGCGCAGATATCCGGAGTGCCTGCCGCTCTCGCAGGGCTGGACATGGCGATGCCCGGTGACACGATGGTCCCTCTTTTCGGCACGTCTTATTGGATGTACGAGATGAGCCGAGCTGTCTTGAACGGCTCCATGCCTGTAGACAGACTGGATGACGCAGCTACGAGAATTGTCGCGGCCTGGTATCACCTGGGACAGGACGCCGACTACCCAGAGCCAAACTTCAGCTCATACTCGACCACTGCAACCGGTCCGCTTCACCCTGGCGCACTGTTCAGTCCGTCTGGTATCGTCAACCAGTTCGTTGACGTGCGAGCGAACCATGCCACCGTTGCTCGGCAGGTCGCCCAGGACGCGATCGCTCTACTGAAGAACGATGGCGATCTCCTCCCGCTTTCCAAGAGCGCCACCCTGTCGCTCTTCGGTACGGACCAGGCAGTCAACCCGGATGGAGCAAACGCTTGTTCTGACCGCAGCTGTAATAAGGGCACTTTGGGCATGGGTTGGGGCAGCGGAACTGCCAACTACGAGACATTCAACGACCCGCTGACTGCCATTAAGGCCAACGCCGCGAATGTGACTTCCTACAACACCGATTCTTTCCCCGGGAACGTCCCAAAACAGGGCCCTGATGATGTCGCTGTCGTGTTCATCACCTCAGATGCCGGCGAGAACTCTATTACTGTGGAGGGTAATGCCGGTGACCGAAGCCAGGATGGTCTGGCCGCATGGCACAATGGCGACAAGTTGGTACAAGACGCTGCCGCCAAGTTCAGCAATGTTGTAGTCGTCGTTCACACTGTTGGTCCAATTGTCATGGAGCCATGGATCGAGTTAGCCTCTGTCAAGGCGGTCCTCGTCGCGCACTTGCCTGGCCAGGAGGCCGGAGAGTCGTTGACCAACGTCTTGTTCGGAGATGTCTCTCCCAGTGGTCATCTGCCATACACCATTCCCAAGGCGGAGAATGACTACCCAGCGAGCCTGAGCCTGACAGGATTCGCAGCCGGACAGATCCAGGATACCTACAGCGAGGGACTGTGAGTTTGAAGCACCTGCGCCACAACCCCTTCTATGCGAACAACTGATTGCTAACTACCCGCAGCTTCATCGACTACAAGTATCTGAATTCCGCAGGCACAAAGCCACGCTACGCCTTCGGCCATGGGCTGTCGTACGCAAACTTCACGTACACAAACGCAACCATCACCAAAGTGACCCAGCTCACCAGCACCCCACCTGCTCGGCCCGCCAAGTCTGGACTGCCTAACTTCAACACGACAATTCCGGTCGCATCCGAAGCATACGAGCCCTCAGGCTTCTCAAAGGTCTGGCGATACCTCTACCCCTGGCTGTCCGAATCCGACGCGAACTCCGCGGCCGCCACCGGGGCTGCGGTGGAGAGCGGAGAGAAGGACGGCTACCCCTATCCGGATGGGTACTCGAGCACGCAGAAGCCGGGCCCGCCCTCGGGCGGCGGCCTGGGCGGAAACGACGCCCTCTGGGACACGGCGTACACCATCAGCGTGACGGTGAGCAACACGGGCGCCCGCAACTTCTCCGGCAGGGCCGTCGCGCAGCTGTACGTGCAGTTCCCCGACAACAGCGGCTACGACTCGCCCACCGTCCAGCTCAGGGACTTTGAGAAGACTGCTGCGATCGCGCCGGGGGCCAGCGAGGTGGTCGAGCTGACGCTCACGCGCAAGGACGTGAGCGTCTGGGACGTCGTACAGCAGAACTGGGTCGTCCCTGTCGTCGACGGGGCGTACAAGTTCTGGGTCGGCGAGTCGAGCGATGCATTGTATCTAGCTTGTGATGCCAGCACGCTACAGTGTGAGGATGGATTGACGGCTCCAGTCTGATCACCGTCGTCTTAATATTGAATCCCCAAACTTTATTGGATGTACATAGATATCGAGGGCGATATTGCCACTAATAATGCATACTGTAATGCGGCAAGCACCAGGCCTCCAGCGTAAATGATTTTATGACGAAGTACATAAGCCTCTTGTAAAGGTGGACTTTCGCAATATTCCGTGCTCTAAAAGGGCGTAGACATCAACATCCCCCTGATGCCTCAATCCAAGGCCCTGTCTGCATTGTCCTGTCACCTATGTTCTTGCAGTAATCATCCAGCGTTACGAATTCCGACGCAATGGGCGATTGCCATGGTATTGTGACAAGTATGTACACGGAGCAGATTTTTGCGCTCCTAACGAATCACCCTCTATGTCTCCGCGATGCAAAAGGAGCTCCTGCCATGTCCTCTGAGCCCACCATAAAGCTCTCAGACCTTGGAAAGAGTCGCAGTAATGTCCCATGCTCCTGCAGCGCTCTCCAGGGGGTGCCCTTGCGCATAATAGGCACACATGAACTCTCTTCCTCTCTCTACCCCTCGAGATCTAGCCCGGCGTATATCCCACCATCGTAAAGACCCTTGGGCAGCTTGACCTTGGGGCACCAACAAAACGCACGCCCCCCGCCCCCAACAATCAAGCACTCAGCATCTTCCTGCCCTTGATTTTCCTCCTCTGCAGCGTCTTGCGCCCGGTCTTGGTGCGGATGCGGCTCAGGAACCCGTGCCTGCGCATGCGGATCAGCCGCGACGGCCGGTTCATGTTCATGTGCCGCCGGGGCCCGCAGCGGATCTGCGAGCCCACGCCCGCGAGCGCCGGGTGCGACGTGATCGCGGTGCTGGGCACGACATCCGCTGTTAATGTTCCTCCCATTGCGTCTGCTGCCCCCGTCGTTGCTGCTGCTGGTGTGAAGGTGCTGGGCATGAGGAGCCCGGTCGCTGGCCTCCGTGCGAAGATGCTGGGTGGTGCGGATATGCCTGGGCGCAGGGTCGGGAGGGAGGAGAAGGACCTGTTTGGGTGCGCGGTTCGTCAGTCAGAAATTCCACGCGGGACAGGGGCGGGATGGTGTCGAGCGAACCTCGTCATGGCAGGTTGTCGTGCGACATCTCGGACGGCAGCGCGGAGCGCTGACTGGGCGAAGAGCCGCGACATTGTCACAGTCCTCCAATGGGTGGGTAGGTTGGAGAGCTGTTGATCGCAGTGGTGGCTGTCGTCACGCAACGCTGCCCAGACTCGTCCTGAAGGCTTTTGGGAAGTTGTCGATTGTTCGCACCGCGTTCAGTTCTTGATTCACCGGCTGGGTGATGCTCCAAGCTAGGACATTGCTCCACCAAATTATACTAGGGTTAGGGGCCTCTCCTAACCCCGATACAACACAACCTCCCCGTGACGTCAAATGGAGTGGCCTCCAGTCCACCAATGTGCTTGCTGGAGAGAGGCCATGTTCGTATGAGAGATTGTGGAATGCGTAATAGACGTGTATATTTTGCCCTCTACGCGAATTGTAACTTTCATAGTGATAGCGACCGCAGAGGCCATCACAAAAACCACTAGGCACTTCAAACGACGACTGCAAACTTCCCGACAGTATCTATTGACTACCTCGTGATATGGTCCTCAATACTGCCTATTCTAAACCTGGTCTCACTCACAACTCATCTCTTCCCGTGGCCTTGGCAACACCGTCCTTTTCATCCACAGGCGCGACCTTGGCAGTAGGTTGCCAATCGAGCGCCTTCAGTCTCTCGGACAGAATGGGGTGCGAGAAGTGGTAGCTGGCAAACATCGGGTCCGCATCCATAGTGCTAAGGTTCTGGATCTGGAGCTTGATGAGAGATTTGGCGAGGTCCGCAGAGTACCCGAGGTCGCACGCGAAAGCGTCAGCTTGGAACTCGTAGCGACGGCTCAAGATGTTCATGCCCAGCTTGATGAAAACGTCCATAGGGGCCAGAACATCGGAGAAAAGGATAAAGCCAACAATGATGGGCTTCACAGCGTTGAATCCAAAGTCGGCGTAGAGAGACTGGTTGTTGATGAAGACGGAGAACAGCGAGAAGATGTAGAAGAAGTGGAACTACTGATGTCAGCTTGTGGTCTTTTTTCAAGAATGCCGTTCAAATCTTACCTGAGAAATGCCAAACAGCCTCGTGGTGTGACCCAGACTCCAGTGACCCAATTCGTGCGCCAGGACAGCGACAACCTCTTGGGTTTCGCTCTTCTCGATCAGGGTATCATAGATAACAATGTGCTTCTTCCAAGGCATTCCAAAGAAATATGCGTTGCTGTGGGCACTCCGCTTACTGCCATCGATCACGTAGAGCTCGTTCAGAGGGAACTTGAGCTTGGCAGCCAGGGCCTCGACTCCAGTCTTCAATTTTCCGGGTTCCAAAGGAGTGAGCTTGTTGAAGAGCGGCATAATGACAATTGGCCAGATGGTGATCATGACGACCTGCAGACCGGCTCCAAACATCCATAGGTAGTAGAAGAACTGGTCGCCCGTCTTCTGAATGATGGCGAGGAAAGCAGCGAGGATAGGAGGCGTCAGGACGAAAGTCAGACCCAGCGACTTGATCAGATCGGTGACGAAGAGCTGGGGAGTCTGTTTGTTGAACCCAAACTTCTCTTCCAAGACAAACGTATTGTAGACTGAGGCCGGTAGGGACAGGAGCTGGTGGATGATCGTGAAGGCCAAGACGAATGCGATCGAATGGGTAATTTCACCGGAGAAGCGAGCGGGGGCAAATCGAAGGAGGAGGTCGCCGGTCCATGACCAGATCTTGGGGAGGACGTCGAAGTGAATGAAGGCGATGTTCGTGACCTGGCCCCAGATACCGTTGACAAATTGGAACTTGGCTTTGGCGCGTCCGTATGCTTGACTCTTGTCATATGTCTCCTGCGATATCTCCTGTTCCAGAACCTTTGGTGGCTTGGTCTTCTTCAAGACCTGGTATTGACGAAGAGAGAGGAAACCCTCGAAGAGGTATTGCGCAACCGAGAAGCCGATGATCAGCTTCTTCCAAGGGAAGAGAGGCCTGTCCAGGAACCTGGCCAGGCGCTGGGTGAAAGCATGTTAGCATGCTGTAAGTGCAGTTGCAGTGGGCGCAGGGGGTCCAACCTGTAAGACATCCATCGCGAATCACTTTGCGCAGTTGTCGCAAAGGTTGTAAGAATGGAAAAATGTTGGAATCACGCCCACATCCCAGAAACCATGGGGCTGCCGGATGTCTGTGTGTGAAAGAAAGAGAGGAAGAAGGAGTGACGCAGGGTTGCGACAGAACAGAACACGGATTGTTTGCCTAGCACGGTTGCGAGGACAAGCTGTTCCTCGGGTCATCCGCTGACTGAGTGCTCCCACGCTTGGTCTTGGCAAGGGCCACAGGTGCCCCGTGCGGCTCGGGCTGTTTCATTGGGCCGAGTACCAAGGTGGGCCTGGCGTAGGTATTCTGCGGTACGGATACCTTGAACCTGCAGCATCAGAATTGGACCTTAAATACATCAACTCAACTGCAACTTTGCAGACCAATTTCGCACAAGACAGCTATCAATTAACACTACCATTGCTTTCATGGCTTTCTCAGGCATGTCCCACAAACACTAGTTCATCATTATCATCATCATCGTCGTCGTCGTCGAGATCATCCGAATCATAGCCATCCCAGCCTAGTTCGCTGTCACTGATCCAATTTGGCATGAGCCCGTCCTCACGCCTCCTGCGGCGCACCTCCTCCGCAACCCGGCACTTGTCCTTCCAATCTTGGGCTTGCGTCTTCCTAACGTGGCATTTGACATATTGGTCAAAGTGCTTTTGCACAACCTCGTCCGTGAGCGGGAGCTCATCTGGATAGTCCTCGCCCCCATTGCGGCAGTAGCGATTAATAGACGCTCTCATGTCGTTTTCATATTCTCCAGGCCTGCTCAAATCCCAGTTTTCCACTCCGCCCTTTTCTGGCACGTCTTCCACTTGGCCTGTCAGAGTGCCACAGATGCATGCACATTCGAGGTGTAAGGTGTTGCGAATGGATGGCAGCAGCTTCTCCCATGAGGTTTCGCCAAGGTCAAAATCCTGCAGACAGAGAAATTGAAGCGTGTCTTTGTGGAGGACCAGAAATTGCATCAGAGTGTGTCTGTCAACCTCCACGTGCGAGATCTCGAGTCGATTTAGATGCGGCCAGCGATAAGTTGGGCTCACAATGTCCCTCAACATGGCTGGTTTGTACGGCACGTCCATGTCGCCCATGAATCCCACACGCAGCAACTCGAGCCTTCTCATGCGCGCCAGAAGATCTCTGATTATTCCTCGATCCATGAAACGCCGGCATTCCCCAGTGTTTCCGCTCACATCATGTAGGTCGTCGTCTAGGTCCAATGTAATTTCTAACTCAACATGCACCGCGTCTAGCAACGGCCGGAACAACCCCTCCAGCTCTGTCGAGCTCTTGTCGAAGAAGATCCAATCAAATGAGCCCGCGCGCAGGCTCTCGAGTTTGAGATTGTTGTGTGCCAATGCTTCAAGCAAGACTTCAAGGTGCCTGACACCCTCTGGTCGCGGCCAGTGAGTTGGAGGTGGAAAGGGAGTCGTGAACGGAGACGGCTTTTCATGCGCGCGGCCTTCATAGAAAAGGTGACCCGATGACATTGTAACATGCTTTAGACCTGTAAACTTGGCGAGCGCGTCTTTAAGGCACGCCAGATCTGCCGTGCCAGCTCTGATCTGATCTTGCGCGGCGACCAGGCGCTCGTATTTTTCGTACTCGAACCACAACGTCAAGTCGTCAGCAGGCTTGGCCTCACGGGCCTAGCCCAGCGAAAGCGGTGGCTTCTGCAGCCTCAGCGCTGTCTTGTGGTGTTCTTTGAATCTGTGGAATGTCACGACAGGACTTTCGATCGCTGCCGTGAAGTAGGTAATGGACCTGACGTTGCGTGCCAGGACGCCATTACCAGCTATGCCTCTGAGGCGCGCAAAGTCATCTTGGTGCATGTGGAACGTCACGTCTGGAAGGATGTGTGCCCCTGCGACTTCAGCAAAGAATCTGCTAGCCAGTCGAAGTTGTTGTGTTGCGTCATGGATGCTGAGATGGCTGGCGATCATGTGCCAGAGCTCTGGCGAAAGAAAATTCATCCTGCTATGTTGATACGCAGGCTCGAAGCATCGAAATTTCGGGGTACGTGCAGGCGTCTTGGAGGTTACACAACAATGCAAACAGAGAAATAAAATGAGAGTGTGACGACACTGAGTTGAACAGAAGAACCCCGATAAGTGTTTGTAAGTGTTTAGATCGGCATGAAGTCGCGTCAATCTGTCTGGCGCGTGTTGCGATGCCGAGGTGGAGCCCGGCCAGAGCTCCTTGGTACGTACTTCTAGGGGAAGAGTGTCGCTCCAACCCAGCAGGATGGACAGCGCCTCCAGGCACACGGTAATGATTCCAATTTGAGTTCTCAGCTGTAGCACTTTGAATCACGTTTTATAAGACCACAAAGCTATTGACTCGCATTTTATTTGTCGTTATATGTTGTCAGAATGAGTACCAACCAGGTATAAACAACCCTGGTCGCAATAAAACGATCTCCCAGGTGCCCAGGTGCGTGCTATATACCACAGTAATTCACAACGGGCCCACTCGCTGTCAGTAGCCCTGGCATTGTCAACTACCTGGTTCTGTTTCCGCCAGCCACGACAATGAGATTAGATAGATATCGAAGGAAAAGCATGTGGCGGTATGCAGTAGGTAGGCAAAGTGTTCTGAGAACTCAACTACCGTCGTGGCTCGAACGAAACCTGAAGGCAAGCAGTCAAAATTACTACCCCCTTGGCCTAGGTAATAATTTGATGGTCCCACAGCTGCCGGTAAACACTGAAGGGAGTGTGTTTCACTGGGGTCCTTCCGCCCTGTTTGCTTCTCCCAAGGTCACTCTTGTACTCAAGGGTTTGTCCTCCGCGGAATCCGGAGATTGGCCTTCACTCTCTCCAGTAGCTGCTCCCTCGTGTCTCCATCCTGTGGGTGGAGGTCTCGCTGTTCACAGTCAATCAAAAAGGCCGTGGTAGTAATACGAAGGGTACACATACTGCAGCCAGCCATCTCCTCATTTCTTCTCTCGTCCACGTCTCGGGTTCCCCTTTTGGATCGTCTGGGTGGGGGAACATGTCGCCGCCCCAGATTGACCAGACTCCAACGGCTGTGATGAGGCCGGGTGAAGGCTATACATTTATCGCTTGTTAGTATTCTGCGACCCATTCACGGTCTGATGCATGACTTGGTGCAGTGTTCGGGGTCCGATTCGACTCACCCAGGAACATGTTCTAGGTAATGTCAGCTGCTATGCATCGGTGAGTCTCGTGGAACAGGGCAACGTAGACTGACCTTGGACTTCATTGCATTATCGAGTGGAGTTGGCATTTTTTATCAGCGATGAAGGCCCGAGGATGTATCAGATGACGGTGGTGAGCAACTGGGGTTGGTGATTGATTTGGTTGGTATTCCTAGGCGTGTTAGTGATGCGGAGTGAGGTGCGGCGTAGAAAGGCTCTTGATTTATAGGATTTGTTCTATGGGCCAAGCCGACTGTAGGATAAATAAACTTTATAAAGAACACCTGTACTTATCGTCCAGTCACAATTCCGAAACTTGAGAACATACGAGTGAAGAGCGAGATCGCCGTGAATGCAGCCGTAGAGAGGTGTAGAGGTGACGAGGCCCATCCAGTTCAGGAACTGCGCCACGTCAGCCACACTGGAGGTCGCTCCTGCCTGTCTGGCTTGCTGTCCTTGGCCGAGGCTGGTTAGCTTGGATCGAGGTACCCAGGTACCTGTGCAGAGCGGTCGACCACCCCCCTCACCCGTCGATTTTGCACGCCAGGACCCCTGTCCACCCTTTCCGCACACATTTTGCAAAATTCCACTGCAGCTCAACTCGACCTCCGATCGCGACGACAACACTCAATCCCGGACAGCCCTTCAAGAATCCACTGTCAAAAAATCAGGCAAAATGGCCCAGGAAATCAGCGACATCAAGAAGGTACAAATTGACAACCCGTGACAGATCTTGTGTGAAATGTGGCTGACGAATGGCAACGACAGTTCATCGAGGTCTGCAGGCGAAAGGATGCCTCCTGTATGTTCCGATCGCAACCGACGAAAGAGTCTTGAGCAACTGGGAAGGAAAAATTATCTAACCACTTTCGAATTCCTCCAGCCGCCCGGATCAAGAAGAACAAGAAGACCTCTTTGATCAAGTTCAAGGTCCGATGCTCCAAGCACCTGTACACGCTGGCCCTGAAGGACGCCGAGAAGGCCGAGAAGCTCAAGCAATCGCTGCCCCCCAGTACGACCTTCCCACCGCACGCGGCCGCGAGGAACACAACAGGCTAACACATCGGATACAGACCTGCAGATCAAGGAGGTCACCAAGCGTGAGAAGAAGGTCAAGGCATAAGTCTGTCGCTTAGGTCTGGGAACGACAGGTTGAGCGGAGGGGTTCGAGAAAGCAAAAGTCGATGGCGTCTGAAACAAGGAATCAAGGGCCATCTCGTCCGGGTCTGGACGAAAGGGATTCATTACTGGGCGTCTAGGGATACCTTGCAAATTGAAGCTCACCAAAGCCACGCATTGGAGGCTGTCCGAAGTACACCTTTCGTCCACCTGAACCCATATTGAGATGTGTGACGTGCTAGCAGGTGAACACACCCGGACATATTGACAATAGGATAAGCATACAATAGCTTCTCGCCGACGAGCATCTACAAGATTACCCGATATCATCGAACGTCGACGCCGGTTACGGACACCTACAGCCCAACACATCTATCGTGCTCGGCGGATTGCCCTTGCCTCTACGACCGGCCACCCGGCGATGACGACGAGCCTAGCACCCTTCGAAGCTCCCGACCCCCCGCTCTCCTGGTCGTCAATGTTTCTGCGAGGCCCTCGAGGAGCCCCTCGACCCCGTCAAACCGCAGTAGCACGGCTTCCTCGACCAGCCGCATGGAATGACGACCAACAATGACCACAGCACCATCCAAGGGTCAAAAATCGCTCCGCATCCCGGACTGGCAACCTTTGGATGCATAAGTCCCCCCTGGGCTTTCAGATGCATTACCTAGTGGGGCGCAGTGAGACTCAGCGTACGTGCATGCGCTCTTTATAGATTACACCATATGCGTTCCGACAGCTTTCCGTTTTGCAACCAGCGTAATGGCAGATGGGCTCTCGGCTTGCTCGATGCCAGAACCTCTCATAGTCCAAGTGAGGTTGAGACGGGGCCTCGCTGTTGATGATCTCATGATGGTCCTCGGGCAAGATGATGTCGAGAGGCATTAGGTGAACGCAATCTCAGTGATAGTCATTAGTGAGTGAACAGACGTAGTAGTGACGGTATCGATGACAGGGCAAAGCGAGTGAGGATGCAATATGATATGCCTCGAGTGAGTGGACTTATAGAGCGCTGGGCACGTTGTAATTCGAATGAATTAGGAGACATATACATAGATGTATGTCACAAGGACTGGCTTCGATTATCATAAAGCGCGGACTGATGACAAGCCAGTATCCTTCAATATCACTGCAATTGCGATCAGGAGCCAAGACTTGGTAACATATGATAATCTTCTATACGCGTGATATGAATGTGGTTCTGAGACTCATTAATAATAATAATCTGAACCTCACGGCCTCTTGTATCCAGGCACGATCGATCGTCGAGCAGTTGTGCACTTTGTCACTGAGATGGGTATGTCACAGCGGAGAAGACCCAGGTAGGCCATAGTCTACCCTGCTCGGCGGTCCCGGGCAACTCTAACCACCATCAACCAGGTCCTCAAGCAAGATATTGATCAGAAAATGATAGGATCAGGCGATGAGCATATCATGGGTAATCTTCCAAGCAGTGTGCAAGCAGAAGTCTCCGTACAGGATGACGTTTATCATGTGGCAAAGACAAGGCTCACAGAGTTGTGATATTCAGCAGCTTGAGATTTATATCATGTATTCCAACATTCTGTCCGCTTTCAGCTTGCTCATTGCTCGTCTAGTCAGATTAGTGTACCGTCATTAGTTGAACAGCTAGGTTTCACAGCTTAAGGTAGAAGCCACGATAATTATTATGAATCGCCAGTCCAGTCGCTCCACCGAACTTTTGATATGAATCAAAATCGTCATCAGACACGTTGAGACCAAGAGTTGCATGACACGGGACATGTACCTCTGCCGGCGACGCACCACTTAGTGCGACTCTACCCTCCAAAATTTCCAGCCTTCCCTTTCGCCCGCACCTCCATGGACCCCTACAAGCTTTTCCACGCCCTCGTTACCCTCAACGTTGAGGAACAGGTCCAGGTCGATCTCCATGCCGCCGTCCTCGTCCTCGTCCATCCCATTCTTGATGACCGCGGGGAAGAGGACGCCGACGCCATCGCCGCCCAGTGTCGTCTCAAATTTCTCGTATCCCTCCTCCCCAAACTGCTCTTCCAGGCGCTCGAGCTTCTCTCGTGGGGCGTCAGGCCGTAGGAGTGTGATCGAACAACCCCCACCTCCGGCTCCTGTCAGTTTCGTCCAGCCAATATCCTCGTGATCAACCAAAGCTCGTATCCTCTCCAGCCTAGGATGTGAGACGCCGAGCGACAGCAGCTGGCCGTGGTTCACGGTCATCAGTTCGCCCAGCTTACGCAGGCTCTCCATGTCCTTGCTTTCGAAACCGTCCTCTTCGATCAGCCCTTCTGCCGTCTTCGTGATCTTATCAATGGTGTCCAGGATCCCACCCACGAGCTTTGGATGCTTGTCCTTGAGCTTTGCGACCTTTGCGACCTCCTGCGCCGTCGACCGTGACTGCTTGGTGTTTACCAGCAGCAGGGGAAGCTCTGGGAAGTCCCACAGTGGGCGCACCTCGGGGGCCTTGCTGTAGTCCGTCCGCTGGAATACAACGGCCTTCCCTTGCGTGGACACTGTATTGTCGACACCAGACGGGTTCCCGTGTATGGCCATCTCACCCACGAATGCCCACCTGTTGATCCTTTCCACCTGTAGCCGGGCTTCCTCCTCAGGCTGATCGGGGTGGGGCCCGGAAAGTGCTCGTAATTGTAAAAGCAGAGCGGCGGCGAGACAAACGGCGATTGAGCCGCTGCTTCCAAGACCTGCGCCAATTGGTATTGTAGACCGCAATGTATATGAACAGCCCGGGAATGATTGGTTGCCTAGAGACAAGAAGATGTACAGGAATGCAAGCGCCGAATTTCGGTGTATCTTGCGCACAGCGTCGGGCTTGTCTGGGGATATGTCGACCAAGTGAGGCTGGATCGCAGCGATCAGGTCGGGGTCGAGGCTGGTGACGAGGTCGTAGTAGTTCTTCTTCTTGGACGGGTGGGAGAATGTCGCCCACGGCAGTTGGTCGATGTCCCACGTGTGCGACATGTCCACGTCGGGGAATATCAGGGATACGGTTCGTTTTGATTTCGACAGAGTGGTGACCAGGAGATATGACCGGAGAGAAGTGGCCGCAGCAATGGCTGCCTGTGAGGCATGATGGGTCAGCGGGTTGCGGCAGCTCTGCGCAGAGGGCGCATCAACGTGCGGTCCAGGGCTGGAGCGCTCACCTTGCCGTGGACGACCGCATGCTCGCCGAAAACAATGACCTTGCCGGGAGCAGAGACCATGAAGGCTGGCATCATTGGGCTGGAAAGCTTGCGGGAGGCCTTCTTCAGATGCAACGACTTGCCATTGGTATGAGGCTGGTCGACGCCATTGCCATTGCCGTTCTGGGAGCCGTTGACATGCGCCATGGCTGCAAATTGATGTTGCGTCAAGCTCGCGCAACGCACCTGGTGTGCGATTGAGCAGGACTTGAGTACGACTGGGTGTTCTTGAGCGATCCCGACGTGTAGGTGGACACCGCCGACGTGGAGGTGGATCAGTAAGATAGTGGAGAGGAGTGTTGTTCGGTGGGTATAGAGAGGCCAAGCCGAGTCGGGGTCCTGGATCGTGGGTCGAGAGTCGAGACGTCAAGCTCTGGTTCAAGCTTGGGGGAAGTCCGGACCGTTGGTCGAAAAGGGCAATTCAGGGAGAGAAGGGACGAGATCAAACATGGCCAGAAGGACGGGCGAGGGGACGCGATGGATATCCCGTCCTCGATTCAAGCCATGGTGGTGGGAGCGATGGCAGCCCCGGTCTGCGTACACGGCGGAACTGTAAATTAGACAATTACCTATGCAGGCTCTCGGGGCCCCTGCCGACTTACTCGGGGTCTGCCTTTGTTGGGAAGAGAACGTGGCACAGCAGTAGGCTAGACAAGCGACGGTTACAGGGGTGTCATCGTCTTCGCCGTTCCTTTCATTGGCCCCGGGGTACTACGCAACCTACTGTCTCAGCCTTGTCCCTCGTCGGCTCTACGGAGTGCTCATACTCGCCCCAGGACCAAAATTTTGTCGTTGCGCAGAGAACCTCGACCGCATGCTGCAGTGCTGCAGTAGCACCAGTCCACGATTGGGCTGGCCAGGAGTGCATGTACGTACCTCCGTAGTCCCTGCTAGGTATGCAGCTCCAATGCAGGGACCAGCACAGCAGACCAGCTCCATCTGGAGAGCCAGGAGAATCAGCCGGTCTGCCAGCTCTATAAATCACGGACCAGTCTGGCTAGTGAGAACAAGGAGACTGACGGTAAGTGATTGCATCGTCGTCTTCGTGAGACCACACTACCGTACACAGCCCGGCTGCACGAATTATGCTTCGCAATTGGCACACGCACGTACACACGCGGGTCAGACTTTCCAATAGCAGTCCATGCGTACATGGTACAACATCAGCACCACAGCTGCATGCCCTTCCTGCGCCCACATCTGGGGGCCAACTCAGCGGACACTGCCTGATTCGGATATCGCCGCTAGAGGTTGTTTACCGGTCATCGCAGGCTGTGGTCGTCGACGGTGTTGCGTAAGGGTAGCTGTGTCTGCGCTAGGGACGCATTAAAATCCAAGTGCTACGCGCAGATTGTACTTAGGTAGGACAGCCAAAACTTGTGATGAATCTTCACTCAATGTTTGCACGGTACATTCCAAAAAGGTCGGTGGCGCAAAAGTGGTGAACCTGACGGAATGCTGGCGTTGTGCGTGCGATTGTTCCTTGATATTGTTTGATCAAAAGTGCTGTTGCCCAAAGTCCGCCCCGCACTCGAGACCTTGCAGCTACTTACAGGGAGCTGGCTTGGTGGGTGGTGGGGAGCTCTGCTTGCAGGCAACCTCACACGCGGTTCCTGTGACGAGCCGCAACCCAAGCTTTCAATCTTTCCTATGAGCAACCATGCCACCCAAATCAAAGGCACCGCCAAAACAAAAGGAACAAGAATGTGAGGAAACTACTTCCCCCCTTGTTGTGTGCTCTGCGTATAGGTCAACTCCAGTCCCACCTCGCGGGGCCTCCCACTCGCCACGTCTTACTGACAGCTCCTCCGAGTAGCAACACCTGTGGAGAACGAGCCTCTCAAGACTGTCTACGACCGTAGCTCTAATATCTATAGCCAAGGTCATCCCTACGCTTCAAGCCTCGCCGCCGGAGGTCCCAGCGGCCTCTCCTCTTCCGAGCGGACCGTCTGGGCCAACGCGCATTTCGCCCGCACACCTGCCCTCCTCAAGCGGCTAGGCAATAAGTCCCAACGAGACGTCTGGAAGTGCGTGAATGAAGCTGGTGGCCTCCCGCTAAGAACAGTCAAGCAAGTCCGTCCAACCGGTGCGGGTGGGACTCCTTCCGCTCAGACCGGACAACAGGGCTTCACCTGGGGCAGGGACAGATTCGGCGCGGACCTGGGAGACTCGACCCCTGACCAACTCGACAAGAGAAGTGAGAGGGCCTTGCAGCTTTCCGCGTTGGAGATACAGCACAGCGCCTTCCTGGAAAGGAAAGAACGCGAGAAGGGGAGGTGGCTCGATTCGAAGAACAACGAGGTTGTCACCGTGACAGCTGACGAGGTCGAGGAAGAGAAATTGCGGAGAAAAGAGATCGCGAGGCTTAGGATGGAACTCTACGGCGAACGCACGGGAGCTTACGGGACGGATCCCGCATGGGATGATATTGTGCCCATGCCCATTGAGGAGCCCGAGGGTGCTCTGGCTGCCATTGCCTATCCTGAGGAATATGCCGAAGGTCTGATTACCGCTCCTATGAAGTCTCTTGGATCGAATGCTGACATCTTGTAGCGATTTCCTACCTTCGAGCCGTGATGGCCAAAAAGGAATACTCCACGCGCTGTCTGCGACTGACGGAGCACATCATCTCCATGAACCCAGCCCACTACACCGTGTGGCTATATCGCTTCTCGATCGTTCAAGGCATGAGGACCTCCATCCCAGATGAGATCGAATGGCTCAACCAGGTCTCCCTCGAGAACCTGAAGAACTACCAGATCTGGCACCATAGGAGGCTGCTCATGGACCACTACTACCCGTCCATCGAATCAGATTCGGAAGAGAAGGCCAAGCTGGCCAAATCCGAGGAGGCATTCCTCGCGCAGATCCTCGCCGAAGACACGAAGAACTACCACGTCTGGTCCTACAGGCAGTACCTCGTCCCCAAGATGGGCCTTTTCGGGGAGCTAGAGCTCAGGGCCACCGAGACCCTGATCGACGAGGACGTGCGCAACAACTCTGCTTGGTCGCACCGTTTCTTCATCGTCTTCTCCGACCCTGCCAACGCCACTCCCGGCAGCCTGTCCACGGAGCACGACCCCAAGGTCCCTGCGGCTATGATTGACCGTGAGGTCAAGTACGCCGAGGAGAAGATCCTGCTGGCGCCACAGAATCAGAGCCCCTGGAACTACCTCCGCGGCGTGCTGGTGAAGGGAGGCCGCAAGGTGGACACGCTGCAGGGGCTCGTGGAGCGCTTCGTCAGCGATGTTGGAGTTGAAGGGAGTGAGAAGGTCACCAGCTCTCACGCCTTAGAGCTGCTGGCGGACACCTACGCTGAGAAGGGAGAGAGTGACAAGGCGGACCTGTGCTTGAAGCGCCTGGGAGAGAAGTGGGACCGCATAAGATTTGGATATTGGGAGTGGAAGAGAGCATCGCTCAAGAGCAACTAGGCGTGCCTAGATCTACTTCGGGACAAGCATGCAAGGGATATGTATGGGATTAAGCATTTAAAAGGCGTCACCCTAGCCCTTACGGGATCATGATCGAAAATGACCTAGTTAGGAAAGCATTTTCAATACTATAGGGGGCTGCAGAAATCGTGACAATTGTGGATTGTTTCAAGCATGACAAGAACTCCGCGAAGGGCAGTGAAACCAATAATATTATGAGCTTATGATAGACCGCGATCTGCGCATGTCCTCGGGTTTGGTGACCGCCGTATACCCCTCGGGTGCCGAACAGTCACCTATGCCGCATTTGGTGGTGAGCAGGTCTGACTGCAGGTTGATAGTCAAGCCACCTCGATTTTGATTGCCCAACAAGAAGCCATTCGCCGTCGCTGCCATCCTCTGCAATCCGTTGCCTACCATGATCATCCGACTTGCAGGGAATTCCTCTGCGACGCTGAGTTCTGCCAACGACTCGCACTCAGTGTTGCTTCCTACGCGGGTTGCGAAACTTCTGGCAGAGGCAAAACGTTCCTCTTTCCCTGGGCTGGAATCTGTCCTACTCTCCTTCGGACTCCTTCGGAGTCCTTCGGAGGGCTCAACCTGACCTGCACCGGCTTCCTTTGTCTCTAGACTGCTCCCCGCGGACCTTTCTTGCCCAACCCATTCAGACAGCCTACGGTGTCGCTGCAGCGCCTCGCGTGGCAGAATGACTCAACGTAGGCCTCCTACCACATGCGCATTCGCTCGTTACCGGAGCTGCGCCGGGACTGGAGGGGGAAGACGCCCTCAGAGGCGCGGCCGAGCTGGCCGTAGCCGCGGTCCCTCCTGCCCCGTGGCCCCGGCGTGAACCTGCTCCCGTGTAGTCGAAATCCTTCTTCTTCTTCTTCCTTGTCGTAGACGACGGCGCCGCGCTAGAGCATCCGGTGGTTCTGCGAGGAGATGAGGAACTTCTTCGCGTTGCGCGGCGGGTTGCGGCGGCCCACGACGTCCCAGTTGGGGACCAGCACGAAGACCTCGTGGAACCGCACGTGCTGCGTGTCGGGCGCGCTGCCAAGGTGTACGGTGCCCGTGACCGTTACGAGCATCGAGATGCGGCCGCCGCTCCGGTCGGGCCCGTTGGCCAGGATGTTCTCCGGGCACCCCAGGCCGTAGTCGTTGTTGAGCACCTGCGTGTCGTGGCTGGTGACCTCGTAGCGCACTTTCGTCGTGCCGGACCTGGTGTTGTGATCGGCGCCGTTGACGCCGGCGTTGCCGCGGCGCTGCGTCTCGAGGAGGGCCTCGTACTCGGCTGGGTCGTTCAGGTGGGCGCCGTTGATCGTGACGTCGGCGGTGATGCCTGCGCCGGTGTATTTGGATGACGAGTTTACGTAGTAGGGCGCGAGAGAGCGGTGGTCGTTGAGGTCCTGGTAGTACCAGCTCACGAAGCTGTCTGCTCCCTGGCTGGACACCTTGACCTCGGTTTCTTGGTTGGGGTACGCCATCGCGGAGTGAATTCGACAGAAAGAGTGTGGTGGTCGTGCTGAGGTCTCTGGAATGTAGCTCGACAGGTTTCTCGAGGTGGTGGTGTCCTTGGGCCAGTCAGGCACTCGGCGGTGTGCGAGTAAGCTAAGATATCGGGGTCGGTGGTTGGGTGAAGTGCGCCACGAGGCTGGCAAGGAGTGGGTGAAGTTCGCTATTTACGTTCGTGAAGCTGGACAGTGCGGCGCATAGCCATGGACGTCTTTGGAACAGCAAGCTGGTGGGACGGCAGCAGCCTTCTTTCAACCCCACAGTTATCGGCTTTTCTGTTAGCACATTGCTTATCGATTAAGCTCTGCCCATAACTTTCACCTCGCTATTGCTCTCGCATTCACTCTCACTCTCACTCTCACAGTGTGCCTTTCCACAGCTGTTGTAACCTCGTTCAAGCTTGAAATACGTCTCGGTTTTGGGCAGGCATACAATGACCACAGATGGACCGAATCTTCCTAAGTTCCGCTGGTAGGCTCAGGAGTCTTCAGTCAGCTTCCCTGCGGCGGCCTGCCTGGGTTTGCTCCTCCTGTCGTCACAATGGCCTTCTCCGGCCATCGAGAGCTCGCGCGTATGCCACCGCGCCTGCACCACAACCGGCAACGGAGGTGACGGACGCGGTGGGCCATACCGACTCAAAGCCATACTATGTGACAACACCGATTTTCTACGTCAATGCTTCACCACATATCGGTCACATGTATACCATGATCCTGGCCGATGTGCTGAAAAGATGGTACAAGCTCAAAGGTCGACAATCTCTCCTTCTCACGGGCACAGACGAGCATGGCATGAAAGTCCAGCAGGCCGCGGAGAACAACGATACCCCTCCCAAGGAGTGGTGCGACATCCAGTCCGAGAAGTTCAAGCAGTTGGCAGCAAAGACCAACCTTGCAAACGATTTCTTCATACGGACCACAGATGAGGATCACAAGGAGGCTGTCCGGCATTTTTGGTTTCTGCTCAAGGAGAAGGGGCTAATTTACGAGTCAAAGCACGAAGGCTGGTACTGTGTGAGCGACGAGACCTTCTATCCTGAGTCCATGCTTGACAGGAAGGTCGATCCATTGACCGGTGAAGTGTCCCTGGCGTCGATCGAGAGCGGGAACTCGGTGGAATGGACCGAAGAGAAACTACCACTTCCGAATGTCTGCTTTGAAGGACCAGCTTCTCGAGTTCTACCAGCAAAACCCCGACTTCATTGTCCCTAGGTCGCGAATGCGGGAAGTCGTGCAATGGGTCCAGAATAACCTAGAGGACCTGTCAATATCGCGACCATCCAGCCGATTGAACTGGGGTATCCGTGTGCCGGGTGATGACACTCAGACCATCTACGTCTGGGTAGATGCTCTTATCAACTACTTAACAAAGGCTGGTTTTCCAAACTGGACACCGGGGAGAGAGTTGGACGGTGGATGGCCGGCCGATGTGCACGTTATAGGGAAAGACATAGTCCGGTTCCATGGCGTGTACTGGCCTGCACTCCTGCTGGCGATTGGCATAAGTCCGCCAAAGAAGCTCCTGAGCCACGCTCACTGGACCATGAATGGAAGGAAGATGTCCAAGTCTCTAGGAAATGTTGTCAACCCCTACTACGCCATCGACCGGTGGGGGGTTGATACGATGAGGCTCTTTATGGTGCTCGACGGTGGGATCGATAACGATGCCAACTACGACAACGAGATCATCGTACAGAGATACAAGAAGGTCTTGGCGGGGACCTTTGGCAACCTCTTGAGCCGAGTCACGCGGAGCAAGGCTTGGAATGTGAGGAAGAGCGTGCAGGCTGGCCCGATGCTGACAACCTCTCCGCACCAGTCGAAATTGGACGAGCAGACTGCAGCGTTATTTGAAGTTCAGAAGGCCAAAATCGATGCTCTATACAGTGAGATGGACAAATTCATGGAGGGACCGGATCCAAGGCGGGCGCTTATGGTGCTCACTGAGGTCGCATTCGGAGTAAGTTCAGCCATACTCACTTAATTATGGTCGATGCAGACCCAGGTGGACTGACGAGCGCAACAGGCCAACCGATTCATAACTGAAATGGCCCCATGGGCCATGTCAAGAGGCATTGCAGAAAAGAGTCCAGAAGAACAGCTGGGGCTGAATGCATTGATGTCGCAGACAATCTACATCATGGCTGAGACCCTTCGGAACATGGGCATCCTGCTGCAGCCATACATGCCCGAAAAAGCGCGGCATCTGCTGGATGTGCTAGGTGTGCCGGAAAAAAACAGGACATTCGAGTATTGTGGATTTGGGAAGGATTCTGACTACGGGGTGCCTATGAGGGAGCCTGGCAAGAGTGCTCACGAGAGCCTGTTCCCTCCACTCGACGTTGAGGATTAAAGCCTTTTGACGCCAACGCGATGGTCACGGCTGCGGAATTCAAGTCTATGGAAGGGCCGATTTATTGCTCAAGCTGTGTTGTATATGGAATTGCAATAATACGTGTACGAGGAATTGCGTAAATGAGATTCCAGGCGAGCAAGTGGCATCGTCCTCTATATGTAGCCCGGCGCAGTCTGCTTGCTCCCGGCGCCGACCGGCCAAACGAATGGGGCCATGCCCAAGTTGCCGCATACACAATTGAATTTTCGCCTCTCAGCCACGGCTTTCATTCCCTCTTTCCACTCCGCGAGTCATTATGAGGATTAATGAGAAAATCGGTAAACGACATGTGGCCCCATTTCGTATACTTAGAAAATTGCCCAGACTGATAAATTGAGGACAGCGATCTCAAGCCCCGGGCGTGTGCTCCTCGTTCCGTACGATCGCCATCATGTACCACGGTACCACGCCTGGATGGCCGATCCTGTATGCAACTGCTCGATTACATCAAAGGCGAGTGCTGACTACGTAGCCAGGCCATACAAGAGGCAACGGCGTCGGAGCCGTTGACCATGGAGGAAGAATACGAGAACCAGCAGTCGTGGCGGGAGTCTCACGACAAGCTGACGTTCATCCTCTGCAAACCAATCGCCACTAGCGATATTCCCGTTTCATCTGTCCAGGCAGGACATGTCGACAGCCCTGACAAGATGATCGGTGATATCAACTTCTTCCTGTACCCCTGGGACGACGAGCCCGAGGACGACGGTGCGGATGCAAGCGGTGCTCCTCCCGGCTACTGCGTCGGGGAGATCGACATCATGGTTGCATCCCAGAATGACCGCGGTAAGGGACTAGGCAAGGCCGCCGTATCAACCTTCATGCACTACATCTGGTCGAACCGAGCGGCTATCCTGCGTGAGTACCAAGCCGCGGTGCAGCCTGAGCTCAAGCTCCTCATGGCCAAGATCAAGGCGACGAACGCGCACAGCATCTCCCTCTTCAAGAACCTGGGATTCAAACAGGAAGGGGATGTCAACTACTTTGGTGAGGTGAAGCTTGTGCTGCAGGATCTCGACCGCCTAGCTGCGCCTCCTGATGGGTACCGAGTGGTGCACTTCCAACGGCCAGTCAATTGATTTTGTCCAACGACTTCTATAGATCACCAAACCCTCCATCTACTTGGAACCTCACTTATCTCGTTCTTGCTTCGACTGCTCGCCCTTTCCACTGCTCGCGGAACCCGCCGGGTCACCACCTGGAGCCACCTCCTGCATCTTCTTGCCAACCTCCGATGCAAAGTTGGTTTGCTTCTGGACCTCGCCGGTTGCCGTACGAGGGACGTCGTCTTTCTCGGAGTCCTTCTCACTGGCAAATTTCCTGGGAGACCGTGGGGTCATGACTACTAGAGCACTAGCTTCTGAGACTCGAGGTGCTCATGTGTGTCTATCATGTGGGCTGGGGCTGCAGCAGTGGAATCCTTACCTGCTGTTCGAGCTGCTGCCACGTTGCAGAGAGACGACCAGCGCGGGCCGCCGGTGAAGCGCTTGACAAATGTGTTGAGATATACCATCTTCGGATACAAGGAGCGCTTGTTCAGTACTGATGCCGAAGTTCCAGGAGAGCTGTTTACTGCGTATGCCAATGATCGAGATGAAGTCCACACAACAACAGAGTTATAGCGTGTGTGAATGAATTGTTTTCTTCTGAGAGATGTCCAACAAGAGCATATTGGGATATTTGCACTGATGTCAACTGCATCAGCGACCACAAAATCATGTGTTATCAACATCAACGTCACCCTTCATCATTCGCATATCATGAAGATCCCTCCTCCCCACAAAGCTGCCCCAGCCGACTCTGGCAGTCTACAGCATGCAGTCATCCCACCCATTGATTAATGGCTTAACCACTGGGCACTTCGTAAGTAGGCATGCCTCTGCCATGGCATGATTTGCTGTAGGATAACCTATCTATGTGCCATGAGATTTCCCCCATGGCTCTTGTAACTTCTAGCAAAAGGTAGCTTTTCCTGCTTCTCTGTATGTATCCCTCATATATCCATGAAATCTTTGAGATTTCCGTACCCGTAAAAGCTGCGAACACATTCTATCCCTGAATGGCAGGAGCATTACTGGATGAGTTCAGAGGCAGAGCCTCAGCCTGCTTTTTTCCCGCGAAGTATAAAACTGCAATCAATCAGTTTGGTGAGGACCGAATACTGCGAGCTGCTATTTCTGTCATACGCCGAACGTCTTCCTGTACTTCTCCAGCATTTCGAGATTGATGTTCGAGCCGCCGCATACAACGACGACGACGTTCTTCTGCGCCCATCCTTGGTCCGAAAGGCCATCGCCCAGGTACTTCCTGAGGTCCCCATTGTACTACGGAAGTCAGTAAATGATCTCAACAACTACTTACCAAGGAGGAAGGGGCAATAGAAGGCCTCGTCTTCGAGCCCCTTCCGAAAGCCAATTCCGAGGCGGCCCAGCAAGGCAAAGAATCCCGTTTGGAGTCACTCACCACAGTAGCAATCGTTGCGCCGCACGCACTTTCCACCAGTATCCTCGCGTGGTCGAGGAATCTGACCATGGCATCTACGGCTGCCTTGTCCGAAACAACTGCGCTGATCAAGTCCCCTCCTGCCCGCTCCACCCAAGCAAATGCCTGCTCCGCGACTCTTGTGGCCCCAAGGGACGTTGCAATGGTAGTGATACCAGGGAGTGTCACCAGCTCTCCTGCCTCGACGCTGGCGTTGAGGCTGTCACCACCTTCCGTCTCGATGGCCAAGACTTTGGGGCTGCCATAGCCAGAGTCCTTGAGATTCTGCACCCCTTGCATTATACCACACATCAGGCCGCCGCCTCCGACGTTGCAGATGATAGCATCTATCTGCTCGTCGAAGGACTCGGACATTTGCGACTTCAGCTCGTCGACCAGGGTTGCATTGCCGTCCCAGACGTCCTGGTGGTCGAATGGAGGCACGTATACAGCCCTCGAGCCCGGGTGGGCTCTCTCAAAATCTGGAATGGCGACCTCGCGGAGGTGGCGGTCGGCAGCTGCCCAGTTCTCGCCAATCTGCACCACGTCGGCGCCCAGCTCGCGGAGCTTGCCGATCATGAGCTGTGAGGTGATCATGGGCACGATGACAGTGGCCGGCCGGCCGAGGGTCGCGGCAGCCGTTGCACAAGCCAGACCAGCATTGCCTCCTGATGAAGAGTAGAAGTGGACGTCCTCGGCTGAGGTTGAGGGAGAGTTGGTCGCCTCAACGGCCCGAACCATGAGATTGCCTATCCCGCGAGACTTGAAGGAGCCCGATGGCTGCAAATTTTCAAGTTTCAGGTAGATTTTGCTGTCGAGGTCCATCAGAAAATGCTGCCTATCACGAAGGAGGTATACTGACCATCCAGCCACCCGAGACAAAGGTGCTGAGTAGACACATGGAGTCTCAACCCAAGGCCTTGGTGGGCGTTTCGAAACAGATCCCATTTTCGGAGGTGTTTGCGTACACGAAGGGCAGCAACTGTCCCCTTAATGATGAGCTGATGCTCCTCAAACGATGGCCACGGCCCCTCTTATACACAGCCGACCCAATGCTTCTCAACCAGGGTATTGGCGGCTCAATCAAAGTCTCGAGACGCAGTTATGACCACCTTGCTGAAGTTGGTGAGAGGCGGAGGGAAGGCAGACCGGCGCTATAGGGTAATGATTATGCAGTCGAGCAGGCGTGTCTGGGAATGAATTACCTAAACCGATCAACCTCAGCCATCCGTCTTGGGCAGGTGACGATCCTCGAACGGCAGAATTACGGATTCAAGCGGCTGGCGAGGGATACTTATATGAATCCTGTTTCGACACAGTGACTGAAGAGAATGCTCAATTTCGACCCGCCGTGCAGCTGGTCGAAGCCACGGCGATGCGCGAATGCGCGTTCATCGGCACCGACCCGGCGGTCAGAACCCGTCATGGAAACGCGGCGGAGCGGGAGCGGGAGCGGGAGCGGGAGCGCTCGGGCCGAAAGAGTGGGCCCGAGACCGGCCCGTCAACTACATGTCCCAATTCGGAGCAGCCGCAATATCTTCTCGCTCACAGCGAGGTCAACCCAATACTTGCTGTCCTTCACATGCTCAGGGTAGTGATTCAAAAGTTGTTGAGATGTTACTTTCGGGGCACAAACCATGTGTGCAGATCCAGAAACCTTGGGTCACCTGGTTGGGAGCAGAGAGCTTGCCCAGTGACGGAAGGTTCATTGTGACTACCTGCATTTATACTGCAAATTGGACAAGGCGTGAGTGCCCTGCGTTGGCGAATGTCATGAACTGATGACTGCCATCTAGAGCTGATGAGCTTGTGAATGCAGCCCCTGAATGCCATCTTCAAGGCCGGGTCTTGTAGCCTGTCTGTCAAGAGAGGAATAGAATGCCACAAATTGAGAAAGTGATCATTGCATATGATTCTTGCCATCATGTGTGCTTCCAAAAGTGCCCTCAGCAAGCTGGTTCTTGTTGCCATGGCCACAGCCCTCGGGGTCATCGCCGTCCCAGCCATGCCAATCCCCTCCGTCCCACAGCAGTGACCCTCGCCCCTGCCCCCACAGCAAGCAGGCTGGCTCAGAAGCTGCCAGCAAATTGTCCATGAAAGTTTAGCACCCATCAAGTCAAGCTTTGGTCCTGCCCTCAATCTGTGCCTTTTCCCAGATATCACCTGGCTTTGGTCCCTTAGTCGTGCCGGCTTTCAGTGGGCTTTTCTGCCACTTGCCTTCCTGCTTGCATGCGGTTTCCCCCAGGACTTCCCCCAGACTTCCCTCAGGCTTTCCCCCAGGCTTTCACCTGGCTTTCACCTTGATTTCAGATCCCGCCACCGGCACTCCTCCTTATGCGGGTACATGCCCTGCCCTGCCTCAACTAATCCTGTCCCGGACCGTAGTGTCTGATACCTTGACACGGCCATCACAACCTCTGTTTGTCAGACTTGACGACAAGACGAGACGCAGGTATCCCGCCCATGTGCTGTACTTGCTCGGCACCACTGTCCACCTTGACCCTCTTCATTCAGAAGGCGACACTGGCCCCTCACCCAGCTTCCTTCCGTGCTCAGTGTTTGGTGACCACACAACGGGCTTTGTTCGACACTGATTCCACAAGTGAGTAGCCCTCCTTCGCCCAACAGCCACCGAAGACTGCCATCCGGAAGACTGACTCCTGTCCCAAACAGCCCGTCATCAACAGCAATGCCGGCTCCTTGCCATACCCCCGGAAGGGGCGATAGCAAGCCCAAGCCCAAGCCGGGCGGGCGTGTTGACGGTGAGCGTTCCTCTGAACGCAGGGCAAGAGGAACTCCATCCAACACACCCTATACCCCTGCCTCCGTTTCCCTCGGTCGCATCCATCGAAAGCGACCTGGCGATGGCCCAGTCGATGGCAGCACCTCCAGCAAGCGTCGTGGACTCTCCGCTACCACTCCAAACCCTTCACCTCTGGCAAGCGACCGTGTCGGTCTCACTGGACCTCCACAAACGCCTGTCATCGACCTCACAGTGGACTACGTTCCCCAAGCCAACTCGTTTGACTCCAAGAGGCGTGTCGAGAGCACCTCCGGCACCTTTCTCGGCTCTCCCACGCGCCAAGCTCGAAGTGCTCTTCGCTACACCAGTCCCTTGTTTCCTTCCACGCCTACTGGCGCCAAGCGGAAGATTGATTTCGTCGATCTGACCATTGGCGATGACTCCGATGATGATTCGAAAGCATCATCAAGTAAAAAGCCTCGAAAGACCGTACAGTCTCGACCCAGCGAGGACATCTTTCACTCGCCGAATGTTGAGAAGCCAATGGCTCTAGGACGGCTCTTTGATCACTCACGCCAACGACCTGAGTCTAAGCATGGACAGGCTGGTCCAGCCAACTTGGTCGAGAAGAAGGGTGCGACATTGTTGACTCCGTCGCAGGCTCGAGTGTATCCGAGTTCCGTATCGGCGGTTCGACCTGGTCAGATCACAAACGGATCTCCGAGAGCTTCCAAGGGTATGACAGCTCCCATGAAGTCTGCATTTGCGCAGGAAGGCAAGAAATTCCCCTTTACCACCGAATCGAAGTCCATCGAGACTGAAGCCGACCCACATCATCTGCGACGGGTCTCTGATTCTGTCCCTCGAGCCGGCCTGCAAGACCTTTGTCTCGCCGTCGGGCTTTCGAGTACCGCTGACAAGAAGGGAAACGAGAAGAGATCAGTGAACAGGAAGACTGATGCAGACGGTCCTACCGGAATTGACTCCGCTCCCGACGAGACCGGGAACCTTTCCAAAACTGACTCCTCTGGGCCAGGCCTCGCAGCCGGTAGGCTTCCTTCTGTGTGGCAAAGACCACCTCTGCCGTTTGGTCGCAGTAAGCTACTGCATAGTAGCGCATCTTCCCTCCAAGGACGCGAGTTGGATGCGTCGTACCCAATCCGCACTAGAAACGGAGGCAACGGTAGCCACCAGGTGGTCGAGACAGAGTCCGCCGGAGAAGGCGACAGAAGTACTGAACTTGGCGACAATGATCTTGGAGTCTCGGCAGGAGCAGGTCAGCTCCAGAAGCCCTCAATTCTGACGATTCAAGGCCAGGCGGAGGAGCAGAGCGAGCAAGTTGCTGACGGTCGTGCTGGTGGTAGCAACGAGCACGATGAACGCGGCTCGACCGGCCCCATGTTGGCGATCGGCCGCAGGAACGACACTCAAGACAAGCTACGGCCGCCTACTCCGCTCTCGTCGAGGCGAAGGCGTTCGAGGATCGTAGCCCTGAGAGCACCACCGGATCAGTTGCGCCGCATCTCCCAGCGGCCCGTCCAGCGGCCCGAGATCCCAATGGACATTTGCTTCTTGATCTGGATACCCCTCGAGATCCAAGAAAAGATATTTGCGTACCTGCTGCTCGCTGACGATCCGATCCAGGTCCTCCACGGCTGGGCCAAGCTGTACCAGCGGCAGCGTTCCAACCTGTCCCCTGCCATTCTGTCGACTTGCCAGGCAATCTACAGGAACGCCTCTGTGTTCTTGTATGGTCGAAACGTGTTTCGATACATGGTGCGGGACCGGGCCGAGTCGGATGCCTTCCCATCATTCGGACAGGACATCAATGTTGAGAAATACATGCCCCTCTTCCGCAAGCTCGAGTTGAAGATCGAGCGGTCTCGCACGGAGCGTGCGTACTGCACCTCGTTAGCCAATGCGATTCACCTGTTGAACAGAAACGGCGCTAACCTCCACACCCTGACGCTGGACGTGTCGCCTACGGTGGAGGGTGACACCCTGTCGACGGTGGGCTACTTCTACCCGGGTGGCGAGATCATCCAGGCTTTGAAGGCCCTCAAGACCTGTTTCATAGTGGTGCGGGTGTACACGCCCAAGACCAAGAAAGAGCCTGCAACCAGCCTCCGCCGCAAGCTCGACATGCGCATCGATCTGTGCCGATTCGAACAGGCCCCAGACCAGCCGCCCGAGACGCAGCTCGACGACCTGAGCGAGAAGATTACCGCCGCGTGTGAGAGCCCCTCGAAGGTGGTCGAGAGGGGTTGGTTCGAGGAGTTCGAGGTGGTGCCTCAGCCATACGAGCGCCGGGCCCGCCCGTTGAGGATCGCGTACAACGATGAGGACGACGACGACGACGTTGGTGGTAGCGACGAAGACGATGATGGCGACGACAGTGGCGACTTTCGGGGTTGATTCTCGTCGAAGGGGGGGGGGTGGTTAAATGTACCGTGTTGACGTTGCGAGGGGGTTTGTGGTTTGTCAGTGTTTCGATAGTTGGATTGATGCTGTTTTGATAGGCGGGCTATCACCATTTTGACCGGTGAATTGACTTTTCAAAAGCCCAGGGGAAACGTCGGAGCCAGTGCTCCATCAGATGCAGGAAAAAGTCGACACTTGTTTGAGGGGGTCAATAGATTGCTCACGAAACGTGGGCATGGAAATAGGGAACCCCACTCACCAATGTATTACATCTTCACAAAAGTTTTCCATCCCTTTTTCACATGGTTCCCGGATTACACTCTTTGCAAATAACCGCATATGGGAAATTCTCCTGTAGGATAACCTCCTAAGGAATAGTCTTCCATGGGATAGCTTGCCTTTTTGTTCATTGGTATCATGATGCCACAACTTTCCTGAGCAAAAAACGAGCTACGTGCGCTTTCCCTATCCCCAATCGCTCTGCCTATTCCTCCGAATGATTATAGTTCAGATCCATACTGAACCACTAAGGCGTCTATGACGCTGAAATCTTGATGCGCGATACCTCCAGGGTCTCAGTATCAAGCAGCACTAGCTCCTTGGACTCGGAGAACGATGGGACTGCAACGAGGCGGACTGCCTGCCCTTCCGGGCCAGAGATGACTTTCGTGCCGAACTCGGGCTGACAGCCCACAAAGTAGACGTGAGGGCAGTCATTCATGACGAAGGGATCGTCATCCTGGAATGGGTAGCTCCCTATTCACTCAATCAGCAAACGGACCAAGGCAGCACAGAGAATTCTAGGGCGGCAGGGAACTCACATAATGTGTCCGGCGCGGTTGGCGCACTGCACCGCCACCGGCACATGACTTCCATCATCCCGACCCTGTCATCACTGTCGATGTATTTGAAAAGGTCGTCCACATTCTGCCCACCCGTGCCGAGCACCCTCCAGCCATCCAGCTCTCCCTCCCATGGATTCGTCACCGGGTCTAGCCATCCCTTGTCTTTAAAATTCGGCGCAGCCGCGAATGCCCTGGACCGCGGGAACATAGCCGTGTGTATAGGCTGCTGGGGAAAGCTGGCGTTGGCCGGGTCGTGTTCTCCCGGGAGGATGGTGACGGGCATGGTGGGCAACAGCTCAGCCAGGAACTCGTCCAGAAGTTGTGAAGGCAACGGGTTGTATGAACTAGCGTCGTAGCCGTACTTCTTCTGCGCGGCCTTCTTCTCTCCTGCAGATTCACCGAATCGAGGATTCGCAGCGGCGATGGAGTTGCCTGCGATGATGAGGCGGCTAATATGAGACAGCTCTGCTTGCGCACTGGGGTCCAGGGCCTCGCCAAGTAGGTACTCAAGCAGAAGATTCAGTTCCACTGCATGTGAGGTGTCGTCGCCCGCAAAGTTGAGACCCGAGACAATTGCGATTTTGCTGCCACTGCGTGAGGGTGAGGCGTCCGTCATCTCAACGTCCTCGGTCTTCACAGCCTTCTTCTTCCCCTTTACCGAGCCATTCGCATCGTTCTTCGGCAGTTCTGATAATGCCCACCGGTCCGGCTGTGGCGGCAGGTCCGCGAACTTCACGTCGATGACCTCAAAGTCACCATTCGCATTCTCCGTCCCCACAACAGCAATGATGCACCCGGTGACGAGCATGACGGACTTCAGGATGTCGCCGGTGAGCCGGATGCGGCCAGAGTCGTCCTCGAGCATGACGGCATCCCCCTCGTCGTCACCAAAGTACTTGGCGACAGAAGTGGGCGCCGAGATCCAGCGGTCCTTGGACACGTCGTCCAGGATGTTGGGCTTGAGCGACATGTCCACGTACACGGTGCCGGCGACCCAGCACAGCTCGCCCTGGCGCACGTCCAGCACGCGGTCGGCCTTCTTGGCCGTCTCGCCGCCGACGACGGTCCCCTCCCACGCGGCCTCTGCGACCTGCTCGACGGCGGGCTTGATCTTGGTCAGCCGGAGGAAGTATGTGTCTGCATACTGTTGCTGGTAGCTGCGGCCCTTCTCGAGCTTGAAGGTGTCTAGGGGCTTATAAGCCGACTGGGCGCGCTCAAGAGACTCCTCCAGCCCATCGCCGCTGCAGCAGATTGTTAATTCCTGGGTGAATACGTATTGGTCCCGTGGGTACATACGAAGGCTTCTGAAGCAGCTTTGACTCGATCTCGTCCAAGGTCACCATCTTTGCAATGCTGGGACGACTGGGCACGAGGAACGGCCACGGTGAGAGCCGGCTAAGTTTTGGAGCGAGGTCTGGCAGACGCGTCCAGGAACGCCAGGAGTGAGACGCGTTAATGGGCGTGTTCCTCCTTTGGGCTAGGCCCCAAAATCGAGGTGTGAGCCCCGGTGGGCTGATCCCTGCGAAGCGTGGGGTTCTTCTGTAAGGCTATGGGCTAAGCTGGCAGGCAGGGGTCGCATGGCTAGAAAAATTTCCCAGCTGCCATTTAGCGGTTCTGTTTGACGACTCTTGGTCTACTGACATTTGTCGCATCAACTCTCTGCACGACAAAATGGACTCAAATATGGTGGGAGCTACGGCCTTCGAGCCAGAAATGGCCCAGGTCAAGGTCACATTCACCACGACTGAGGATGACCTCCAATTGCCCGAAACCAAGAGACAGCTGCTCGTCCCAGCCGGTATGGCGCTCCTGTCCCCACTGGCGATGCAGACCGGGAAAAGACTGGCTGACGAACAATTGAATCTATATAGACATAAGACGTCTCGGACTCTCCCGCATCCTCAACTCCGAGTCCATGCTGGCCACCCCCCAGCCCGTCCCCTTTGACTTCCTCATCAACGGCACCTTCCTGACCTCTACCCTCGAGGACTACCTCTCGCAGAACGGCCTGTCTTTCGAGTCCAACATCACACTCCAATACGTCCGCAGCTTAATACCGCCCAAGTACGAGGCCTCCTTCGAGCATGACGACTGGGTCAGCGCTGTCGACGTGCTCTCCTCCACATCTCCCGCGGGGCACTGGTCAGGCGAGTCCTTCACGGCGGGTCACGACAGGATACTCTCTGCTTCATATGATGGCCTGTTGAGGATATGGAACGGCTCGGGGGACATCATCACCACCTCGCCGGCGGCAAGCAGCGGCGGACACAGCGCGGGCATCAAGGCCGCCAAGTTCCTCTCCTCCACCCAGATAGCCTCCGGCGGCCTCGACCGAACCGTGCGCGTGTGGAAGTACGCCGAGAATGACGCCCATTCCTCCGGTGAGATGAAGCCCACCCTCGAGCTGTTCGGGCACAAGTCCACCATCGACTCGCTTGAGGTGGACGGCCCCTCCAAGCGCATCCTAACCGCGTCCGCGGACGGCTGCATCGGCCTGTGGAGCACCTCGAAGGCCTCGGCGCCCGCAGCGCCAGCAGAGCTGCTGCCAGGGAGCACGCACGCCAGCAAGAAGAGGAAGTTGGGCAGTGCGGTGTCGACGCCTCAGCGCGGCGCGCTGCACCTCGCCCCCTTCCACAAGGGACCCGCCTCGGCTGCCATCTTCGACCCGCGGGACAGGACGGTGGCGTACAGCGCGGGCCATGACCACGACTTGCACACCATCGACCTCACGACCATGTCCAAGGTTAGCACAATACCCTCGTCGAGTGCCCTGCTCTCCCTCTGCGCCCTTCCTGGCCCCTCGGGAAGTCCGCTACTGGCTACCGGAACGTCATTGCGGAACGTGATGTTGGTAGATCCGCGGGAGTCGCAGGTCCGGACGTCCGTAATGACGCTCAGGGGGCACGTGAACAAGGTCGTGTCATTGTCCAAGTGTCCAGACAACAGCCACTCGCTCGTCTCCGGATCGCACGATGGGACGTGCAGGATTTGGGATCTGAGGAGTGTCAGGCCTGCGAAAGGCGACGACGGCGTCGCAGGTGGCGGAGTCAGCGAGGCGGTGTATGTTATCGAGCGGGAGAGCAGGGGCGGCAAGAAGAGGCCGCTGGCTGGCGAGGGCTGCAAAGTGTTCAGTGTGACCTGGGATGAGACGTGGGGGATTGTCAGTGGTGGTGAGGATAAGAGGGTGCAAGTCAATAGGGGAAGGGACATCATTGCATCTTGAGAGACCGAGATGAGAGTCAGGAGTCATGCAAAAGTCGCGGGAGACGAGTGGACAGATGATATACCCAATAGAGTTGAGATCGTCCGCATAAATGTAGACCGAGAGGCGTGTATGATGTGCACGCTTCGTAGTATCGGAAATCGTCGCCCCCCATGCGTTCAAATTCACCCACCCGTCTGCTGTATGTCTCTTCCACGACTTCTCCAAAGTCTCAGTCGGACAACGGCACAGACACATTCGCCGTGGCCTTGACCAACGTTGCGAACCTCCTCTGAGCCACGTCCTGAGGATAGAGATCGAGCACCTGCCTTAGCCGCACCCTGTCGTACGCCAGTCTCTCTGCTTTAATCGCCCCAAGAATATAATTGCAGACGGTGAGCAGCTGTAGAGGAGGGTCCCTCAGCAGCTGCGCGATACTATCGACGCTCAAGTCGTCGTTTGCATGCCAGATAAAGTATGCCCTGAGAGCGGCGGGACCGGCTTTGGTCTTCCCATCTGGCCGTGTGGCCCTATACTCCAAGAGCCAGGTCTCTGCGGCGATGATTTTGGGGTCTTTCTGCGGCGTTGGCTGTTTTGCTGATGCTGTGGATCTGGACTTGGGTTTTGCTGCTTTTGTTGCCTCTGTTATGGCTTTGCTGTCGTTGGAGTCCCCTTCGCCGGCCTCTATTTGAACGGTTTCAACAAGTGCCTTGAGCTGCTCTGCAGTCAACGTAGATACTCCATATCCGGCCTCTCTCAATTCCTCGTCCTCGTCTTCGGCATTGTCAGTTTCGTCGGAGCTCGAGCTTTCCAGCCCAGGCGCCAGAGGGATTGGCTGATTAAGCTCTACATGGAAGGGCAGAGGCGGCATCGGGTCGAGCTTCTCGCGTTGGTGGTTCAGCATGGCATAAAGATGGACCGCTGCATACGCATCTGACGCCGAGTACACAATCTGGTCCATGCGCAATGCCTTCGACCAATCGCTTGACCTTACATCCTGCCCTTTGAACATTGGCAAGTGCATTGTCTCCTTGACTTGATCGGCCAGCGACACGAGTCTCTTGTTGATTAGGTCGTGCCTCCCATTCCTCGTATACTTGACCTGACGAAACAAGTGGCTCAATTCAAAGACCCCTCGAGATTCAATGCCCAAGTACTTTCGGAGCCTCGTGCAGTCGCCTTTGATCCAAACCCCGGTCTTGGTGATCCCCGAGTCCTCCATGATCCGTTTCAGAGTCGGAGGGACCAGTTGGCCCTTGCTGGAAAACAAGGCAACCTGAAGTAGCGCCACTCTGGATTGGCTGGCCAGCTGGACCAGGGAGACGTTCTTCTGAGGCGAATCGGTTTTGTAGCCCTCAATTGACCACTCCAGGTCGAAGCCAAGGACAGTCTCATTCAGAAAGTATTGTTGCAACACTCGTTCTGCAGTGTGGGCAGATATGCAGTAGTGCACCGTAACTTTCTTCTCGGCCTCCCTGCCACCCTCATCGCCGCCAGGCCCCCGGTACATGGCGTACGACCAAAAGGACTCGGGTGTGCCCTCGACCGCTTTCACGGCAGCGTTGAAGCTCTCCTCTGGAATCTTGTAATCGAGCGGTGTGAAGGGGGGGCCGCTTGGTGGCCGGTCTGCAGTTGCAGGCTGTGGCTCCTCTTTCTTCGATCCAGGCTCAGATGTTTCCGTGGGTCTGGCTGGGGATTCCTGCTCCGCCTCCGCAGGTGGTGTGTCAGCAAGCGGCTCTTGGGAAATCTTGGGCCCCGCGAGGCTGTCGCTCGGATCTGAGTTGTGATTCCCGATATTCTTGAAGCGGCCTGCAGCCATCTCTTCGCCAAGACCCCTCGAACCAGCCCCCATATCTTCCACCGCAGAAGCCTCCGTGAAGAATCGAGCGACATCGAGGACAGGGTAGAGTGGCTGCTGGAAGACGACTCCCTGGTTGGGGTGCCAGAGCCTCCATTTCGGAGGACATTTGTAGCTGTGCATCTTGGGGAGATTATATCTAATAGTTTGGCACACAGATATCAGCACCTAGCCGCTCTGTCTCTCGACATTTTGAGGATAGATGTTACTTACAAGGAGCGGCGGGTCGCAGCAAGCTGAAGACGGAGCAGACCCGGCTGGCCACTCGCAATATTCATGACGCGCGCTCGAGATAGGGACGATGCGCCATGCTGGCCCGGAATCATAACAGGATCATTGATTCGAGGGACAGCGTGACTTTGGTCTCCCCAAGTTTCTGAGCAGGCAGCAGTGCAGGGGGGAGAATTGGGGAGTGCAACTCGCTGGAGGCCCGCAGACGCGTTGTTGACGCGGGATGGGGGTCCAGGTCTAACAGGCCTAGCTGGGTTACTGCATAGCACGCTTAAAGGCATACAGGCCTGGGCCAACTTGCAATAGCAGACATCAACCCCTTCCACCACCAACGCAAACACCCTGCCCGGCAGACCTGCATCACATTCCGCCTTGGAGCCGTTTTACGTGCAGTACCGATTCGGACTAAGTGAAGATGGCATCTCAAGTTCAACCCCTAGGTTCAACCACCCCTCGTCCTTTCGGCGCTCCTCCAGGCCACATTGCTGACGGGGACTGCAGAGCTCGTCGACAAGTGTGTCGGGTCCAGGATATGGGTCATCATGAAGGGTGACCGGGGTACGTTCAGTCTGAGGACCCGAGCGACCAGAAGCTCGATCACTGATGCCCGACATCTGCAGAGTTCAGCGGCACGCTGCTGGGATTCGACGACTACGTCAGTAAGTCACAAATGCCCGCCTCTCATCTCCGTCTCTCGAGCAACCATGACTGACCCAACCCACCACAGACATCGTCCTGGAGGACGTGACAGAATTGTAAGGGTTCAATCTTGGCAGAGGCATTTCTGTGCCGGATAGGATTGTGTTTGCTGACTGTGGCTCGCAGCGGCTACGATGGCAATTCGACGAAGCTGTCCAAAATTCTACTAAACGGCAACAACATTTGCATGGTACGGCTTGTCCATTTTCCTGTGGCGTTAGGATCATCAAACTGACATGTCTCCAGCTTATCCCAGGAGGCGAGGGACCAGCAGCAGCGCAGTCATAGTATGAGGAGAGATGACGTACAGTGAGGGACATGACGGTGGCGGGGAGCACCACTGGCTGCTCAAAAGCTAGCGGTGTAGAGCTGATACCACGAGGAGGCGGGCAGACAAGCGCCAATGACTAGACAGGAGTGGGAATCCAAACAACGACTCAATGCATCGTGGTCTCCTGACCCACATTCAGATGCCATGATGTCCCATCAAATGTACGAGATGAATCGCTGCGAGGCTCGTTGCACTTCATAAAAGGTGATATGCCCTGTGTGAGGCATGCACCATTCGTTCCATTCATAATGTGATTCCCAGAATTCGAGAAACTTTTCTCTCGCCCTTGTAGACCGCCAACGCCAAAATGACCATTTGAAGCATGCCAAATTCGCCGCCACCATGTTCAGGAGATTCCATATCTGCGAGAAAGCAATGCGGCCCAGAGATTAGGTGTCCAGATTTGGGACGGATGTCCTAGAAACCATGACCGTTCATGCCGTCTGCGCCACCGTTCGTCGAAGGACCGGCGGCCGCCATACGGCGGAGCTCGTACTCGCGGGTGAACTCGCGGCCGAGCTGGGCGAAATGGGCGATGAGGTTCTTGCACACTTCGACCATTGCCTCCTTGGGGGTGATTTGGCCGTCAGTCTGGACGCGAATGAAGAGCTCAGGCACGTTAGGGTGAGGTACTGTTTTGGAGGCGCAAACACGTCAGCCAGCACATCCCGACGCTTGACGCTTGACCCCTTCTTCTTCTCCGTCCTTGCCGAGGACCATGACGACTTACTCTTATATCCAGCCATCAGAACGTTGGGGTGCTTCTTCAGGTACTCCGAGACCAGGTTTCCGAGGGTGTGGTCCTCCTTCTTCAGGGTGAAGTCAGAGCAATTGGACATGCCTTGGATACAACTGTCAGACTTGTGCGACTCGAGTCCAACAGGACAACATCGCCATCACCAAGACGGGGGCCTGACTTACGAGGGAAAGGAGTCTCGGTGATCTTCTTCTCGCCATCCTGTAACAAGAACAGCTCGAATCTGGTGGCATCGTCAGTAAGATTGGGCTCATCTCGAACTTGTGAAGCACAGGCGCTGAAGGAAAGCAGTACCCCTCGGGGACGTTGTCGTGTCTGGGGTTTCTTCCCATCTCGGGACGGGACATTTGATACCAAATGGATAATACAGGTGTTGAGTCTGGTTTTGACCAAGGATCGTGACAGTGGTCCAAAGACTCTGGCAGTGACAAGGTGATTGTTTGTTTGTGTGTGTGTGTGTGTGTGTGTGTGTGTGTAAGCTTGAGTGGTCGGGACACGAGAGGTACCAAGAACTTCGAGGCCCTCCGTATCTGCTACCACCGTTCACTTCCAGCACTATTGCCGTGCTGGAAGTGAATGGTAGCTGCACCTGTGCACCTAAGTGGCAGCCGTTTGAAGCCTTGTCGCTTCCCATTCTGGCATGCCAGTCGCTGCCATCAACGGTGCTATAGGCGGGCAACAGCCCCCTCTCCTCCTCTCCGTCTCCATGTCCCCTCCGTGCGCACCTGATAGAGCCCAGTCCTGCACTTTCCACTCGGATCGTGCTTCAAAAGGACTCAAGATTAGACAACCCATCGTGCTGAAGCCTCCAAGCACGATATGACAGAGTCTCATCCACAAGCGCTGGTCATCGAGCACCTGCGCCGTCCTGGTCGGAGCAAGAAAGCAAGGGCAAGCGTAAGCGTTCCCACTCACCTGTCTGGAGCGTTCATGGTGCCGTTCGGTGGGAGATGCCGGCTAGAAAAGCAATGAAGCCGGCGAGATTAAGACGTATAATTGTAGCAATATTGACCAGACGATTCGATGGATAAGGATGAAGATGGCAGCGACCAGCCTGGAGATGGAGAGCTGATTCTGGCGCCTGACAGGTTAGGGAGTGCTTCTCAAAGCCGGAAGTGGACTGGATCGATGAGGCTCTTTAGGCCGGCACTAGTGTCATTTTGCCGCCCTCCAGGGCCCGGGGCTGGGTGACGGACCCCAGTGCTTCAGTGAGTGGGCCCTGTCAGTGCTTGGCTAAATAGCTGTAGCCATCCCCTAGATACCTATGACTACAAACAATGCGTATGCTCAAAGCTCACAACTTTGGTCATTTAGATATTGTACACTACAAAGGGACGCCACTTGTCGGTGATATTGGTGACACCTATTAATCTGCCATTCACCACCCTTCATGGCTTGAGAGCTTTTTACCTCGTACACAGTAAATCCTCGTCAGGCTAATGCCAAGACCATGGCCATCTCATCAATCTAGTCTATCCCAAACCTCTGGGAGTATCCCACTCAAAGCTCAATTGATGCTTCTCAGAGATCCACCAACACCCATGCCATGCATATAAATTGAATTTCCAACACTCATACATCCCGCAAATTCGCCACGGGACAAGCCAGCCTCCACCCCCTCTGGCCCGTGACAGACCTCCAAGTCTAGGCATGCCCTTTGTCACAGTATCCTGGAAGTTTTGGACCTGTCTCCCCACTGGCCCAGCTCTGAACAGTCAGAGCCGTCGTATGCCATGGCAACGAAACCAAATATGCAGAGACAAATGTCGGATACCTTCCAGAGCGTAGTTCTCGCCACCGCGCGGTAGTGCAGCATGGGCTGTATAAGGGTGTCAGCAGGCTCTCCAAGTCCACACGTTGAAAGGGAGATGTAACTTACCGGATAGATGTAGACGAGCGGGATACAGGCGAAGTTGCCCACCAACGCCACGAACTTGTCTAGATCGTCTGCGCCAGCCCACGCGATGATAGCGCAGAGAATGACGAAACAGAAGCGGAAGACGTTCTTTTGCCACTTGATGTACGGGTTGTACTTCCCGCTCCGCGTAAAAAGGCCGTTTTCCAGGATCCTGATGGCGGGGAAGATCTGCAGCGGGATAGACAGCATGATCGCAATAGAGTAAAGGAACTGCACGGCGTTGACCAGCTTGCTGTCTTGCGGCAAGTTGAGCAGGACCACAGTCTCGGTCTTGGATCCGTAGGCAGCGTATGAGATCGCGCCCATGACGATGAAGAGCGTCGTGATGATGATCATGACCACGAAGAGAACCTTGGGGAACTTCTTGGGGTTGGCCATCGACTCCTGGATCGGGATGATGAGTCCAATGCCCTCAAAGGTGAATATAGCTGTACCGATAAAGAGCGTCCAGTCGTTCTTGTTGAACAGGGTGATGTCGGCGAGGCCGAACTTCTCGAGCGTCAGGACATCGTAATAGAAGAGGTAGCCCAGCCCGAGGATGATGAACACGTCGGCGATCAAGGCCGTGAAGCTGAGCTTATTGATGTCGCGGAATAGGGAGAACGGCAGGAAGATGACCATCTGCATCAAGATCAACCACTTGACTTGTATATGGGTCTGACAATCCGAAACTGCAAGGATAAAGGCCTGAAGGTTCTCGGAGACAAAGACAATGTAGGCCGCGACAAAGCCAATCTGACTGACGACGATGGAGAACAGGATCAGGAAGCGAAGCCATTTTCCGTAAAGAATGCCGCCCATGTCACCAAAGGAACCATCGACCTTGAGCCGCGACGTGACCAGTAGGACGAAGCAGTAGTAGCTGAGAGCGGCGACGAAGAGGAGAACGGCGTTGCTGAAGACCATGCCGCCGTTGAGGTAAGCCCGGGGGAGGAACAGAACGCCGGTCCCAACGAACGACTTGAGCAGCACGAGAGCTGCCCCCGTGGGACTGGCCTTCCCGCTTCCTCCACGGTGCTTTCTTCTTCTTTTCCTGCGAGATGGTGTCAATAGAGCACTGTCCTCCATCGGCTCCCTGTCCATGTCCGAGTCTTCGTCACTCTCCCACTCGTCCTCGCCTGAGGAGAAGTACTCGCCCGGCTTGAGCACTTCGTCGTCTTCCTCGAGCTCCTCACCGGCAAAATGGCCGTACATGCTCAGGAACTCGAGGAAGCTCGAGGTGAATACTTGAGGCTGGGGCTGGCCCAGTCCCTCGCCAAAGTCCCGACCCCCTGCGTTCGGCGCAGGGCTGCCAGCCGCGCGCCGGAGGTAGTTCCGCCTGAAGCCACCCGGGACCTTGATGTTGTTAATGTCGAGGACCTCCTCCTCGGGCTCAGGCCGCGGCATGTTGAAGCTCTTGCTGCGTTGTATCTTGTTGGTAGCTCCCTCGGTCCACTTGTAGACCTGCCGGGTGATGTCTCCGCCTTGCAACCGCAAGCTCGAGAACTCCTCGTCGTCCAGAGCAGCGTTCGCTCCGGTGTCGGGCTGCTTGCCCTTCCCGGCCGTATCGCTGGGCTTTCTGTTCCCCGAGTCATCGGATTGGTACGCGGTATCAGACGGCTGGACCAGATGTCTCTTGATGATCTCAGGGTCCTCGAAGGCGGCGTTCCGGGCTCTCGTGTCGAAGGAGCCATAGTTGGTAGGGGTTGCAGACTGGGGGATCTGGCCGCTGGAGGCGCTTGGGGACGAAGGTCGCACGGGAGGAGTACCGAAGCGAGGAGGAGAGGCGCCGAGAGAGTTGGAGAGGGCAGCAGCAAGCGCAGAGGTGCCAGGGCCGAGCATATGGCTCGACGAGGTTGCGCCGGCGAGGGGTGTCACGTCGTCGCTGGCGCCGGTGTCTGCGCTTGTATGTACCGATTCGGCTCGGGGATTCGGAGGGGTGCCGAACTGCTGGCTCGGGATAGGAGAGGCCAGGCGGGCAGTGGCCTCGGCGCGAGGGACGGAGGCGCCATAGGAGCGGCTGCGGAAGGAGCCCGGCGAGTCGGGCCTCTGGATCTCCAAGGGCGGCTGGCCGGTCTGCTCTTTGCCGCTATTCGACATGATGGCTACCTGGGCGTTCTAATATCTTTCGGGTCGGGGAGATGCGTGTCGGTGTCAAGTAGCCCGTGTCGCAATTGCTAGGCCCAATGGCGCAGAATGAGCGAGGCTGGGAGCTTATCAGCGAGGCACGGTTGTTGTTATCTCGGGTGTGGGAGGAGCAGCGAGGCAGTCTGACCGGGGGAAGAATTAAGTATGGGCACCGTGCTAGGGCTGGCACAAGACAGGGAAGACGTCGCAGAGAGGGAAAAAAAAGGAAAAACTTTATTTGATGCCACGGCTGGCCATCCGTACGTCACCGCCAGTGAGGTGCTGACAAGTCGAGGCGAGGCGAGAAAAACAAAGCCCAAGGTCGGTAAGCCGTCCTGGTCCTGGTCGTGGTCCTGCGCACAGCGGCCGGTTTGGCCAGGGATCTGACTCGGCTTACCTTGTGCCACTGCTAGTGTGGTGCAGCGAGGTGCCAGTGGTGTGTGTAGATACGGCACAGGCAGACAACCTTTTTCAGGCGCAGCAGCTCGTGATAGGACCTGCCATTATCGGGCAGAGCGCAGCTGACGCTCCTGCCTGGTTGGTCCCCGTCTCGTGCTCATTTTTTTCGTCTTCCCCCTCCATGTTCATTCGCCGCACCGTGACGGGTCTGCTGAGACTGGTGCATCATACCTAGGTACCTACCCTAGGTGGCTAGTTTATAGAGCCAGGCCAAGGATGATTGCCTGCGTCTTTATAAAAGTATACCCAGCCTACTTCAGTCCGCGACACTGCCCACCCGCGAGTGTCGTATATCGCACAGTATCAAAGACTGTTTTGTACCGGCCCAGGTGGGCTAAGGCAGGTGGGCAGCAGGCAGAGAGACCCTGTGAAGATCAGCGCCCCGCCCCCCACACGCCCTGGGCACATGCGACGGATTTACCGTGCACTCCACGGCTATCATCAATGCGTCTCCCGGCCGAGAAGCGATGTTCTGACAGGTGTCGAGCATTTACTTCGCCATTCATGTGATTTTCCGTCTACCTGCGATTGACATTCAAGATTCCTACGTCATGTCTAGATACAAGCTTGCAATCAAACATTAGACATCGCAAGCGCCCTCGACTGCGCCGAATACTTCACCTTTTTGCAGGACAGGACAAGCCTTGCGTGCTGCAAGACCAACCCACAGCTACCGAGCCTGTCTATCAGTAGACTATCTTTTGGGCAACCCCAACTGCCCGTGGGGGTCCTGCGGTCATCATACCAATACGGGGTTTCTAGAACGGAGATAATGATCTCACTGGTGTGGTCTCGATATGGTCAAGCTTTGGCATGGCCATCCCAGATCCCATCATAGCCCTGATCTCAGTTCGCGTAGTAATGTCAAGAGCTTCCCTGTGAGCTTTTGAGCTCTTTTGTTTTTGCCATGATTTCTCGATCTTGGAGACTCCATTTTTTGGCAACCAGCTCCATCGCATCTTGGGTGCAGGGTGGGACGACTTGGAGGATCTTGATGCGTCCACAGATGCCGTGGGGATGCTCCACCAGAGATATGAGATGACTATCCACCTACAGGCTCACACGTCTTGCCAAGTCCGTCGAGCAGCCACCGACCTTTTATGGGAACAACTTTCGTGAAGGTCCCCTCAGGATCGAGTTCGCATTCCGAGATGAATTCACTCGCAGCGGTACACCCAATCTCTGACCAAGGCAATCTTGGATGGGCAAAGGGAGCGAACACCGAAGATGGCCCACTCGAAGCTCTGCTCCTGGCAGATTACTTCAGTAAACACGGCAAATGTGGCAGGGCAAATGCATGGTGGTAGCAGGCGTCGCAAGCACTCTGAGATCAAGGCTGCCAAGCCATACAGAGATCCGGGCACCCACCCGAGGGCATTGGCGCCACGATGTCTCCAGGCTGGCCGAACTCCCCAGGAAAATGGACCCATACACATTCACATTATTGGCAGTGATATGTGCTGGTCCCGAGATGAGGCGACGGCTCAGAAGACATCTCTGCCCCTCTCCAGCAGGTCCCTTGGCACTATGATGTGTTTTAACGGATACAGGGTCAGATTGTGTGAGAAGAGCCACACGAGATATCTACAGTCAGGAAGACACATTTTGGAGCGGGAATCCGATATGAAAACAGCATCGGACATTCCAACACTCTGAAATCGAGGGGACTCGCGCGACACCTGCAGTAGGTCACTATCTGAAACCGAAACTAATGTTGAATGAAGACAGCAAAAACGACAGTTCAAGCAGGAATCATTGCTATCGAAACCGTCACTGACGCGGCAAGGGCGACATTTCATGGTATTCTCCAGCGCAATTGCATTGGAGAGGCGTCGTGTCTTAAAGCCACAAGGGAGGGTGGCATGGCGGCCATCGCCAGCATGCCGTACTTTATTCGATCCCAAAGTCTTCGCATTGGAGTCATGGAAATTGCCAATGCAGAAGTTGGTCATACGGACAAAGCAGAGTGACCCACGCGACTTGCCCTCCGTCCGCATTCCTTTGTTGCTCATCCACGAGGGCTCTCGTTGACCGAGACCCTCGCCATATTATGAGCTCCTTGTCTGTGCCCAAGCACGCCAGGAGAGCACACTATACCGATGGAATAAAACAGAATACATTCATAAATTCCCCACACCAGCAGATGAACAGAAAAAACGCAGACTCGTCGGCCTCGGATGTCAGTGCCTCGGGCCACAGCGACAGCAGCAACAAGAGCAAAGCTATTGCAACCGGCGCCGCCAAAGTCTTTAACAAGATAATACTCAAGTCACGGCCATCCGCAATAAAAAGCCCAGCTGAAGAAAATTCCACGAGATTTCAGATAGTGCACACGCCTGATAGGTCACCAGTAGAGATGCCTCTATCAGGATTTCCGACGACGAATGAAGAGTTGACGCAGCTATCTCACGAATGAATGCACAGGAACAGCCATGTGGACGAAATGGCTCGGTTGGGCAAAAGATTGTCACTGTCAGCGCGAGGAAAGGGACTCAGGAAGGTCCCCACAGTCTGAGGTACGTTGGGCCTACTTTGGGCGACCCAAAGTCGGAGCCGCTCAACTTCAAGGATAAATCTCAGACACTGAGGATGAACACGGGCGTGGCTGACGCAGAAGATAATAGCGCAGTACCGGGGAAGGCCGTTATTTCCCCAGGCTCAACGACACTGTTTTTAGGCCCCAGCGGCAACGGTCCCCTGGACAAGCTGCGAAAGGGCCTCGACGCACCAGAGCCGACGCCATCAGCTCTGGCCCCAGGAAAGACCAGGCCTACGTATGCGCGACGAGTTGCAAGTGATGGGGTCCCTCCTCGACCACTGTCAGAACGCCCCCTGATTTATTCCAGCATGCGCGCCAGACCGAGCCTTCAGACACCGCATGGTAGTGTCAGCACACCAAACGTACACTCTGTCTTGCCTGTCCTTAGAAAAAATGCTTCTGATAAGAAAGATGGTCATGTCAGGACCATTTCTAATGAAAAGAACGGCCGTAGGCGACCACGTCGCCCTCCCAGCGCCGATAGCACGGTGGCTAGCTCCGTTGAGGACACTGATAGCGATGACAAGACTCTCAGTCATAGAGTGCCATCGGCCAGGGATGCACGAAATCCACAGCGAAAGACGCAGGACCCTCTTACCATGGCCCCCGACGCTGCGCGCATGCCGAAGAAGAGCACTTGTTACTTTTGCCAAGAGGATTGCGAGCCTGGAGACAACCTTTGCAGCAAGTGCCAAACTCGATTCCAGCCACAAGAGGAGGTGTTCGAATACTCCGAGTCGGAATACGAGGATGATATAGAGTTGGAAGACGCCACCCATTCCTCGCTGGAGACCGAAAAACCTCCGGCTACTTCACGAAGGTCATTGAAGCGCAGGACCACCGGATATCCCAAACCAAGAGAGAAGTCGCGAGGCTGGTCTGAGTTCTCGTCTGTGTCACAGTTACAGCAACTGGCCTCGAGGTCCGCCAGTACCTCGCCCACCTCACACGTCGCCCTGGAGCTGAAGGTGGTCCCTCCACAAGACATCAAGATCCGCACGGTCTCCTCACCGACAAGGACCAATGCCGGTGACGGCGGCTCAGCCCTCCACCACATCCAACAGGCCATGAAACCCAGAGGATCCGTCAGCCCTTGCAGCCAGGATCGCGACGCCATCCGCCTGGGAAAGGTGCGGTCAGGCGAGATCAGGCGCGTAGACATTCCCGACATCATAAAAGCGAAGCCCCCGACGCCAAAAGAAAACAGCTTCCAGAGAAACTCGGAGGAGCACCAGCACCAGAGTTCAGGTAGTCTCGCAAACTGGCTCAAGTACTACGAGGAGGATGATAAGAACAGTGAGAGACACAGTGGTTCTTCCCAGTCAAATTGTGCCTATCTGCCAAACAACAGCGAGAACAGCGCGGTCCCGGCGACGCCTGGCACGTACGATTGTGTTACTTCCATATATGACCTGTACGCTTCATTCGAGGACACTTAGGGTGTGTGCTTTGTTTTTACCTTCGCGGAACCATGACGGCATGTTTTGTTCTAGGGATTTCCAATTGGAGGCTGGTTTTTGAGATTTCCATTCAGTGCCAGATATTTTAAGGCTTCTTTTCCCTGCTCGGTCCCAAGAGCTCCAACATGGGCTAGGAAGAGCTTTTGTCGCTACACCAGGTTTTTCTATGTACATACGTACCCTGGTAGTGTCTGGCCGTATAGATACCAAAAATGAAGTGAGATCAAAGTCTGTCCCGCTGGAGGCCACAGAGACTTTTAGGGTCTACTTATCCCTGAAGATCTCCAAAGCCATCCGCAGACACGTTCTTTAGTATTTGCCAAGAGACGTGGTAATGCGGACAGGAAGGTTCATCGAGGCTGGACAGTGGCTGGAAACTTCTCTGGAGGCTTGTCTGCCCAGAACGAATTATGATAGCAAATTTATTTCCAATAACTGCGCAGTCCATAGCGCTCATGCCCAAAATCGCATTCAGTTTTAAAGATCACATCAAATTCTAACAGGTCAACCTGGCTTGCCCTGATAGTGCTGGTTTCTCTACCAACTCTGTGCCAGATACTCCGCTGCACCAGGGCAGACTGAGCCCTGAGTCAACGCAGTATTATCAATAATGTTACTTACTCGGAGCTATAAGTAATGCAGTTTTGGGATGATTGGTTGCACATAAGAGTAGTAGAAAGTCGGCTGCCACAAGGGCCCCCTGCCAGGTATGGTTGGGATTGGGATGACCGGGACTCAAGTGCTGTTTGGTGACAAGCACCAATTTGCAAATTAGTTTTGAGCTCAGGATTCCTGCACATTTTTTTTTAGCAACACGTCTTCGATGAAGCTCATCCAGCCACTTTCGTCGGCGGCAGCTGCAGGCAATCCAGCTGAACAAGTTCTGTCTCACCCGAGTGACGTCACAGCTTTCTGCTTGGCCGACACTCAAGACCTCTCCTCTCGATGAGCGGTCTTTACAAAGAGAGCTTCACACTCAAACTTTAAGGTTCGGAACCATTTAGGCGCATGTAATTCCCGACTCGTAGACCGCAGACATTCATAGCCTCGCCAGACATTTCCAAAGACAAATTACTACCATGTCGCAAGACAACACCAAGGGCGACGAAGTGACAGACACTCCGCCGACCTACAAGGAGCAACTGGACGAAGCTGCCATCAAGGTCAAAGACCCTCAGAGCGGGGCCAACGAAGGAGGAGTCATTGGTCAAGTCGTGGAAAAAGGTAAGACCCGCCCCTTCCAACCCTGGGGGTTCGCACAAGACTGATCGATATGCGGCTGTGCCATCCAGTGTCCCAATATGTTCCAGCCGTCGGGAAGGTTCTAGGTACGGATCAGAAGGACGAGTCCTCGAGGGAGGAGACAAAGGTTCCGGGGCCCCCAGAGCGACCGCATCATGACACTCAGATTGAGGAGTTCATCAAGGACCAGCACCGCAGCAAAACAGATGATGGGACACTCACCTAAGAGCGGACACAATGCAGTCGCGGATGAAAACCTCAACACTAGCGCAAATGGATGATGAGCATGAAACTGTTGCGGCCTGCCGGATGTTCCACGCGCCTGCAACACTCCGTATGGTATGGTGGATGGACTTGGGAAAGGGCAGTTCAGACACATTCCGAGCTCAAGCCGCGGGAGATAACACAAGCATTTGGGTTTTCGGGTTTGTAAAGGACGGCCCTGGGCACTGGGGGGAAGTGGCGGCGTCACACCCATTGCCTGGCAATTCCCTGTGCTGTTGCTGAAACGGAAGAGTCGACTTCAATTAGGGATCTGGTCCCATTCATGTATCTGTTGTAAACAAATACCTAACTGACTGGGTAGTAGCGAGATAGGTGTGCTTGTGCTGGGGAGGACCCGAAGGCATTTGCGGGCCTACATGGGACCGTATATATGATAAGCCCCAATAAAGACATTTCTGGTTGGTGACGTTCAAGACGATGTTGGGCATTTTTACGGTCCACGGCCTGCTAGTTGAGAATCGAGCCCTGGATTTTGCCCCGGCGGCTTCGAGGACTCCCCACCTGCTGCTGTGTGTGGAAAACAAGCTTTTACCCCCCCCCTATCAGTTAGGTCAGCTCTCCCCTCACACACCAAAATTTAGCTGGCAACATGGAATACGCACCTTAATCCTCATCAACCTCATCATCATTATCATCACCACCATATTATTATTAACTTATTTTATATATATCTTTAAAATAATTAAAAATAATAAAATTAACTTAAGCTTAATATATAAAAAAAATAAATATTTTATTAATTTTAACTTAAAGTAATTATGTTTTATTTAAATTAATATAAATATTAATTAAATTATATATTTAAATATATATAAGTTAAATAAAGTATAATAAATTTATATTAATTATAAAAAAAAGGAAAGTAATATATATTATAATTTTTATTATTTATAATATTTAAGTTAAATAAAAATTATATTAAATCCTTAAATTAATAGTATATTTATTTAATATTTAACTTATAATATATTTTAATTTAATTTAATTTTAACTTAATTATATTTAATTTTTATAATTAAATAAAGATTAATTAATTATAAAATAAAATAAGTAAAAAAAATTATAAAGATTAATAAATAAAGTATTTAAATAAAAAAAGTAAATTAAATATAAAACATTATTAAAAAATTATTTAAAATAAATTAAGTTAATAAATAAAATATATATAAATATTAACATATAAAATTTATTTAAAAATATTTATTAAATATAAGTTACTAACTTAAATATTTATAAAATAAATAACTTATATTATTATTTTTAAAAATAAAATTCTTAATATATAAATATTATTATTAAAATCTTAAATATAAAATATTATTTTTTAACAAAATAATTAAAAGTTAATTAATTAAAATATTTTATAAAGTAATTTATAAATAATAATAAAAAGAAATTAAAGTTTTATTAATTTAATATATTTTTATTAATTAAATTAATATATATTTATAAGTAATAAATTAATTATATTTAAATTAATTATATAAAAAGAAAAAAATTATAATTATATATTATAAAATCTTTTTTTAAATTATAAATTATTTAAAATTAATTATATATTATAATATGTAATTTTTATTTATTAATATTTTAATATTAATTACTTATAATATTTATTATATTTAATATTATTATTTCCTTATAATATACTTATATTAAATTAATAATCTTTAATTAAATAATTAATATATATTTTTAAAAAATATATAAAAAAAGTTAAATTAAATTTTAAATTATTAACTTTAAAATATTAATTAAATAATTTAATTAATAATAATTAAAAATATATATTTATTTAATTATATTAAATATTTATAAAAAATAAATATATTAAATAATTTAAATTATTATTAAAAAGTTAAAAATTAATTATTTTATTAAAATATATAATTAATAATTATAAGTTTTTTTAATATAAATATATATTAAAGTATTTTAATTATATTAATTTATAAAATATAAATTATTATAATTATTATATAAATATTTTATTTATAATATATTTTATAAATTTATATATTTATTATTTATAATGCTTAAATTAAATAAAAGTTAACTTAAATTATTATTATTTAATTTTTAATTTATAATATATTTTAATTTAATTTAATTTAAGCTTAATTATACTTAATTTTTATAATTAAATAAAGATTAATAAATAAAATATTTTAAAAAAAATTAAATATAAAGAAATTATTAAACTATTAATTAATATTAATTAAATTAATAAATAAAAATATATATAGAATTAATATATAAATATTAAATTATAAAATTTAATTAAAAATATTTATTAAATATAGGTTAATAATATAAATATTTATAAAAAAGATTTATGTTATTATTTATAAAAGTAAAATTTTTAATATATAAGCATTATTATTAAAATTTTAAATATAAAATATTGTTTTTAAAAAATATAATTAAAAGTTAATTAATTATATGATTTTATAAGGTAATTTATAAATAATTAATAAAAAAAATTAAACTTTTATTATTTTAATATAGTTTATTAGGAAGTGACGGATATTAGGAAGTAGTGGATTTTCCCAACTTTAGCTAACTTTAACAAGCCTTAATACCTACTTAATATAAATAATTTAATTAAATTTAGCATTAATTAATGCTAACTATATTTAAATTCTTATTTATAATTAATTTTATTAATTTAAAGGGATTAATATAGTTATATTTAAGTTTAAAATAATTAACTTTTAATAAAGGGGATTTATTTTAATATAAATTGCGTCTTAGTTTTTTGCATTAATCTTGCTTTAATCCGCTTAATTAAATATTTAATATTATAGAAATTAATAATTATTAATATATTTTTTATTTAAAAAAGATAAAATCCTTTTAGCTATATAAGTAATTAAAAACTTAAAAAAAAATAATATAAAACCTAAACTTATAATTTAAGTTATTAATATCTTTTATATTCTTAAAATCATATTATATTATAAAATAAATTAATAATGCTTATATAAAGAATTACGCATTAATAAGCATAAACTTAATTAAATTAAAGAATAAATGCTTATTTAATATATTATTAAATAAAATGCTTAAGGATTTTCTTTATAACTTTTTAATATAAAAAATATAGCTAACTTTTTATTAACATTATATAATGCTAAATTTATAAATAAGCATTAAGCTTAATGCTTTATAAATTTATAACTTAGCTTAAAAACTAAGTTTAATTATCCTTATAATTATTAAAGAGCTCTTTATAAAGATTTAAAAATTATTAAGAATTAATTTAAATTACTTTGCAATATAATAGCTAAGTATTAAATTATTAATAATAATTTTTATAATTTTAATAAAATTAGCTTTATAATAAGTATAATTATTATATTAATAATTATTATATATATTAATAAATATAAAAAGGTTAAATTAATTTAACTTAATAATTAGGAATAAGTAATTATTATTAAATATATTAATATAAATAACTTATGGATTTTATTATTTATAATTATTTAAGGTGCTTATTATTTTGCTAGCTAAGTAATAAAGTTAGGTTTTTTAAATAATTAGGTTATTAAGCCTATTTTTAATAAATAAATAAATAATAAAATTAATTTAAAATAAATTTAATATTTTAATAAGCATATTAAATTAAAAAGAAATGTTAATTATTAAATATTAATTATAAATAATTATAAAAGCTATATATTAACTAAGTTTAATAAATATTACAAGGATAATAAGATTATTATTATTAATATACTATTATATTAATTTTATTTACTTTAATTATTAAATATTGCGTTATATTTACCTTTAAAGCATATATATAATAATTAAATTAACCTTTTTATTTAAGCCTTTATTAATTATATTATTAAGTTTAAATTCTTTCTTATATTTAAGGTAGCTTATAATAAGACTTTTATAGCAAAAAATATTAAATTTATATTTAAAGAAGTTGGAATTTCCTCTTAAGACCTTAATTTTATAATTTTTAAGCTTAATGTTTACTTATAAATTCTTATATAATCCCTTTTTATTTCTTCTTAAAAATAAAAGTTTTAAATACTATTAAATGCTTAATAAATCATTAAGTAATTAAGTTTTATTAAGAATAAGATCTTTATTTATTAAAAAAGCTTCCTTATATTAATTATAAAAGCTATTAATTGAATAGCAAAGGGTATATAAATAATGATATATAAACTTATTATTTTAAAGGATTAAGTTTATACTTTTAAGGAGGTTAATATAGCACTTATTAAATATTAAAGGGTTAAAAGAACTTAAATACAGCTTAAAAAAGCACTTATAATTAAGGAATCTTAAGCTTTTATTTAAGAGAAATAAAAGGGGAAGCGGTTAGCTAATAAAATAAGTAGTAATGCTAAGGAGTTGATTTGCAATAAATTAATTAAAAGATAGTATAGCAATTATAATAAAATTAAGCATAATATAAGAATTTATAAGAAAGATAAAAAAGAGTTTATTTAATTAAATTTTAATTATATTATAATAAATTTAGCTTAATTAGCATTAATTAATATAAATATATATATATTAATAATCCACGGTAAATTGTTTTTAAGGATATAATTAGCATTAAATGATATTAAATATATATTTCTTATTAAAAGTTAATTAATTTAAATTAATATTATAATTATGTTAATACCTTTAAATTAATAAAATTAATTATAAATAAGGATTTAAATATAGTTAGCATTAATTAATATTAAATTTAATTAAATTATTTACATTAAATAGGTGCTAAGGCTTGCTAAAGTTAGCTAAAGTTAAAAAAATTCATTACTTCCTAATATCCGCTATTTTTTAATAAATTATATTAATTATTTTAATAATTCTTTTTTTATAATATTATTATAATTAAATTAACTTATTATATTATCTTTAATTTAAATAAATAATTATTCTTAATTAATATAACTTTATATTTTAATT